GCCGATTCCCGAGCGGTAGAAACGGCGGAAGTCGAATACTTCACTCTCATCTTCATCTCCCTTGCCGGATTCACAGAAGAATCGGCCCAGTCGACGGAAGTCAAATGTTACAGGTTCAAATTCTTCCTCATCTACTTCCGAACGGTAGAAACGGCGATGGAATCGCTCCTTCTTCCAGATACCTCGTTTGGATCTCTCTAAGACCTTCACACCTTTCTGCCCGCTGATCTTCTGTCCTCCTTTGAGGATTGTGACGCCTCCCCCGCCTCGTCATGCGATTGATTCGATGACGACGGTTGCTTCACGAACTGACGAAAATGACCCTATATGACGACGGCTGGGGTTGCATTAAATGCATTGGCATTGGCATTGGTAAAGAATATATGAAATTTCGGGCCCAAAAGAGTGCGGATCTCTTTGTTCACGGCGTTATGGAGCATTCTGAGGAGAATACCAAATTAATTCAAAGGCTCTTGGCGGACTGCTGACATTATTTCCATAGCAGTAGTTAAGGATATCGGGTCGGCATTCCCAGTCATGATACTAGGACATACACAGCTTTGAACCGTTGGATGGAGAGGGAGCCCATTCACAAGGATAGACATATGTACTAGGTTAGTGCATTCGTAATTGTAATCGTGTACAACGAAGGTAGCAATTACCTCCTAAATATGATTTCTCAGCTAGTTGGAAGACCATGAAAGTGCAAGATTTCGTCTTCTATATATCTTTATCTCCTATCTAACACCGAAACGCTGCTGCTAGGAGCCAATTGACTTAAAATAACTACATAATATAGACGTACTAATTACCCATACATATTTGAGCTATGGTACGGCAGTTATGTAGAATACCTTACTTTTAGCATCTAGTACCGAAACATGGAAATTCTAGAAAATAGGTCACTACTCGACCTCTATAGGGTTAGGGAATCTCGTGGATAGCCTAAGGCATGTGAGGCGCTGCAGGTGGCTTTTACGAATAATCACCTGAAACTAAGGCGTGTCGGAATGTCGAGAGCAAGACCACGCGTGACCAATACTAAGCCTCACATGAAGAAAAGTTGCTACTCTCTAGAAAACGTATAAGCCGTATGTATTGGAATTGTATAGAAAGTCGAGTAAGCACCTTTTGTTCAGAATGATCATCTCACATGTAGCTATTCGGAATTTTAGGTATACCGAAGTACTTTGTAAGACTGTAGATGTACCTAGAGAGACGTTAGATCTCGTACATATACCTAAGGTACCTGTCAATTAGGTAAGACATCCGATAATATGGAAGGTTCAACGTAGGTTAGATACATACCACCTTGTATACAGAGTCGTACAGGAAAGGGCGGATACCTTGAATGACGAATTTTAAGAGAGGAAGACTCGAGGTGGAAGAGGTGGGGCTGGCACAAAGGGTAGGTACCTATGTACATATTGCACAGCCCTATGGCAAGCTTGGCTGGCTTGGGCAGAACGGGGGGAGCTTCCCCACTTACCGATAATACATATGTAGCAGCAGCAGTATTATGTATCTAGCAGCAGGCGCCCATTGAGTTTAGGTAAGGAACCTGAAGATGACCTTGCCCGCCATCAGCTGTCTATAGTACCTTCTCATAGTTTCAGTCTTTTATGACTTCTTTAGAAGAAATCGCGGATAATTAATGGCATATGACTAACCTATTATTTTAAGTTTTCATACTTTTTCTTTTTGCAGAAACGCAGCTGGACAACCACTCGTTATGACTCAACATATTCGGTGAAATATTCCGTACAAGGGTATACAACTAACTAACTACCTAACCTATGTACGTCGCAAGTTCTCCCCTGGACTTTCCCTGGCTGTTCTGTTGGTGCTCAGCCGCTAGTCCCGTGTTCGCATTGGACCGTCCCTTATTATGAGGTATCCCATCGTACCCATCGTACCCATCTGATGTACCCATTGTATCTCGGAATCTTGCGAGTTGGGGACTTTTTTATACCAATAAGCTTTTTCATCTTCACCAAACCCGTCATATCAAAATTTTACATCAACTCATCTAGGTTCGTTTCTTCCGCTAGGATTCCAAGGCAGCATCCTACAGCCCCCTGTTATATTATAGAGCTAGACGTAACTTGTTGTGCCCGTCTTCTTTTCCTTCTTCTCTGTTGGCTGGTCGCAATCGAATTTCAGTACATCCTCGCTCAAGGCCGCCAACCATGGCTCCACGCGAGAAGAGTCAGTTGAAACGGGGAAGGGTACTTCAATCTACCCTTGATTTGTTCGCGTCTCTTTTCGGCTAATGACATTTCGTAGGAGTCTCCTCCTTCCAAGACCGACAATGATATTTCAAAGAAACCTCGTCGATCCGGCCGATTGTCGCAAAAGACAGAAAATGCCGAGCAGCTAAAGACGCCAGTCATCACCAACAAGCAGAAGCTACCCTCACCCGTCACTCATCAAGGCGATAGCGAAGATTTGTATAAGGAATCAACAGCTGAGCCCCCGGATGGACGACCCAGTCAGGTCACGCACCGTACTCCCGAAGAAACCTTTTCCCAAATTCAAAGACTATCGTCCCCTCCGCAAGATACACAAGCTTTTCCGACTTCCCAATATGTTGAAGCAAACGCCGCTCTCTCTGACGAGGTCGAGGATGAGGAGAAAGAAGGCGTATGGGGATACCTCTTCCCGTTGGACCCCAAACACGGGGGCAGATGTGTCGTCTTGAAAAAACGGTCCAGTTGTCAACTGCCCAATGATGTTTCGGGTATACTGGCAAAGGAACAGTCTAATGCAACCGATGCCAGCGTCCTAAAACAGGAAGAAAGTTTCGAGAAGTCCAAGGTCAAGGGTGTACCGTCTGGTGGATATCTGATTGGGCGACATCCTGAGTGTGGTGAGTCCATTCTTCCCTTTTTGTCGTTCTAAGTTCTACTATGACCTAAATATGTGCTGACTTCTGCTAGATATTATTGTGGATGATCCAATTGTTTCCAATCGTCACTGCTTGATATTCACCGAGAACAAAGGCGATGACACAGTTGCTATTCTCGAGGATATGTCTAGTAATGGGACTTTTGTGAACGAGGCCATCGTCGGAAGAAACCAGCGCCGTGAGCTACAGGAGCAGGATGAGATTGCGGTGATGGACAAGGCCCGATTCATCTTTCGCTATCCACGAACCCGGGCTTCCAGTGCCTTTTTGCAGCAATACACGCTCCTCGACCGCTTGGGCAAGGGCCATTTTGCCGAAGTGTATCTGTGCGTAGAGAAATCTACTGGCCAAAGATACGCTGTAAAGGTTTTCACAAAAAACCCTGGTATGGATGAGAGGTCAAAGACAGATGGTCTACAGCAGGAAATTGCAGTATTGATGGGAGTTAGCCATCCTAACGTGCTATGTTTGAAAGATACTTTCAACGAGAAGAACGCTGTATATCTGGTGCTCGAGCTTGCGCCCGAAGGGGAACTGTTCAATTACATCGTCATGAAGCAGAAGTTAAGCGAGTCCGAAACAAGGAAACTGTTCATTCAGTTGTTCCAGGGTATCAAGTACTTGGTATAGCTCCCATTTCTCGTTTCCTCTTGGCATGGCTAACAACTGAAATAGCATGATAGGAATATTGTCCATCGAGATGTGAAACCAGAGAATATCTTACTAGTCGATAAGGATCTCCACGTAAAACTTGCTGATTTTGGTCTGGCCAAGATCATCGGTGAGGAGTCCTTTACGACCACTCTATGTGGTACACCAAGTTACGTTGCGCCAGAAATATTGGCGGAAGGAAGGCATAGGAAATACACCAAAGCGGTCGACATTTGGTCGCTTGGAGTCGTGCTGTATATATGTCTGTGCGGCTTCCCCCCTTTCTCGGACGAACTCTACAGCCGCGATTTCCCGTACACGCTTTCGCAGCAGATTAAGAGCGGGCGGTTCGACTATCCTTCTCCATACTGGGACTCAGTGGGAGACCCGGCGCGTAAGTCATTACTATTTTCAATTTATGGCATCTTGCTCGTCGAGTCTTATAACTAATTGTAAATATCAGTGGACCTCATCGATCACATGCTAGTTGTTGAACCTGAGAAGCGCTTTACAGTTGACCAGTGCCTTACACACCCTTGGATAACGCAGAAGACCTTAGGAGTTAACGATAGTACCGATGGGCTCGTGGCTGGGATTGGGGGTCTTGAAATGCAACGGAGAGGCGCGGTCCGAGAGCGGACGTTACTTAGTTCCATCAACTCGGTGCAAGTGACTAGCAAGGCCCCCCTAAGCCCCGATGCTAAGAAGAGTCCTGTGAAGGTCTTTGTGAAGAACCCTGATGCTGAAAAAAACGATGCATCTCCGAAAGAACCCCGGCCTGCAGACCAGCGAGGTACGAAGGAATTTATGGAAATGGGTGGTAAAGGCGACCAGGAATTATTCGGTAACGACACAAGGAGTTTTTATTCGAAACCCGAAGCTGCCGCCGCGAAGGGCAACAAGGCGAAAGGGAAGGGTAAGGCAAATGGTAATGGGAAATAATTACATATGATGGAATTCGGGGTAATGCGACCCTGGGCGAAGTATTGCTGAATTTGCCTAGCGGATCTACTAAACATCCAGTCTGAGGGCAGTACATTACAGGAGCGTCTACAATCTCGGCCTTGTTAGTTTCTATATGCATAGCTAGTCCGGAGGCTGATTCTCTATGTCACTTAAGGGGGTGTTCATGTTTTGAAGGTGTACGGATCTGGAGTCTATGAGCGATGGTTCATGAAAACGGCGAGAGGATATCTCACAGTCTGCATCACATTAGGTTTACCACATGGGTACCGGATATATAATAATGTATGCTGCTCGACCTTGAGCGCTACGACAATTGATCGAGATTATTCTTGGAAGCCAGTCTTTAACCATAGTACCAAGGTACGTTCGCCACCGAAACTAGTATGGCCTATTTAATTGGGAGATTGGGAGATGTAGACTCATTTCTATCCTATTGTCATTATATCATCTAATCCGAGTAAAATTGCCACGTTTTATAGATATTTAATATGGCCCTCGAGTAATCTGCCTTTGTTCTGCTAATGGACAAAGCAGCCGGTATCCGCGTCACCGAACTGATCCGGACACATGCCTTGGGATCCTTTGTTCAGCTATGACAGCGAAATATGTGATACCTGGCTGGTAAGAAGTCCCTCTGCTACTTTCGGGTCGCTCGAAAAAAGTAGAGTTGCATACGTTGTGAGATGGCTTCAGGCGATAACACAAACAGTCAAGACAATGATAATGGCCAAGGGGAAATTGACTGGAAGATTGGAAAACAGCTGCAGTATCCGCCGCCGGCAGATGTACCAGAATATGTGAAAAAAGCCCTTCCTCCGCGGCCGAATCCTGGTTCTTCGTTCATTTGTTCTTTACTAGTCGAGAGTGCTGAACAGCAATACATTTCAAATAATCAACATCAACGGGATCGTCCCGATGTCAATTCAGGTTCCCTCTATGAAGCCGAGCTAGCCGTGGTGCAGCCGCTTCAGCTGGTGGCATCCTCCTCACCATGCTCAGAGGAAGACCCCGAAATAGTAGCGCCACAACCAAGATATCCAGCCCGTATGATTCTGGAGACGAGCGAGGCCGACGATATTATCATCAGCCCTGTCTCAGGGACTTTAGCTGGGAATAAGAACCTACAGCAGTACGAAGTCTCACCGATCTCACCTAATGAGTCTGCATGTAGCCTGCATTCAGGGGTTTCTTCAAGTGCGAGTCACAACTCCTCGTCAGCAGAGGAGACATATCTTAGTCGACAGCCATTCTTTTATGAGAAACATCCTATTGTATATCGATCGGAGGATCTACTTCCCACGCTGGATATGGATGCTCTGAACCAAAAGCACCAGTTTCAATACCAGCAAATCAACCTCCGGTACAGTGACCCGGGGAGCCCTATGAATGGCACTGTGATACATCCTCCAACCTCATTCCCTTCTGATCCCAACCTCAGGCTCTCGCGCTACCTCGATGGTGAAAGTCAGGGGTACCCACTGACCATCAATACTAAGCCACTATCACCGGCCGACTTGGCGAATGATCTTAATCAGTCACAAACTCCCACCGAGACAATAGTTAGCCCCAAAGTCGCGTTCTCCAGCACCATAAACGGATTCTCGACACGGTCGCGGGCTAACAGCAAGAGGACGACTAATGCACCGCCACCTCTGAAACTAAGCGAGCGCCCGCTAGCAGACAGCTACGTTAAGACGCCGTTCCCAGGCGTAGAGCCCGTGCAGCGACAAGACAGCTCGGGTTCTACACGTCAGAAGCAGGACCCAGCGGAGCACAAAGCCAAAGAAGAGCAGAGCGGCATCGCGAGGAAACGGAACCGGGTGTCTACTCTTCCCGCGTTCGTGTTCGCGAAGTCGTTGAGGCAGAGCGGTGGTGAGACGCGGGAGAAGGAGAAGACTTCGTCGAGCCCGACGGTGAGGAGTATCTTTTCGAGGGCGAAGTCGTTGAGGATAGGTCGGGGGTTAGGCTTGGGGTTAGGCTTGGGTTTGGGGGGTGGTTCGGAGGAGGCGAGGAAGGAGAAGAGGAAGGAGGAGATGAAGAGGCAGATCCGGCTTGGTGAGCCGAGGTCGTGATGTATCCGGGTAAAGAGACCTAACCCAGATAATATACAGAGGTCCTTGTGTGATATTGAAGATGGCCCTATCTTTAGTGATTTGAAAAGGCTTATAACGTTACGAGTAGTTAAATAACGATTTCGTATAAGCTATTTCGCAGCTTGTTTTTGCGGGCGTTGTTACAACTCATAATTGGTGCCCGCAGTTGTCTGTTATATCGCTTATATTCCTTCATGACGCCCCGTTTGTACCTTTAGGGGGCACTGCCTCGCTACCATCTGTTGATAAGCCGCGGCACTCCTCCTTGCAGCCCAATATTCTATACAACCTTGCCAAATTCAATACTGAAGTTTTGACGCATTTTTCGTCATGTCGAAACCCTTCCGCAAAGTTCACCGAGTATTTTCTCGTATCTCACGAAGTGAACCTGAATCGCCACTCAAGGAATCTATTTCTGATTCTAGTCCGGGATGTAATGCGAAGTATGGTCTATTTGTATTCGTAGACAAACCTTCAGAGCAGGTCGATGGAATCGATATTGTGGCAGTACATGGCCTGAATGGACACTACATCAAGACTTGGAGCACAGAACTTCCGGACTCAGGCCAACATTATAACTGGCTTCAAGCAGCTCTTACGCAGGCGATTCCTACCGCAAGAATCATGTCCTTTGGCTACGACTCTGCTGTTTTTAGCAAGTCTGTCGCTGATATTGGCGACTTCGCCGACCAACTCCTCCAAGGACTATTAGCTAAGAGATGTAACCCAGGAGAACAAACTCGGCCACTTCTCTTCCTTTGCCATAGCCTCGGAGGGATTGTTTTCAAGAAGGTGTCATGTAACTCCATCAACTTCTCGGCTGAGCATGCAATAACTTCCAAATGATTCTGACCATGATTTCACTTAGGCTCTAGTTCGTGCCCACGAACGTAACCACTATACGAAACTTCTAGACTATGTCCAAGGGGTCGCCTTTTTCGGCACTCCTCACCAAGGGTCAGAGGCTGCAAATTGGGCTAAAATATTGGCTAGCATACTCAACGCCGTATCTTTTAATTCGAACATGAATAGCATACTTCTAGAGAGTCTCCAAGCACAATCTGAAGTGCTGTTTGAGATTTCCGAGTCCTTCGTGGATCGATGTGAAGGACTTAAAATCGTGAGTTTCTACGAAACGCATAAACTTCCCGGAACAAGTATTGTGGTATGTTCTGATATTTTATTAGACGGAACGTATTGATTTGCCCTTAAGTATTATGAGAACTTTACTAACATAACCTGCAGGTTGTACCGAAGAATTCAGCTTTGCTTCTTAGATCAAACGAGGTTCCTGTCCCTCTGAATGGGGACCATCGGTCTTTATGCAGGTTCTCGATTACAGGAGAAGACCGTGAAAGGCTAGAGCTAGTTCTAAATAGTCTCAAAAACATAACCAAAGAAATACATCCTCAAAATAGGAAGACGGGTAGGTATTTGCAATTACAATGCTAATACTAGGCTAATAATTGAGATTACTTTAGAGCTCTCCCCCGAAGATAAAACGGCTATACAAGAGTTGTATCCTGGGAACTATGAATCTTTTAAAGACCTTAATGCTACTCGAACTCTAGGGACGTGTGAGCGGCTACTGGAGCATCCTCGATACCAGGAATGGAGACACGAGGATCAATCCAGCCTTTTATGGATATCGGGTAATCCAGGCTGTGGCAAATCCACACTTGCTAGATTCCTAGCCGATTATTTGAAAAGTCTAGAACTCCGAACGCCTGCTCGAGAAACAGTATGCCATTTCTTCTTCAAAGAAGGTATTAGCAACCAACAGAGTGCTGTACTGGCTCTTCGGGCTATCCTCCACCAAATCTTCTCCTGCGACGAAGTATCCGCGAAATACTTCTTATCGGAATACAAATTGAAAGGTTCCAAGGTTTTAAACGAGTTTGACACTCTATTTGTGGTACTGGAAAAGGTTGTTATGGACCCGGGGTCGAAAAGGGTTGTCTGCATTCTGGACGCTTTGGATGAATGCCCACAATCTGATGTTGCGAAGTTACTCGAAGCCCTCAGAAGATCTTACCAAGCACAAGAGAAGGCGCAAGTCATGCCGCGCTTGAAGGTAGTTATATTCAGTCGCCCAGAGAACTTGATAAAGAATGTCTTGAAGAGATACGAACATTCTATAAGACTCAGAGGAGAAGATGAGATCGCAACTATAAACCACGACATATCCCTGGTGATACAACAGTGCGTCAAAGACCTACAAGCGGAAGTGGAAATCCCATATGAAATGTCTAAGGATTTGTCACAAAATCTTGAGAGTGGCGCTAACAATACATTTCTTTGGGTGACGCTGATGGTCAAGGTTCTAAGAGAGCACATCCAATCTTACGGGGGAATCTCGAAGAACGACCTACAGAGTCTTCTTCATGGCTACGATATATTTGCTGTATACAACCATATGTTGAGAAAGATCATCCCACGGCCTGATGCGAACAAAATGTTACAAATTGTCATAGCTGCGAGAAAGGCATTGACAATAGAGCAGATGAGTGTTGCTTTGGCTGTGAAGCAATCCCATACCACTCTGGAGGACATCTCATCAGAGATAAAATATCCTCAAGAGGACTATATCAAAGTCCTCTGTGGCCACTTCGTCTGTTTTGTCGGCCAGGAAATACACCTAGTTCATCAGACAGCTAGGGAGTTCCTTCTTGAGCAGGCCAATGAGGAGAGTGTTCCCAGACATATATGGCAACACACAATGACTCTGGCCGAGTCCCACAGAACTCTGCTCGAAGTCTGTATCTTATATTTGATCTGTGGGGAAAGAAGTGGCTGGAACGTACCTAGCTATCGAACTTTTGAAGACATGAAACGTGAAATATCGTACCAACAACCACTACTGGACTATGCAGCTATAAATTGGTGTTTCCATTTCAATAGGTCGAAGGTCACTATAGGAATGAACGTATTGAAGCAGTTCCTCAAATCTTCCCATCTACTCCATGCTGCGACTAGAAAGGTGGCAGGGTATTAGTAAAGCTACCTACCTAGTTAATACAAATCAAGTATGACGTTTATATTGTTATATTAATACAGCTTTGTTACAGGTACTTTTAATATTTACTTTATGTATAATATATGTACATCAAGGGTTCCTTCTGACAAAAGGCGCGGTGTAGATGCTCTTATAAATTCAAATCCGGTCACACTGCTATCTTTAAAATTGCGATGAATCGAAAATTTCAATACTAGCCATAGCCCCGAAATTATTGCATGGGGGATCATGATCTTGAACCTTTACGCGTGTATGCTCGGATCCGTTTTCAGGGGGCGGTTGACATGAAGAGCTCTTACAACACTTGTTGGATGGCAGAATCATCATTATTGACGGTATTTCTTACAGTTTGTTGAGAATTTAGGTAACTTACGGTATGTAAATCTATTTAAGTTATCGATTTATGTTGCTTTGAAGCCGAAAGGGGATTATTTAAGTGAAACCAATTAAGTCCCTGTCTTACCATGCGGCTGTGGCTTTTTCCTCCGTTCTAAGGTGGCTCGCTGGATGCCTGTGAGACTTATGATGCTGTTAAGCCATTGAGCACAGCCTCAGTGGTGGCCTTGGTATGGGAGGAGTTGTGACACGTAGCATGGCAAGGATAATGAGCACTTTTGTAAACTTGTAAATATTTACATGTGAAGTATACTTACCTAGGTACTTATACAGCGAGACTGTGGCTTCATACAAGATCAGGAACGGATAGACAAATAACATTCTTTCGGGAATCGGGAATCGCTATACTTTACAATGCACCTTTATGAACACTCGACTTTCATGTATATACACTCGATGTCATTAGAAGCTTCTACTTTATACATATCTATAAAGCAGTATCTCTTTCTTACGATTTTATAGTGAAGACATCTTTATCCTCTTATTCTCTCTGAGATCTGAGTCATTATGATAAGGCTGAGAGAAGATTTTAGAACCCGAAAGTATCCGGGTACTGAGCAATGCGTGGCCTGTCTCGGACGGCTGCATATGCATCAGGGGTAGCATCGGCTACATAAATAGGCACATAATATACCTAATGTTACGATACAGATGTTGTACTCAGTTCACCTACCCAACCTAAGGTAACAAACTGCTGCCAAACTCCTTCGATAACAACACCTTCTAGTCTCTGTATTAGTTCCCTTTAACTACTACTCTTCATCATGCCCAAAAACCGAAAAATTCGTAAAGCCAATCAAACATCCAAGTTTTCCCATTTATTACATTTTATTCAGGGTGGCGGCGACGACGATGGCGGAAATCATCACTGGAGCAATAAGCAGCAAGAAGAGGCGTTTGCAAACACCCCGATTTTCACTACGGCCGTGGAAAAGTTTGTTCACTCAACTTACCAAGTCTCACCATACTCGGCTGCCTCTCCTTCGAGTGATACACCCTCTCCCTCAACCTACCCCGCCTTCTCCCACTTATCTAATAATCCAGCCTCGGAGCTCGTTCCCCAATATGGCCTAATTGGTATTCGACAAGATTCTGTAGACGCAAGTGTCTCGGCAGAGGATCGCCTCGTTTTGGCCAATATGAATGTGCCATGGTCGGCCTTCATATGCGGATCTCAGGGTGCAGGAAAGAGCCACACATTGTCCTGTCTGTTGGAGAATGCGCTTATTTCAAATAATGCGGCCGGTTGCCTTCCTTACCCCTTAGCTGGGATGGTTGTGCACTACGATAAGTTTACTAGCTATTCGTCAACACAGGTGTGCGAGGCAGCATACCTATGCTCTTCGGGAATACCTGTGACAATTCTAGTATCTCCTTCTAACATTTGGGCTATGCGAAACCTGTATAGTAACCTCCCTGGGGTAAATGTTAAGGTTGTACCACTGTATCTAAACGAGGATCAACTTGATATCTCAAGAATGCTCAAGCTGATGGCCATAGACCCAGCAGCCAAAGACACTCCTCTCTACATGGAGGTAGTGATGAACCTAGCTCGAGAAATGGCAATGGAGGGTCCAGGTGTCTTTACCTACTCGAGATTCTGTGAGCGCCTTTCGAAGATTAAATGGGTCAAAGGCCAAGAGGCACCCTTAAAACTGCGCCTACAACTTGTCGACACCTTTATAGCTCCATCATCAACGACGAATGCTAAGAGGCCAGCTAGTGCTCAGGAGGATATCTGGGCGTTCGAGCCAGGTTCGTTAACCATTGTTGATCTCAGCGATCCTTTCCTTAGTTCTGACGACGCGTGCTCGCTGTTTACCATTTGTCTCTCGATCTTCCTCGAAGGGAGAAACAAATGTGGACGTATCGTGGCGCTAGACGAAGCGCATAAGGTAAACTCTGCCCCATGTTGGTGAATTATAAATGAAAGCTAACTTGAGGTAGTTTCTCACTCAGGCTGGCGAAGCGAAGATTCTCACTGGTGACTTGCTTTCTATAATCCGACAACAGAGACATACCGGCACACGAGTGCTAGTAGCAACCCAGGAGCCAACGCTCTCTCCAGAGCTAATAGATTTATCGAATGTAACCTTTGTCCATCGATTTCTCTCGCCGAGTTGGTTTGAAACGCTCAAAAAGCACCTTGCCGGTGCGAAGGAACAAAACTCGGGCGATGCAAACGTACTTTTCGAAGCAATTATCGCCTTGCAAACGGGAGAAGCGTTGCTCTTCTGTCCAACAGCGCAGATAGATGTCGACAAGAGCACCAACAAGCGCACGCAAGTGAAGCCTCTTGGAAATGGCCATGTCAAGATCAAAATTCGTAAGCGCTTGACTGCAGACGGTGGCAAAAGCATTATGGCTACCGATGCTCTAGTTCAAGCACTTGAACGGACTAAAATCGACAATGTGTTGATGGTCGATGCCATTCCGAAATCGAAAAATGATAAGAATGGCTCCGCGAAAGCTGCCGAGACCATAGCTTCAAGTGTGAAGCCGCATAACCTAAGCAAAAACACGTCCAACAACACCCTCGAGACACAGTCTATAACGGTTGAGGCAGCTGGAAATACTAATCCGCCAACAACCAAGGCCCCGTCAGCAGGCCAAATGAAGACGGAGCTGAAGCGTCAAGCCCAAGAGATGTTCAAGGATGGTTCTTGGACTTCATTCAAGGATTTAACTAAGAGCCAGAAGACTCGGCTTTTCTCTGGCGTCGACACTGCATTCCAACTTCCACCCGGCACAGCTGTAAAGAATAAAAGTTTAAAGACCTTCTTCTATATGGCATCTGATCAAAGAATGGTAAATATTACAGTCTTACTTCACTATTGCAGAGTGTCAATTACTAACCTGTGCTTCTTAGGCTAAGTTAAAAGAATCTGAGGATAAGAAGTGAGGCATAACAGTCGACGCACTAAGCTATCTATTGTGCCAAAGATCGAATAGTACAGGATGGATTATGTACATATTAGATGTACAGTAAGGTTAGGCATTTTGCCTTGATGTAAAGGCAATGAATTGGGACATAACAGACACACTTAGGGGTAGCTCGTTCTGCGCCAAGAAATCAGTCTCAATTTACCCCCTATTTGTGCCATAATCGAGCTTGAGATTATATAGTTAACTAGGTACCTAGTACCCAAATATGAATGTCTAATTAGAATGGCGAGACGCCATATACACCCAATACTTTCCCGACGTCACTGTCCTTCTCTCCCTTGACCACGGTAGCAACGCGTTCGCCCCCTTGCCAAGGTTCGGCGGCATTCCTTTCTCGAAGTGAAGCGGGATTGCCGGTGAAGTTAGTAGCGCACAGCCCCGGATCTGCTCCAAACACCAGGAAGCCCTCCGGCTTCAGTCGAGCGTAGTACATAACCATCAGCATATTCAATGCTGCTTTGCTGGTGCGATACTCTACCGCCCCTGGATTATAATAAGGCGAGGCCGGGTCCGAGGCATGTGTGATGGAGCCCATACTCGAGCTGACAAAGATAAGACGGGGCGGTTTATGAACGGCCTTGCGAAGTAGATCCAGGAAGGCTTCTGTTACGCTCAGGGCGCCAACGACGTTGGTTCCTAGGACTTGTCGGAAGACCTCGCGCGTGGGAGGACTGACCATTGAGACGATCCCAGCGTTATTGACGAGCACATCAAGTCTCCCATACTCGGCAGCGATACGTTCGGCTGCGGCGTCAACTGATTTATCGTCGGTTACGTCAATTTGAGTGGAAGACACTGTGCCTTTAACCCCCTCGGTGGCCTGGATCTCCTGTGCAGCAGCCTCTCCTTTCGAAGCGTCTCGGCTCCCTAGGATAACATGATAATTCTGGGATGAAATGACCAAATTCTTCGCTGTCTCGTAACCCACGCCCTGGTTGCCACCTGTGTATATAAGCTTAGTTTCTTGGACGAAGGATGGCATATAGGAGAGTGAAGGCGAGGGTAGTTTAACTGTAGGCGATGAGCGTACCTGTTATAAGAACTATACTCTTGTCTTGAGAAGTCATTTTGTTATCTGTTCTGATCCTGTCGATAGAAATAGCTTGCTAACCTACAAGAGCATAATTTCATCGTGTCTATACGCCCCTATTCTATTTGAAGATAACATCATAGAGAGGTCTTAACTCTAAGGGGCTAAATACATCCAATGTACCTGATGCCAGTGGGGTACCCCGCGGACGCTACGTCAAGAGACCCACTTCGGACAGCAACCACCTAAATTAAAAACCGGGAAGGTAGGAGCCGATCCCGAAAACGGTGACTTACACATCTTCCCCTTCTCAAAATGAGCGCTACAAACGGCATCTCCGGTACGGCCAAGAGAGACGACTCTCCTCCCCTCACGGAGCTCGAAACGGCCGAGATTCTGCAAAGCATCCGCAACTCCACCACTAGACCTCCGACCTCTTTACCCGCTGATCTCGCCCTCTCGCTCGACTTACACCGCCAGCACCACCACCAACACCAACACCAACAACCGCCGTCCGAACCTCCCGATCTAGCTTCCTATTATTGGGATGCGTCGACGATGGCCCCGCTAAACAAAATCTCGGCGGTTAGTATAGCTACAATCTAAGCACCCATTCTCTGGTAGTCGGGTGAGAGAAACGTAGGGGACAAAAAAAAAACGATTCAATTCATGCTCATGCGCTTAAAGGCTGCCCTTGCGCGTCTGCGCGCTTATAAGCCCCCGCCGTTTCCGACCTGGGACCATCTGCCTGTCAGCCGACGCGCCGCAGTGCTGATCCTGCTATTCGCAGACCGCAGAGGTGATCTAAGAGTCGTGATCACGATGCGGGCTACGAGTCTGCGCAACTTTTCTGGTACGGCAGCATGCGAACCCCTCTCTAGGAAATGAAGGAATTTGCATCTGATACGCATTGGCATTTGAATAGGTCACGCGGCTTTTCCCGGTGGGAAAGCAGATTCATTATCAGAGACGCCCTGTAAGTGTAGAGACAATTACAGCCAAATCTAAAAAGACTGTAAGAACTAATGTCCTCCCTCCCGTGTATAGACCAAATAGCTCGTCGCGAAGCCTGGGAAGAAATCGGTCTTCCCATGGACGACGCTAGGATCCCGAAGCCCTTTCGAATAGAGCCGCTCTGCTGTCTACCGTGCAGTCTCGCGAAGACCGAAATGGCTGTACGGCCGTGTGTAGCATTCTTGCACGCCGACGACGTACCTGGAAAACCTATAACTATGGTAGACGAGAGTATGATGCCCCGGCTGGATGCAAAGGAGGTAGCGGCAGTCTTTAGCGGTCCGTTTCACAATTTCTTGAAAGCAAAGGACGAGCCGCACGAAGGAGAAACGATACCCCCCGGTGATTGGTATGACGGGTACTGGCATCACTGGCACGATAAACCGTGGAGGGTGCATAACTTCCACGTGCCAGTAAATAACCAAAAGGTTACAAAACCAAAGGTTCGAGATGGCGGGCAAGCCGTGTTGGCTGACGTACTAGAAGAGGAGGAAGATGCGCTACAGCGTTTTCTAGTATGGGGTCTCACGGCACGAATGTTGGTCGATGCTGCGAGAATCGCTTATGAGGAAGAGCCCGAGTTCGAGCATAATTCTCACTACGGCGACGAAGAAATCATAGCGATTCTAAACGACGCGGGCCGCCTCCCCGACAAGAAGAGAAAGGAAGTAGGACAAGAAGCTATTAAAGACGAGGTTAAGGATGCGAAGATGTAGACGGACGGGATATGCTGTCCTTGCATTATTGTAGATTCATAATGGGCTCAAGCCGCCTGTATTTGTGATTACCAACCGCTGGCAAATTCTTATGACGCATCCAACACACTCGATCAATACCCTCTAGTTATAGTAGAGCTCTAAATCAGACTATATAGCTTCTTCGCACTTCTAGTTATCCACCCGCTCGCATGTATAAGACTAACTAGTGTAATGCTAGTGCTGGGCTATCTCGCATCTCGCATCTAATGACAGGCCGTCTCTTTTGCAGCTTTTGTATGCGAACCGAAGAAATAGTATCCGAGGCCAGCTCCGATAGCAACAGAAAACATGACGAAGCCGTTGTAGGTCATAAAGAGTAACCTGTTTATTAATAGCGGATCATTAGTATTGAGATTGTTAATCCTGGAGTAGGGATTTAAAGCAGATTTCTCACTCACATAATCATGAAGGCGTAAAAGTTCTGTACGGCGTACAGCACCGCCTTGAAAAGATGAGCCTGTCGCCCAATCGCGTCGGCTTGGCTGCTTCGTCCTACCCCAAGTAATGTCGCGCTCTCAGTATTTGATTCGACTTGATCGTTCGCGATAGCAACATCTTAGCCCAGGATTTCCCCAAAGGCGTGCCAACAAAATGAAATTGCATTTGCATAAGTGCGCGGATCGTCGGATGCAGCAGCAGCGCAGGTCGTATCACGTTTTTATAGTTGTACGACAGGCGCCGACTGCTGCTGATCCGGAACAATGGGGAGGGAGACGGGTGCAGGAGAGGTCTGGATCAGGAAACGGCAGAGGAGGTGATGGAGGCTGTACTCACTGGGTGCAGCGTCCTGCTTGGCAGCTATCGAGGACTCGTAGCGTCGGATGCCCTCGCGGAGGGCTTCGTAACCGGCGCTGATAGCAATGATGGCGAGCAAGCTGAAGACCAGCGAAGCCGTGCCGCGAATGTGCCATTGGCGGAATACGATGCAGAGATTGGTCGTGTCCCATGTGAAGAGCATCTATTCGAACCGAATCGCCAGAAGCCAAGGGTTAGCCTACATTACCCAATAGAAAGGATGGCGGAGTTGGGATAGATCAGCTGGGATAGATGCTGGTGGCGCAACTCGAGCCGTGGTGCATGAGGCTAGAGAATGCCCTGAGCATGTAGGTACTGACATTCATGTTGCACATCGGCATGTCACCGTGTCCACCGCCCATATCGCCATGGTCCATATGTCCGTGATCCATGTGCGAATGATCCATTGGCGAGGTTACGGAAGTGGAATTCTCGAAAGGGCCGGATATAAATGGGATTAGGAAGATAATAAAAAAGATAGCTAGGAGCTAAGAACGACGAAATAAAACAGAGACTAAAAAAATCAATTGAAATGGCACTTCTTCGGTGCTTAAATCCTGGGAAACTTGCTTAAACGTGCTCACTTCTAGGTGACAAACGTGACGATGGTGTCAGGTATTAGGTAGATGGGATGGTTTGATAGGTCGTTCCCAAACAACCTCAGAGCTTCTGTAACCTGGTACTACGCCCAGATTAGGTAAAGCGCTGATGCATGCAGCTTTCATTTACCTAGGTTAGTCGAGTTTGCACATGTACGTACATGTATCTAAGTACTCTAATTAATAAGGACCTACATGTAGGTACTAAGGTACGGATTACATTTATGTAGAAATACATGATGCATAAATTAATTATGCATCAGATTTCATCCTCCTTATATCTATTGCATATTATGTATGTATTTACTCTAACTAATAGGAGCTATATACTTTACTTCTTCATCTGTCCTAAGATCTATAATTGATAATCGTCTTGGGATAAAAATCGGGTATTTTATCCGATAATCTCTTTACTGGCCGTGATGTCAGAATGTTCTGCGCAACCGACAACCATACAATACCTCCTATGATCTAAGAAAAGATAAGTACTACGGTTCCAGTCGGCACATCTGTTACGCCCTGGATGGCTTGAAGCCAGATTGGAAACTAGTTTCTTGTCAGTCCTCAATTTTAGCCAGTCTACCTCTATAAATAGATGTGGGTGTACTGACATAGTAGAAAATATTGAGAGTCCCCCCTGCGCAGAAAACGTAAATGGCACTACAGGCCACACTGCGCTGTCTTATAATTCGAGGGGGCACTGCAGGTCCATCTGTTCGACCTTCTCACGTCATGTACTAGCTGCTAGTTGTTTTTTCTGTAGGGGTGAAGGAATAGCATCATGGCTAGGTTAGCACTCCTGCCTAGAGGAAGATTGATGTAAAAACACCATCGCCATGTTGCCTCAGTAGTAAAAGCACCGCTGAGAAGAGGTGCAACTACCGATGCAATACCGTACATGCCACTATACGAACTGACGAAGAATGACCTCCTTTCTAGAGGAAGAGATGCTGCGAGGATACTAAAACGATATCAATGCGGGGAACTGAAGGCCAGGACCAAGTGAGTCTTACATGATGAAGCCACATTAATGCCAGCACTACCCAAGCCGGCACAAGCTCGACCGACTATCAAGGCTATTGAAGTAGGTGTTACGGCGCAGAGCAAAGAGCCAAGCTCGAAAATCGCAATAGGGGTAAGGAACACATGCTTTATGGAATAAAACAAGAACAATTTTTTGTATATAAGTTGAAATGTCGTAAATGTCATGAAACTAGCGGCAGTAAATATGAGAGAGCTCGTGAGTTGGTGCAAAATGGCATGCTATGCTGATCCGTACCAGCCGACATCGTTGATCGACTTGAACTCATCGGTAATTCTAGGGGTAGCTGTCGTGATGATTGTCTCGTCCGAGTAGAATAAGAGGTATGTGTTTATGAGAGTGTAAAATATCTGGATCACATCTACCACTCACCATAGCACACAGGAAGACTGATATGGCTAGTGAAGCAATAATTGCCGCTAGCTTAATGCATTGAGGGTAAGATTGGTTGAGGTCGTCTGTAGAATCTTGCGCTATAGCCTCTGTTTGGCTGTTCCAATCGAGTTTCTCGGATTCCACCGGCTGTATCCCCCGCGTGCCCATCTTGAATACAATTAGTAGGAAGATAAAAAAGAGAATATAGAGCAACTAAGTTACTTCTAATTTATGGTTTCTCAGTATTCTTGCTAACATTTTGAGATGTTACCCTGAAGTATGGGTAGGGAGGGAGGGATAAAGAGGAAGTATGGACCTAACTTTACCTATCTAGGTACTTGGTGAATAAGCATTCTTATAAATACTCTGGGCGTGTTGATATACCACTCCGTGTTAAAGCCGAATCTGATAAGGATGTTATCGGCATAAAACGTTCGATGGTGGGGTCATAGAATCTCCGTCAATCCTTACATTGTAAGAAGCGGAAACTCGCGGGAGAATAGAATGAAAGTTGAAATGTATGTTTGAGACAGTTTAAATCCGACGGCTCCGTGTGTTAAAAACCAGTATAAAAAAGCCTGAGAATAGCCCGTCTATAACCCTCACCTCTAAGTCCAGCGACATAATCGTCATAGATAGAGGAAGAAATATCTACAGTCAACATCCTTCCTTCTAGCCAACCAAGATGCTCTCCGCGCCAGTAAATCTCCCAAAGTGGTAAGCCAACAAGGTTCTCATGTGGTCTTGGCTCGACTAATAGTAGCTAAGGCTTGAGGAGAACGCTCATCTCCTAAAGCCGCCCGTCAACAACTACTGCGTCTACAACGAAGACTTCACAGTTATGGTGAGCAGAGGCATTTATCAAACCTTAGGCTTAACCCTACGATAATAAGCTAATCCAACCTACGTCTTTACTAGATTGTTGGTGGTCCCAACTCCCGGACCGACTACCACATCAATCAGACCCCAGAATGGTTCTACCAGTACAAGGGAGCCATGATGCTAAAGGTCGTTGACGATGGCAAATTCAGAGATATTATAATCCGCGAGGGAGATATGTTTCTCTTGCCAGGTAATACCCCTCATAACCCGGTGCGTTTTGCCGATACCATTGGTGTGGTTCTCGAGCAGAAACGGCCTCAGGATACTATCGATCGTATGCGTTGGTACTGTCAGGAATGCAGCGAGATCGTTCACGAGGCTGCATTCCACTGCACAGACCTTGGAACTCAGATAAAGGCTGCCATTGAGGAGTTTATGTCGAGCGAGGAGACTCGGAAATGTGGAAAATGTGGCGAGATAGCCAATTCTGTACCCAAGCCTGGGACTATCATCGACCCAAATTTGGAGTAGGGATCGGTTCCATGTATTTGATGTCTATACATACAATAATACGCGTGTCCAACCGTGCCAATGCCCCCTTGAACAAAGTTCTATCACATGCTGCAACAACTTAGTACCCACGGACTTATAATGGTGTTTAATTCAGAAGAGTCATAAGGTACAAAGCTACGTAGGCAAAGTAAGAGTCTACCAGGTGCTCAGACTTCGAAATTTACAAACTTATCCATAACCTAGTTACACGTTTTTAGTAGCTGCGTTAACTTTCCCAGAATATATAAATGGCACTAGTATGACCATTTGGCACAAGGAAATGTATCCTCCCTGCAAATACTTAAAACACCTTTTCACCCCTTTAATCAGAGACATCAACTCCAAAGATATACGGCTAGGAGGTTTGCTGTAGAAGCAAGCGATTCGAACGATAACTAGGAATATTGCGCTAAGTGCTGCTCAACGAAAATACTCACGAAGGTCTTGCCTGGAGCAACGAATACGCTTGCCGCCGCTCTTTTCATAAAGATTCAAGGTTTCAAATTGCTACTATAAAGGATTGCAACGATGTCAAACACTGAGGCATCGGAATTACCAACTTGCAGAACCCATAGGAGGGCGAGTGCGGTCGTACGACCCCCTATACCATCAAATCTCGTCGCTATTCCTGGAAAATTCTCACTACTGGCGTCGCTACCAGTAGAACTCCACCTTCACGTCATATCTTTCCTAGACCTCAATGACGTAATTCGCCTTCGACGAACGTGCCGGCACTATTACCACTACTTCACACACGACAACCTTATAAACTACTTTAGCGTAGATGGACGGCCCACTCCCGAGTTGCTTCGCTGCTGTGTCAACTGCTTTCAACAATTTGACCACGTCTTAATTTTTGATGAGGTACGCTGGCCGAGCCCGTGGAGCTCAATGTGTTTCCAATGCTTTCGTGTGGAGCGAAGTCCGGCCTACAAGGATAGAAGCAAGCTTGCACATATTATCTTTGTGGATGGGGAGCATGGCCATGTCTGCTCTTACTGCGGCTGGCCCGTAAATTGGGAACTAATGCACCGAACTTGCTGTAAATATGCAAATAATTCGTTTGAACGTTTCCTCTACACGAAGTGGCAGGACATGTTCCACGTTATGATACTCATTCCACTTCTAACTATCGTATGCCATAATGTTATGCCTACATCTGTTATGCCCCCAGGATTAAGGTTCTTTCAGTATATACCTCCAGTGGTAAGTTTCTTGGAACACGTCTTGCGCACATTTGTGGCCATACGGTTCGCTATGATAGGGGCTAACCTTCAATAGGTTGAAATTTACGTATATATTCACAGTCTCAAGAAAATTGCAGACGAAGACCATTATTACCTGAATCAAGAGGTCTTCTGGTATCCCCATTTTCTTATTGGCCCTATATTAGTTCTCCTTTGGTTGCCATTGGTCATCCAAATGCTATATGGGGTGCAAATTAATTGGAACAACAAGCACGCGGTAGAAGGTGGTGTAATTGTGGCCTGTTATTTCTTACTTAGACTGTAAGCTACTGCCACCACTTCATGCTGGTATATCGTTATAATTATCTATGCTAACATGCTACGGCAGTTTGATACATGCTATGAAGACCATAGGTATGGCTATCTGGGTTTCAGGATACGATACTAGAAGTTGGTCTCTTCCACGATTATCCCACACACAAAAGCTCCGCTATATTTTGTATTCGTGGTTAGTAACTTGGTGGACGATGGAGAAGCCTTCGGTGTGAATATCAAGGAGAAGATAGGTAATGGTTTATACACGCGCACGTGTGCATATATCAGGTACTTTTACTCGGTATGACCTTAATTTCTTTTTTTTATTCATTCCTTCAAAATAATAGTTAAGAGGTACCTACATAAACAATAAGCTCTTCGTTGTATACTCAACCTTAACTTTAACCAAGCTCGTGTCCTATTGGAGGTTGCCCTCTGGGAGAATAGCTCAAAGGTTTAATGTGTATAGTATCATAATTAAAATAAGTAAAATAAAAGACGCCTAGGGTACCTATATAGTACAAACGATATGAAACATACGTAAAATAATAAAGATATGCCTGATTAAATAGGAAATCGTTTAGTAGAAACCATCATCCTCAGGTAAACTATATGTGGTAGGCAAAACATAGGCTCTCGCAGTTGAAAGATAGGGGGTCCTCACAACTTTCTCAACACGGCCAGCATTTACCATATTGTCAAGCACACCCACGCTGCCAGTGCTCGTAAAACATGCCCTGTTAATCTTTGCCACTACATAGTCCTCAAATTGTACATTCGATGCCAGCGCCGGTTCATGTTTCGAAAGTTCAAGAAGTGTACGAAGGAGGTTTTGTGTATGTCTTGTATCAGTTGGGCTCTCGACCTTCTCGAGCCCCTCGACAATACAATTTAGATAAGGCGGACCGAACACTCGTATATCTCTCAGTAACGAAAGCGCAGTGCTAATACTCACTCCAGGATCGGTTAGCCTTAGGAATCGTTCGGTGGACAGATCTATATCTGTGTATATGGGTTGTTCGGACAGGAGCATGACAAGCTGTACAATGATGGATTTCACCATATCCAACAGCATCTCGCCCTTGGAGGGTTCCGGTTGGTAGTGATATACTGGATATCTAAGGGAGTAGAAGTAGAATACGTTTGGGATCTCTGCTTTATCAGATATCACTTTGGCGTATGCAGCTTCTAGCGTATTTTGACTAGTAGGAGTCCACACTCCATGCCGAGAACCTCGGATCCAGATAGTATCTTCAAGGGGAGATTGAATCCACATGTTGATTCGCGTTTTAATATGACTCTGAATCATTGTCTCCAAAGACACGCTCGAATCAATATCCATAACACTGCTATGTTGGTGGTAGTATCCAGTTTGGATCAGACCGAGAGCTTGTAGCATTTCCTCGCGGTAATACCAATTATAGTTGGAAAGGTCCATTGTCTCTATCTGAGTTAAATGTGGGCGGTTGATATTTCTTTAGGTCTATTGCTGACAAGTCGTGAGAGGGTACACAACGTGAAGATAATATTGGTCCCAGATATATCCTATTATAATAGTTAAATGACTTTATGATCGCGACTTTCATTAACTGGCCTCTGGAAAACCTGTTCTTTAAATACTTTTGCAACTTTGCTTTTGTGTAACACAATAATGACTGTCAGATAGTTTACTCATAATTGCCCCTTTAATATGCGCATATAGCTGTCATATGATTCATATAGAGTCAGGCAGTTTAGGACGTGGATCACATCTGTGACATTATTATATCAATCATCCAAAGAGAATTCCAGTCAGGAATTTAGAATTAAACTCTCAGACTTTCGTCGTCAAACCACAGTACCATCTCTAGGTTAATGGATGACTACCCTAGGAGGTACTTACTTAGTACAAACATTATCATTCAGCTCTTGAGAGTGATAGCTACACAACTAGCAATCGCCCTATCTCACATCCAAGAGAAAGATCCTTTCATCTGAACATAACCTGATATTATGTCAGAAATTAGGGGTTGGACAAGAGGTTTTGTAAGCACCGGGTACTATTTGCCGAGTTTTTGAAGTCAGTTGAGAAATCCCTTGGCCGCCTTGGGCTTGTCATTGTGTACGTGGAGATATAACATGGAAACACCGCTCACTTATTCAAAATTGAATCACCAACACACCTCAGAGCTCTTTGTCTTAAATGTTCCAAGCTCCTAAGGATTTACAACACGATCATGTACCACCATGTTGAAGATTTTCCTACTTGCAACGGCCACACTGCTGGTCTCGTATCTCTGCGTAAGGCTAAGATATTGGCGTTTCACTGGGAACATCTTTAAATCTTGAAATTTTTAGGGTCGTGACTGCAAGAATATTCGCAAAAGATATAATTCAGGGTTCACGACTCAACACTTGTGGAGCCTCTTGCCCCTTTTACTCGAGAAAATGGAGCCATTCTGGAATTGTCTGGATCAGCTCATAGAATCAGGGGAAGAGGTTTCCCTTGAGACACTTATATCTATCTTACCCTTTGATATCATTGGTGTTGCTGTACTAGCAGCCAACCTACATGCTCAGCATATATATTCTTCTAAGCAAGGCGAAATAACCCATTTGTTCAAGCAACTCGTCCAGAAATATGGTGAATTGAAAGAAGAAGATGGAAAATGATGGCAGAGCATCGTCGCGCTGGGTTTAGCTGGGTATACAAGAACCTGAAGCATTGACGCCCCAGCTTTATCGGAAACTTCAGAGCAAGTACGCAGTTTTCTATTTGCAGGTCACGACACAAACACTAGAGCGCTGCAGTGGGCTTTCTATGAGCTGAGCCGCATGCCCCACGCACTCGAGGCTGTACGAGACGAACTTGACGACGTTCTTGGACCCGAATCAGACCCTCGAATAATATGTGCTACGATTACGCAAAAGGGCGATAGCCTCCTATCGCGCATGCACTATGCCAATACTGTCATCAGGGAAACACTCCGCCTACACCTGCCTGCAGGTACCGTTCGAATGACGGAGCCTGGGACCGGCTTAGGTGAAAGCGCCCTGGATGAGAAGGGTCTTCCTGTATTAAATGAAAAGGGGCAGTATAAATCCAAATCAGAGTTATATAACGTGAGTCAGATTTACATTTCCATCATACCACATAGTTCCGTGAGGAAAGTTAGCTTACATCCCAGCCGGTAGATGGGACAACGATAAAAGTTAGATTAACTACAATATTTTGAATGGATAGTTATACCTACATCCTTTCGTGTCCTTATCGACCTACACAATGCCCATATATTCTTGGCTCAGCTTTATATAAATATGGTGTTGGAATGGTTCGTACAGTATGCTAGGTTAGGTACCTAGATAGGTATCTATGAAAATGGGCAAGCAATTATAGTAGGAAGAGAGCAGTAAGTTAAATCAGTTACTTAGATACCTAATGTACCAATTTATTCATTATGGATTGCTCTATTGCGTAATAAAATTAACGTCAGAATGGCAGTAGCTACATATATGCTGATAGTCAATCTAAACCCTGTTGGTATAGGTAAAGACGACCCGACGAAGGTATAACAAAAGCCACAAAAGACACATCCTAAAAACTATGCCAGAGTAATCATAGCACATGTACGGCTTAAAATATTAGCAGGCGTGTGCTGTAGCTACTATTGAGACGTTTCGATGAGCCTGTAGTTGTATTAATAGTATAACTAGTATGGAATAGCTTCATAGTTTGGGGGTTAGCATTATTGTTCTCTTATTATTTCCTTGTACTATTACTGCGTATAAAAGCCCTGTAAGAACCCAACGCACTAGCTTAGAATGAGATAGTTTATTATCATTAACATTCATTGTTAATAGCCTTACATACGAATTGTATTCACCCTTGACATAGTCCAACGAAGATTTTTATCGAAATTTCTTCTGCTGGCAACCGAGGCACTCGCCGCAAGGATTAGCTACAGCGCCAAGCATACTGACGGACAAGAGGTCAGACACACTCAAAAGCTCGGAAATATTCCAAACGGCAAGGTCCAAGACATTATCCAGCATATGAAGACATGGTTTAACAACCAATATGATGCTGGAACATCTGTGCACTCAAGTTGCAATACTAATAATACGTCATATGTTAGGTACTTGGGTAGATATTCATAACATTATGTATGTACCTACTTTTAAAATCATATAGTTCTGATTGTTTCATACTCCTATTTATTCCCTTCCACTACGACTATACTTTCCTCCATACTAGAGGCGCCCGCTCTGGATGCAGCATCTGCAGAAGCAATACCTAACCACTGTCTTCCCTAATAAGGTCTAAGACTCGCCTACGCGCGGTCTCGATGCTCTCGCCCGAGTATTTCTTGACCGGGTCTACTCGCCACTGCCTGAATAGACCCACCATGAGAGCCACGAACTCAACCTGGGAGAACTTTTTGCCGGGACAATCGCGCGTGCCCTCGGACCATGCCAAGAAGACACCGCGTCGGTTAATGTCGATTTCCTCGTCGCCTGGCTTCTTAGCTCCAGGCCGGATCCAACGGGAGGGACGCCACTCCAGCGAGTCAGGCCCCCTGATTGCTCATTAGCAGCTTCTTGTGAGGCGCGGACCAAGAGTGTCATGAGGCTATTATCTAAGTTCTCCTCCCCAGCGGCGAAAGCACGCTTCTGTTCCTCGTACATGGTGGTCATATGCGTCTGGAATGAAACGAGCGCCTCGTTTACGATCTTCAGCTTGGAAGGTAGCCAATACCGAGCAAGAAATTGCCAACGTTTTGGGACCGAGAGCCAAGATAACGATGAGATTCTCTAGGATGAGACCTAAGGATACTCTATAGCTCATAGATCGGATCTCATCGACTGGTTTCTCCTCCTCGTGGCCCCGAAATCTGAACGACTTGCCGAACCCAGCACGGGCAAGCACGTTGAGTGTGAGTGTGCGCATGTCCTCAGCGCCGGATTTGACATAAGTCTTGGAGGACCAATAACAGAGCATGTCATCTGAGAGGCCAAGAGTTTCATGTCACACAACCTCGTTGTTAGCCTCGTTGAAGCAACGAGTTGCGACTCTTCGCTGCATCTTCCATGACTGACCCTCGGCACAAGATATATTCGGACCGAATACACCAAGGACATCGTTGACCCAACATGGTCTGGGAAAATCTGCGGCCCTCTTGAAAACGTTCATAGTAGCATCTGGATCGTTCAGTTGAACCATGTTGTACTGGGGCGTCACCAGAACAAAAAGGAATAATAAGGAGAGAAAAAAACGAGGAGATAGAAGCTGTAAGGGAGCAGAAGCAATTTTCAAGTCTACGGGATACGGATGAGTTCATGTGGTAGTTAGTTACTTTTCCCAAGGTTATGCTACCAACATACATGATCCTAAGGTTGTGTTACCAACATATATGATCCTAAGGTTGTGTTACCAACATATATGATCCTAAGGTTGTGTTACCAACATATATGATCCTAAAGCCTTGTTGATCCTATCTAGATATACCTACATAATGTACCGTACCGGACTCTGGTGGTGCGAGTAAACAGTTTAATAAAATTTATGCGTATTTATACCGTTATTTCATTTAAATATTCAATAGGTAGATATAAGATTTTACTCAACGTTCGCTTAAGTCTTAATTTTTAAATGTTTAAATATTTAAATGGTGAAATAACAGTGAAATAACGGTTGATTGGTCCTCTGGTATGATACCTATCAACACAGCCTCAGCGCATGGGTGCAGCCAATCCTCGGGTCGGTGCTGTCGCCCTGTCGTACAACAGGCACGCCATAAATCAACGTGGTCTTTGATCACCCCATCACCCCAACCTCAATTTATTTCCACGGTGTTTGAAATGTTTACTTCTATCAGGTCACTCTAAACCCTCATCGATATCAACGAATAGATATGGATCCAGGCTCGGGCTCTCCCTCGCAACGCATTCAGTACAAGCCTCTCGACGCTTCCCACAACGAGATTCGAAATGAAAATAGTGGGAACTTGGAGGAAGCAGGAGACGTAAAGGTACAGAGCACAACGGTTGATTCCATATACGCCTTGCAAGATTTGCCAGGGAAAGGGAAAGGTCTCGTTGCAAGGGAGAAGATCTCCAAGGGCACGCGAATTCTTTCTGAAGAGGCCGTAGTTACACTCAGTGCATCGGTCGGCAGCGAGCGGCTTCGAACATCCATCTGCCAGCAAGTTGAAGCCCTTAGCGAAAACCAGCGGCGAGACTTCCTATCCATGCACAACATCCACCCATACAGGAATACTGCTGAGCAGTATCTCGGGATTTTTCGAACAAACTCCCTACCTGTCGAAGCCGTTGGAGATAAAGGGGCAATCTTTCTGGAAGCATGTCGCATCAACCACGCTTGCGATAATAATGCACAGAAGAACTGGAACGAAAATATCAAACGACACACAGTACATGCTCTGAAAGACATCAACAAAGGCGAAGAGATTACGATAACCTACCTAGGCCCTCTCAAGAACCGCAAAACACGGCAGAAGGCTCTTCAGGAAAAGTTCCACTTTACATGTTTGTGCCATCTCTGCTCCTTACCGCCAGAGAAGAGCCAGGAAAGCGACAGGAGATTAGAGGAGATCCACCGCTTGGACTGTGTCATCGACCAACTCGGCACAGAGGGGGTTTTGGTATCCCCACTCCGGACCCTTCGCTACTTGGATCAACAGGTACGTCTATATAACGAGCAAGGGCGAGAGGACGTTGGTTTTGCGCAGGCCTTTGTCAATGCCGCTCAGCTCGTTGTCGCCAATAGCGACTTGGCAAGGGGACGTGTCTTCGCGGAGAGGGCGGCGTCTGTTTGGAAGACAACCCTTGGCGGTGACAGCGCGGAAGCTATCCAGCACGGAGCTCTAGCACAGGATCCCTCGAATTACGAGCTATTCGGAATCTCAATGAAGTGGAAGACGAAAGTGAATGAAACCCCGCAAGGACTTGAACCGGGCGACTTCGAAGACTGGCTTTGGAAGAGGGAGAAGCCAAACCATCCCGGACAGCTGGCGGATCTACGGAGCCGCACGAATTTCCCCGGGTTTATTGACCTCCCGGACGAGAACGGCGTCGACCCGGATTTTTATGAGAGAAGCAATATAGGTACATACCAACCGCGACGCCATTGGTGCTTCTTTGGTGAGATTGTGGATTTCGCTTCGATACTTCGTCTGCAGATGGAGATCAAGGATGTTGACGGTACGACAATTCCGCTATACTTCTATACCGATAGCCGAGGCAGTGAATTGGCAGCAGGACAGGTTCAAAAGGGCTATACGGTCGCCATTCTCTACGCAGAGCGCCACGTATTTATGTCCGGTGAAACCGGTATCCGCCATGAGAATCCGCCGTTGATCAAGGTACTCTAAAATTGCTAATATATAGCTTGGTTCATGTTCGCTGACCGAACGGGACATCGTATAGATCTTTCCACTGTCACTGGATAAGCTGCTAGTGTTGAACGACCAGATCCAACAGTTCTCGGCAGAGATAAATGGTATGAAAATATGTCACGGGTGCGGAAAGAAGGCGGCCTCTTTGCAACAGTGTGGCAAGTGCTTGTTTTTCTGGTATTGCAATAAGGTAAGACTGCCATTTAAAATGTCCCTCGTATTACGTTGACTTTGATGCTAATATGGGTGTAATAAGGCCTGCCAAGTAGCTGGCTGGAACGAGAAAGGACACAAGGCTGATTGTAAGCTCCTTAAAGATCCCAATTTGCGAGGATTGTTTGTTTTCAAATGGGACAAGTTTGATAATCATATTCGATTTCCTTTTTAAGTTATTTTCACACAACTGATACGTATTGATAAAGCAATACATGAGGCTTATTTGATGATATATCTGATGATTTGATTGATTGAAGTAAGATCGTGGGAACGCGTATTTCACCGTTATTTTACATGAGTCTAGGTACCACCAAGCAATAAGCAAAGCGGTTCGCCAAGCCTAAGCCTTGGTGCAGCTTTCAGATTAAGTAATGTCCAAGCTTGTGCAATTTTCATAAGATTGGTGTCTGTGCAATGATCGTGTAATTTTAAGGGGCACATCTCCCATCGATGAAGCCAATGCCGTTTCTAAACCATAACCTGCATGCTATTCAGGTCTTACCCATGTGAAGAGTTTTTGTCAATTAATCAAGTTTCCTTTACGACAATCCTTCTCATCACTAAACAAGGTCTTTATACCTTTTTTTTTTCTTTTTTCCATATTGAAGTCTCTATTCGAAGACTACCACCTATCCACCGAGTATCTACCTACCTACCTAATTATGACAAGGGTCAAACGAAACCTATCCGAAGCTGAGACAACACAGTCTGGTCCCAAGCGCGCAAAGAACATGAAAGGGACAAGCAAGTATGAGCGATCGGAGGACGAGAATTCTGATTATTATGACGAAAGATCGGACTACTCGGAAGGAGACGAGAAACCGCGGCGAATCCTTACTTTCAAAGAACTTCAAGTCGCTTACCCACTTCCGATGATCAGAGATCTTAAAGCCCGGAAATTGGTCCAAGATCGTACACCCTCCGCCGCGGCGAGCAGCAATAAAAATAAGGACGTGGCCGTAGTTTATACCGTCGCACATGCGAAACATGGTCCATATATGGGCCACGAGTTCGACTTTTTAGGCACATATAGTAGTCTCGAAGCAGCCAATGTGCAAGTTCTGAGCTTCTTCAACGCAAAGTACCAAAGCCATTTGGACTCCGATAGTGTACTTAGAAAAGGCCAAGAAGTCCAAGGGGACATCGGTGCTTGTTATTGGATCGACAAAAATGGGCTTCTATCGTTTTGTGGTCGCGAAGAGTACGTTGAATTCAAAATCAATATTATTAAGCAGGAAGTTAGGACGAATGGCCTCGTTGGAGGACGGACCTCAATACTCAGTGGATAGGAAAGCGTCGTAACAAGAGGATGTAGAATGAAGGGATTCGAGGCCCGATTACGCACGTACGAACCTATGTAACCTAGTATTTCTGCAACCTGTATGCCAAGCTTAGAACGATAGTTCCTGACATTCAAGAAGTATTGTGGGAAAGTGATATGTCCAAGGCGATACTGATTTGTATTACAACTGCAACTAAAATAAAATATAATACTGCAATAACGTATGTGAATAGGAGCTTATATTAAGCACTACGGTTATCATATGGCTGTCTACATTTGCTAAATAACCACATACCTCCTGTTGCAACCATCATAAAAAATATATTTCAACTTGTCACCATAGCTCTTCATTCTACTATTCATGAATGCAGCTTTACAAAAGCCGCCTTTAACACATGACTGTGTGGAGGCGGTCTGTCGGGAGCAATATTTACATTTTGAAAGATTCGTTCAATTGGAGTGATTCAGGCTATCATATGTAGCTTTTATGATTGGGCTTTCAATAGACGACTGTGAGTATAAGTACGAACAGGTAGTATACACATGTTTTAGCCATGTTTAGTTTTGAGGCCAGTGAATAGCAATCTTGCTAACACACAACAGCAACATAGAATATCGCATAGAATATCCTACGTTGATAATATGCAAGTCATTCCATTGACGTATCTTGAACGTTAAAGGTACACAAAAGGAAACTGCCGCTTATAAATAAGGCAATTGCTTATTCTTTCCTATCTCCTGGCGAGAGAACCTCAACCTCCTACAATCCCACATTCCCACATTCTTCCTCACTCAACCGCTTCGCGATAGCAAGATATTGGCAAACAGTAAATACTATCTCCGCAAACAAGTCAACCAAGGCAATTCATCATACTAGGTATTATTCTGGTCGTCTGTGGATCAACTCGTCACGATACGAACGCACTTCCTAAGTCGCGATGTGCTACTACATTTTCTACCAAAGATGGTGCGCCAAAGGGAAACACCTTTTCGGGCCGCAGGAATTCGACCGAAAAGAAACCTGTTTTGTCCCTTGTGCAAGGGGTCTGGCGGTACCTGAAACTAAGGTGCTGAAGAGACAACGGAATATATGCGCCGACTGCAGTAGACGGGAGAGGGAGGCAAACAACAGAGGATAGAAAGAGGAGGAACTTGGAGTGGTGGGAGAGAGTTGAAGCTCAGCCAATGGATAGCACAACGCCGAATACCCGTCAACCACACGAATCCCTCATTGTTGCCCGTCCTATTACTTAACTCTTCCATTCAGTAACAGCTATGGGAAGTCTTTTTATTTGGTTAATGAGGGCTGTTTTTACCTGGATGGGTAGCTAGCTTCGATGCTTGCTAATATAATATCATTAGAACCCATATTTAATCCAATCCAGGAACGTCAAACTAACCGCTATTCGTTGTATTTGATTTTTGGAGGCTATACTATTTAATGTATGGCATACTTGTGTTATCTTCGTAAACTCAACTCTTTCCACCCTTTAAGGTGCTGCGCTTTGATTAAGGAATCGGGCAAGATTAAGGATAGCGCACCAGACGTCAAGAAGAAAAAATAAGAGGTTATTCCGACCCCTGCGGTTGTATACTATGTAAAGGTAACTTTAGCCAATGGGAGTTTTGCTCTAGTTTGACATTAAATTCCTACGATACGTGCCCCTGTAGGTAGGCTGGTTAACTCAGCCTAACTTCTATCCGCGTGTCGTGTTTTGTCGGATTCGCACCAACCGTACAACAAGCCAATAGCTGAAGAGTAAAAGGCACATCGCTAAGACTCATAAAGCTCTCCAGGCTATCAGAACCAATTTCCCTTCGCGGTTCTTCTCGCCCACCCCCCTCCCTCCCCCCAAAAAAAACAGCAAAGGATCTAATTTGTAGCTTCACATAAGTGGTTAGAACTTAACACCGCCGTAGCCAAGACTATAATAATCATCAGATATGTTTAGGTAGGTACGTAAGCCTTTCTCTATCATGCTTCCAAAGACTCGCATTCGCATACACGTACTGCGGCCTGCTCAATTTCAAGCAGTGAGGAGATGAACAGTAGGATAATCATAGGGTTGAGATAGCAAGCTAGAAATTATATAAGAGGTCCATGTGTGCGACGTGATACTGAATTTGAAGATGCATCGATTCACACAACACCATCACACAATTTGCCAAAGCTACTATCATGTCTTTCAGAAATCACCTTGTACTTGTTCTTGCCACCAGCCAGCTTGTTAAATCACAGGCTGAGTATGACTGTCGTCCTCCGCTAGATTCCAACCCGTTAACTTGGGGTTTTTACTGCACTCCAGAAGTTCAGCAGCCCGCCGTACTCAAAATTGAGGGTACTATTCCCACTTGGTTGACAGGGTCGCTATACCGTGGAGCCTCTGCCACCTGGGATGTTGGCAACTTCACGGCTGAGCACTGGTTTGACGGATTCAGTCGCAATCATCGCTTCGAAATTGCCTACGGAAAGGTCACCTATCGGAGTCGTAATGCATCCGACGAGCTGATGAACTTTATTCAGGAAACAGGACGTTACCCGGGCGGATCTTTCGGCGTCGACCCTTGCAAGGTTATCTTTGGTGCCCTTGAAACTAAATTTAGGAACCGCACCTACAGCCCAGGCGATAAAAGCACAAATAACGTCAACGTAGCCTGGATACCTAACTATCCGGGTCTTGAGCGTAATACAACAAGTGAAGGCGGCCCCTTTTTGACCCTTGCCATGACAACCGAGGGTAATCCTCTACAGCAGATAGATCCAGTCACTCTTGAGCCTATCGAGCTCTTTACCTACTCTGCCTCTGATTCATCTGACAAGGGGGTGTTAGGGACTGACGGTGGGCGCCTGGCAGCTCACCCGGCCCACGGCTCTGATGGATCAATCTATAATTACATACTTGATACTTCAGCCAGTCCTTTCGCCTATAAAATTTTCGGCGTCAACCCAACAGGAGAAGTGAACATACTCGCAACCATCACCGACGCACCGCCGGCCTATATACACACCTTATTCAGTACCGAAAATTACCTCATACTTGTAGTTTGGCAAGCTGATTTCAAGCAAGACGGTGCAAACCTCCTTAGTAGGCTTGGTCCTTGGGATCCTAACCGAAAGACTCTCTTCTACGTGGTTCCTAAAATTGGCGGCGGCGTGACCTCCAAGTATATTTCGGACGACGCATTTTTTGCTTTTCATCAAGTAAACAGCTTTGAAGATGAATCAGGAGCCATTAATATTGACCTCCCGCGCATGGAAAACCTAGATTTCCTATCAGCAGCACGCATCGCGAACCTCAGGGCCAACCTCGGGACCAAAGAAGGTGCGTCTTCGAAGAATGATGTTGCTGCAACCTTCACCCGGTATCGGTTGCCCGCTTATCGGAATTTTTCGATATCCATCAACAGAAATTCGTCACTAGAGACTTATCCTGCTGAGAGGGTATTTAGCCTTCCCTACGCAGAGGCTAACATTGAACTCGCAAGAATCAATGAAGCATACTCAGGGAAGCCATACAGATACACTTGGGGTGTCCATGTGGAGAAGCCAGGATATTTCATAGACTCGTTGATCAAGGTGGATACACATAATCGAGAGTGGAAGATCTGGTCTCCAGCCACAGAGCAGGTTCCGTCCGAACCGATTTTCGTATCCGCCCCAGGAGCTACAGCTGAGGATGACGGTGTACTACTGTTCATCGCCTTGGATTCGGCCGTGAGAAAGAGCTCTTTGGTGGTTGTGAACGCCACTACGATGGTAGAGATGGGAAGGGCTAGAATGCCTATTGTGATGGGCTACGGATTCCACGGAATCTGGGGTGAAGATATGTAACAGGACTTATTCTGGGCATTGCTACCTTACATACACTGTCTGTTCACTGTCTGTTTTACAATAACGTTAAATATTGCCCATTCAGCTATCACCACCTGCCCATCTATCCTCTGTTGAGGGCGCTGGGCGCCTCTTATGTCCCTAATCCTAGTAAATTTACCCCTGAATCTACCCCTAACCCACAAAATACATTACCGCTCCGAGATGAGGCGTATATTCATTTGCTAATTATCTTATTATGCTCACTTTATCTTTGATTGGTGACTTATGAATACATTTATACTATCTAGTTCAAAAGAATGGATGGAGTTGACCTAATGAGCAATCGAAGCAAAATACGTGTTAAATGACTGTGTGCGATCAAAATAATTCCTGATGTGATACTTCTTTCCCAGGCCCAGCCTATACCTTTACCTGCAGTTCATTTAATGTCCTCGAGGCCTATCATAAGAACCGGTAATTGTTGTCCAAAATCTTTCACACGCAAAATCCAGTAGACATAGTAGAATTTCCGAAGGTCCAAAAGAAGAAAAAACTCAAAACTCCGAATCGTAAATTTCCTATCACGTTACTCTGCCCACCCTTCATAATATGATTCTACACCACACAAGCTATTCAATAAATATGCTTGTAGAGCTGAGAATAGTCGTTCTATTATTCATTAGAGACGATAAATACTATTATTTGATATATTTCATACCGCTGTCAACTGATAGTTTCCATATACCTTATAGGTACTGTGTCTCATTTCGATGCGGTACCCGCCGCGGCCAAATATGCTCTTGAGTTCGCCTGAGAGCCGCATGGGATCCACATTGCGTGTTGAGACGGCGAAAAGTTGTTGCATTGAGGCGTTTGTGTATGGAATTCTGGGTCGGTATGCTGTTCTGTAATGAACAATGCAATGGTAACTAGTTGAGTATCTGTAAAAGCAAGAAGGCGATGGTTTCCTCGATTGTACAACTTGTTGATGATCACGACAAGAGTCAGCATATCCAAATGTAGGCTCTCTACTGTCTAAAAGAAAAATCAAGATTGATGGCTGTGTCTAGGACTACTTAGCCTCAGCCACCACCATACGGATTTGCTACACCTCTTCAGAGGATGCTGTCCAATTGAAATGAGGGCTGATGTACCTTGCTACCAATGGTCGAGGGGCCGAATGATACGTTCATGCATAGAATCTCACCCTTTGCGGCAGCCAAAAGTCCTAAGTCAGACGAAATCAGCCTATGGCTGGCTGTCCGTACCACTTCAAAATTTTCTTCTCCAAAATAAGAGGTAAAAGTCGAGAAGATATGAGCCTTGCCTGTTCATAATGGTGGCTTAGAAGTTAGGCCATTGTAACCTCGTTATTTCCGAAGATCACTTGGTATTTAAGGCCAAGCTAGACCTTTCTTTGGAGTGGCAGCAATGCCTTAAGCTTGTAAATTCCTATTAGTCTATAGGCCGCACAGAGCTGAGCCGAAATGGAGATCCAATCACACCAGAATCAAAATCTACGAAGCGATGAAGCTGTATTTATTCACCCTTTAACCAACCGCACGAATTTCTCTAATCTATACTTTCTAGGCCATTGTCGACCCATCTGAGATAACACAGTTCGTTAGTTTACCAGCCATATATTTTATAGTCCAAGGCTAACAACTTGTAGATCAACCAGCGGGAGTCAGAACGAAGTCATCTGAGTAAGAGCACTTTTACTCAGCCTGGTGAATTTACTGTCATTGTCAACCCTCCTAGCGACGCTACAAATAACCATGATGCTAAGTCGGATGCGTCTCGGGTTGGACATTCATATCCCAGCACTATTGACGATAGGGGTAATAGCGAGAGACTTCGGGATAATAGAGAAGTTCCTTTTCGGTATCCAGAACTACCTGAATCACAGGAAAGCACAGTCGCGGGGACAGGTAGTTGGTCAGAAATCAATGAGCAAGATGATATGGCGAAACAACTACGAGACGCCATGATAGATTCTGCAGATGGAAAAAGGTTCCTCCCTTTGGACAAGCTGGACATGATTGTCACAGAGAAAGCTGTCCACAACGAGCTTTCTCATAACCATGAACATATTTCTGCGCAACGCATCTGCCGGAGACAAGAGATAATCGAAAACGATAGGACACAATATACATCATACCAAAAGATTTTCGCTATCTTGGTTCTTATGGGCGAAGTTCAGCTTATGTCTGACTTCTTGGACGAGGGAATCAGAGATTGGGATCTACCTTTGAAGTCGTGGAATACTCGAGAGAGCACCTTCCTTGTTGCACGACACAATGAAGAAGATCCTGGGCCATTATATCGGCTGCAGACAGCTAATAACTGGTCGGCGAGTCAGATTGACTTTTTCCAAAGCCAACAATGGATTATATGCGCCACTTTCTTTTCTAGAGCGGAGCATCTAGGAGAAAAGGTTCACTTATATCAGCTAAGTCCCCACGACGTACTCCCTTTTATTAAGCCGGGAACCGATGACCATGGAAATCCCGCATATCTAAACCAGGGTTTCTTTTCCACCGTTCGACGTGTGAAAATTCACCCAGCGCATCATAACTTCCCAATTCATAAAGTAAGATTATACAGTCTCGATTTCCGATAACTAACCTTATCTGACAAAGGTCAGTTAGGGGATGGGTTCGCTAATAACTTCAAAGGATAATCCAGGAGCTGACTTTGCCGTCAAAGAGCTCATTAGGGTATGGGATGAGAATGAGAAACAGAGTGACCCTAAGGACTACAGAAAGAGCTTTGACCAAGAAGTTCAAGCATTGAAACGCTTTTGCCAAAGGAACGAACGATACATCGTGAAGTTATGTATGTCCAGCTCACATCATTCTTATTCTGATCTTCCCCAAGGCCACATCCTGCTAGATTCATCAAAAATTCTCTACCCATGAGTCATGCTTTGAATTTCCTCCAATTGTTTCCCTAGCGGGTAGTTACTCGAGCAATTACTGACACTTATTATATAATATTTAAGTGGCTACTTATGAAATCAATGGCAAATATTATCTCCTTTTCCCAGCAGCAGATGGGAATCTTATGAACAACTGGGAAGAAAACCCAGAACCAAAGGGAATACCAGCATTGTGGCTTGCACAGGAGTGCCTGGGTATTGCACAAGCTTTGCACAAGATCCACAAGTATACTTATACACCACCGGGTGTAGGAACTTCATTTCTCGGGTCCCAGCACATACCAAACCATGGTATACATGGTGATATAAAACCGCAAAATATTCTCTGGTTTAAAAGGCTTCCAGGTCATCTTGTGGGTGATACGCGCAACAAAGACAGTATATCCCAAGTGACCGATTCTTCTGGTCTTGGGTTTTTGCAAATCTCTGATTTCGGAACCGTCAAATTCCATCGATATATGTCGATGAGAGGCAACGATATATTGGTCAGAGGCAATACATACCGAGCACCCGAATCTGATCTTCCAGGAAATCGAGGCTCTCCAGCAATTGACATTTGGGCATTTGGATGTCTCTATCTTGATTTGATCACATGGTATGTCCGAGGTGGCAAGAGCGTCTGCAACGATTTCCCCCTGGCTCGTTCAGCAGACGAGCCCAAGCAATTGATTGAAGGTTTCGCCGGCGACGACAAGTTCTACATTGCAAAGAGTGAGCTGTTTACAGGACGACAACTTCATATCGTGAAGCCGAGGGTCTCAGAGGTAAACACTTAACTATCCTTCTCCTTGTCTGAATAACAGTCGAATAAAAGATAAAATTTAAAATCAACAAAAGAAGTCGCCCAACTAATATGTCTATAGTGGATAATGCACCTCCGAAGAGAGCCACGCTGCTCTCAGTTCATACACGATTTCCTAGACTTCGTTGAAACGCAAATGTTAATCATAGACCCAGAGGAGAGATGCAAATGTCCTGTAGTAGTTGATACGCTACAGAAGCTTCTACAAAGGTGTATTGATAACCAAGAATACTACGCCATTGGGATACCTCATACATGGATGAATCTAAGGTCCAACTTCATGCTACTAAAAGCGAAGGTGAGACAATTTGCACAATTTATCGACTCTCGTGGTCAAATAGTCTCACTCATACTTGCTGTGGTTGTTTTGGCTGGGCTATCCTGGTAATGATAGGTATTTTATACATTGATATACGAAGATATAGACATTGAAAGCGTTGACGTAGTTTCAGATCTCCTATCCCAACCCTAGTTCCAATAGGAGAATCCGTATATGATTCTTTATGAGTTTCAGAGAAGACCATTAGTCCTGACTTTCATAGTGCTTCTTAGCCTGTGTCTTAATCCACTCATACTGCGCCTACTAAATGAGTCAGAATAAAAATTCCTATAAGGTGCCTATTGAGGACAATATCTGACAGTACTAAGCCCAGGCTCGGGAACCCAGACTTGATATACCCCGTGAGCGGCGGTCTAGAGGTCTAGTCAGTCCGTTACTAATAATTAGAATCATTGATGCGTTTTAAGGTGTACTAACTGGTTCTGAAAACTGATTACCGCTTAAAATTTGTCTCAAAGCGGCCTTAAGTTTGCCTTTGTCAATATAGTCTATATTGAAGTTGTGGTAAGGCATTGTGTACCTCGGAATAATGAACTTATGGCTGTGCGGATTCGAATATTTCATGTCAGGGGTGCTAAATAAATAGGCATGATTATCTATGGTAAGCTCTAGGACTACCCAGCCTGCCTATTCGAACTATCCTTTGCAGAGCCTCATCTTGTCCAAGATGTCACCGGATAAGGAAGGGTCAGAAACTCCGCAGCCTACTTCAAAGCCCGATGTGTATGGGTAGTACCAACCACTAATGCTCTTGTCTTCCCCCAAGTTTACATGCAAGTTATATAATCCCACCACAGCCACCTGTAGCCGTTAGTGGTTATTGATAAGCAATAATTGCTAATTGGATGAGTGGCTATAACGCAAGACAACACAATCTCGATGGCTCTGCGAGGCGCTCTTTACGGCAGATTTACTCGCCCAGAACTGCACATTTTAAAGGAATCCCATTATGATTAAGACTTACGTCGAGGGTCACTAGTAGATATAGGTAGGTAGGTAGGTACCTATTCATGCAGTCGAGAAGGAATGCGAATGCGGTGGGGTTGACAAATTTATTCACCGGCCTCGACAATTCTTAACCCCTTTGTGTTATCTAATATTGCATTATGGATTGGGTTCGACAACGATGGAGGTTGTCTGAAGGAGACTTAGGTAACTTTGAATACGCAAACCGAAAATGCAAGGTCATACGATTGGGTTATGATGACCAGGTAAGACCTTAATAGAATGTTCGCAAATAGAAGACCTCCTTAAGAACGGAAGTTAATATAACGGCTTAGAGAAAAAGCAAAGTCCAGTATTGGGATCTATCGTCAGATTTTGAATGGCAGGATTGGTTCGGAAAGGTTGCGTATGACTTCCATTTCAATGCCTTCCGCTAATAAATAAAACTATAGGAGAAACTTATATCTGAGAATTCTCGCAACTTTACTACGTCCGTGATGTAATGTTCCCCTGCAAAAGCTAATATAGCCCACATTCTAATATCCTCCTAAGATTAGGAAGCCGAAAAGAGAGTGACTGCGAATTGAGCTATCTACCCTTCTCTAGACCAGTCTTCGAACATATCCTGAGCCGATTCTTTATTCATGACTCGATAGCCAGAACAATTTTTCGCAACTATGCGGCGACATTCTCACGGGCATATCTTCCTATTGAGAAATCCTCGGGGACCGCGATAGGTAAATGATATTATAGCCGGTGCAGATGATATCTCAATATATTAACTATAGTGTAGTATATAACTGTCGCACATCAGCTCACTGGGACGATGACCTAGCGCTATCCGTAACATACTTTCCAAACACAGGGCGCACCTATGCGGTCTTCTACGGTTGCAATGCTCATTCTGCAGGCAAAACAATCATGGAAAGGATTTCTAATCGATTCATTAGAAGCTCAGAAGACGCATTTTGCCACCCAATGCTTTCAATTGGCATATTTGCTGAAATTGAGAGGCTTCGAATGCGCGAGCTTGTTTTATCTAGGAAGACTGCCTTGCAGGACACTATTGATGGACTCCAAGCTCATGGTTACAGAGCACTTGAAAACTCAAAGTCATATGTTGATCCTTGGCTAAACATATACGCAATCAGGAATGGTCTTGAATGCTGGATCGGAGTTCTGGCTAGTATGATTACCCACATAGACGAATTGAGTCGGGCGTATGATCAGATCAACGACGAAAGCAACTTCTACAACACAGGCCGCCGGATTAAAGATCGCCTAGGTGAGATTCATTCTGAGTACTTGGATCTAATAAGGGATTGTAACATGATTATCGATGGAATGACTCTGGCTACAAATATGGTTCGCTTCCTGCCCTTCCTTCCAGACAACAATACCGAAACAATATAGCTAACATATAATTAGGCGCTTGCACGAGACAACATGAGCGAAAGCAAGCAAATGAAATCAATTGCTGTAGTGACTATGGTCTTTCTTCCTGCTACCTTTGTTGCAGTAAGTATTTACCCCTTAATAAAGGAGATATTTCTTACAAGGCTACTAGACGTTGTTCTCCATGACGTTTTTTGATTTCGATTCAAGCTATATTTGGCTATACCCCTGTGTCGCAATCCCCCTGACGATTGTGGTTGTTGGTATATACATTTTCGTAGTAGTTCGGCCGCATTGGAAACAAATGACAAAGGCTTCAGATTTCGGTACTGGATATAACGAAAAGGGGCAAAACGGTAGATCATGTTGCTGGGTTTAAGAGGCTTCTATCAATAGTAAGAGCATAGCCAAGTAACTAGGATAAATAAACCAAAATAGGTGCATACATGTGTCAATGATACCCCCTTTACTTACCCCTTACTTGTGGATCCCGCTGCCAACTAATCCGTACGCACTGACCATATCACTACACGATGGAATCATACCAGATACTCGAGAACATCAATAATGCCATACAGATCCACCAGATCACGATTACTACTACTGGCAATGGACATCTAAAGTCCTCGTGTAGGTACTATATGAAGTACATACCTCTTACCCCTTGCTCAAATACAAAGACATCACTACCCCCTAAACTCTAACCTACGCCTTATCTGTACCTAACTTCGGTGTATATAATTACTTCATCATAACTATATTGAGGGATACTCCCATATTATTAGGTGTTGTGGGGTAGATTCATAGGCAGTTTACTAGAATGAAGTCATCGATGAGCACGGAATGGCACTGTGCTTTAACTTTACATCATGGGGTTCCTGACTAGGATTTACTTTGGATGGTCGGAGTAACCACAGCATTGTTGTGATTCACTTCCTAAATTACCTAAAAGTATACATTAATCAGGCATCAGGGCTATACATTTGGTAGTTAGGCATATACGAAAGGGGCAGTTATGAATGGATCATAGTTACTACCTGCCTAACATGATACAGAAAAGCATTGGATACTTTAAGTACCTAGTTGTGAAAAGAATCTAAGAAGGAATATTTTCAGAGGCTTGTGAATAAAATGTTCACTTCTATTAACGTTCATGGATATAAAACGAAGCGCTATGTATCTGCATCGAACTCTTAAACAGAAACGAATTCCACTGCAACCCGGAACACAGCATCCACCATTCTCTCCAAGGCCAGCAAGGCCAGCAAGACAACTACCAATCAGAAGTTGGGTTGCGTCTTCTCACCAAAATTCAATCTAGATCCAGGGTCCCTATTAGGCGCCATACCCAAGTAAAAATAATTGCACAGTTAGATTCGTTAAGGGGCTATCAAAAGGTTTTGGGATCCCGTGCCTAGCTTATTTCTGCTCGTTGAGAATTCATGGTACGCCTCTTGGCAGGGAACGCCCACCAATGATCTCTTGTCAGGGGTTGCTGTTAGAAATGACCAAGTCTATTGCTATGCAACTTGCTAACCTAGTCTCTTGCCCAAGCAGTTCTCTACCGAAGTCGATCTGTCCAGCGGCCGTATCGCCAGTTTGGTAAATCCTGGGGTAGATATCAGCACTGCGCTGGAAATATTAAGAGATATTCGTGGGCTTGCTCCACATCACCTACATTGTATTATTAAAGGGGTCCAGTTTCTCGAGGACCGAAGTGACGTGAGCCATACACGAAACCTCCGGTACACGCTTCGTGAACTTACGAACATCTCAACACCACTGGCATGTCGAGAAGTGACATGGACTGCTAATATATGCTTTACAAGCGGCGGTTACGTAGATGCGCTCGCCCAGATGGTAGAGGATGGTCATGTCGACAAAGTAGACGAAGAAGAATAAGCTCGTTATCCTACTACTTTCACTAGCAGCTTCATGTCTTATTAAGTTGGGAGCAATGTTGCTGCTATAAATGATGGAAACTTTCTAATACCGCGCAAGTATGAGCTATGCGAATTACAGGGTCACTTCTAGCGTTATGAACAATACCTCTGGAACAGCTGTCGGTATCTAGGCAGGTATGCGATAGCATCTTTGAATTTTATATATTCAACTCTGAAGGCAATTCTCTCCTTCGTATTTGACATGGTATAAAGACATGGTATAGAGGCACGTATGCATCTCGTAGGCCTAATACAGTTAACATCTAACCAGGCTAAAATATATTAGACTGGGTCCACGAGTACTTTATCTCCCACCGCAATGGTAGGAAATTGGGCCTCCTTGGTGTCGGTTCTTGGTGAAGGCATGTGGCACATATGCGTCCCAAAGAATACCTTGCCATCAAACCTTCTCGTCTTAGCCAAGGTCACGAAGGGCTCCTCGCTCTTTTCAGCTGTATCCTGGTCTATGCATATCATATGGCATCTCCGACAAGAACCCAGCATCTTGAAGTCCTGTTGTCCAACTCTTAATCTCGACCAGTGATCTTCTGAATAGGCAAGCGACTGTGATCCGGAAGCTGAAGAGGCGATGGTGATGTTTGCTCGAAATACTTCTGGGGAGATAGGTCTCCCACCTTGTCCGACTATCTGATGATTTAACGTTTCTACGCTGGATAAATTTATTGCGAGGATTGGGCTTTCATTCGATAGTAGAATCCGCTGCCGCTCGGATTCGGAGTCTGAATCTGGTGGCGTATCCATGCCTGGAAACTGACAGGGTATCTTGTACTGCATCTTCTTATTGACCTTTTGGTGTTTCTGGAGGTGAGCCTTAGCATGCCGCACACTTTTCCCCAAGCCGCCTGGCGGGAATCGAGCTAGCATACACGGCACATCGAGAATTTTTGAAAAGTAGTCATTCACGATGTTTGATGTGTAGATCTGCGCCGAAATTTCTTCGCCACAAACCCTGGAGGCCATTGGCTTGGAAGCAGCACTAGTTTGAAATAGAGATGGATTTGCAGATAGAGGGATATATAGTTCGGGTTCGCTAGTCTTTGAAGGACCCAAATATGACACTCGCAAATGACCCTTGGCAAATCCAATCACCGGTCGTATGAGGGCCATGCGTGGATGTCGCTTCTGGCTTAATGCTTGGCCGGTACCTCGATGAACCAAGCACCATTCTCGATCCCATGCTAGTCCCTCCTCTCTTACTTCCCACATTACCCCGGTAGGAACACGGAATCCGCCACAGCTCTTGATCGGGAAAACAGTGATGCTCTTCACATATAGATCAGGTGGGCTTTGGGGGGCTGAGATTGGAATCGAGGGCACAAGTTCAGGGATGTTTTCAATTCGATAGAACTCAGCAATGAACTCAACGAACTTATCGACATCTGAAATGGTGCTCATGGCTCCCAGGCTTACTCTAATAACTCCTGTTGGCTTTCCACCAATGATGTCATTCTCAGTTCCGCATCTAAAGCCAGAAGAGAAGTTTTTCTTCATTTCCCATGGTTCAAGGTTAAGGGAAGATGCGATTCCACCCGGGTTGCAGAGCCCTCCTGTGCGGATATGAAATCGTTTCAACACCGCGAGCTTCTCAAATTCAGCCAAACTAACCCAACCCCCCAGGTGATTTTGTAAGTTGAAAGCTATGACCGGACCGTTATTCGACACGAGAGGGGGTTGTGAGTACAGAACACAGACTGGTTGGTCATTACCATGTCTAAGAACATCTAAACCACGATATAGTCTTCGACATAAGAACGATGTATGGCCCGCGACATCTTCCATGGTGTTGAATAATTGGTGATGAACATCAAGAGCCGAGGCTAACGCGACGATGCTATGCACTGGCAGCGTCCCATCTTCTATCGACTCATGTAAGGCTTCCGATTTGGGAGCATGCCATTGTTCTTTAAGACAGACCACCATATCGACCGTGCCACCTCCGAAGTATTTACGTGACGAAAAAATCGACGCCGCTTGGCGTCTCACAATAAGCCCACCCAGGTCCGGAAATCCAAAGATCTTGTAAAAGCTCAGCACAGTAAAGTCGGGAGCCGTTTCCGAGTTACTTAAGTCCAGAGGAGACGTTGAGGCAAATGCTGCGGCGTCTAGCAAGGCGAAAATTGGGCAATTTGAATCAGATTGGGTTTTGCGTATTTTATCGGACCAATCCAGAGGAAGTCTTCTGCCATCCATATTGGATTGGGCTGGATACGCAAAAAGGACTGGCCCGACACGATGCCCAAATTCAGCAGTCGGATTAGTCCCACTAATCCAATCGTTTACAGCAGTGTCATCCAGACAAATACTATGCGAAGCTTCTTCTCGAACACCGACTAAACTGGTGTGGCATGCTTGATGATACAAGTAGTCAAACCCGAGCTCGTGGCCCCGAAAAGCATCAGTGACTAGCTTAATGCCTGCAGTTGCGTTAGCAACAAAGATAAGGTCGAATTCGGAGGGATCAGCATTGAAGAATTGCAAGACCCGGAGTCGAACATCTTCAATCCGAGAGGTCGAAGTCTGGGAGGACAAAGAAGCGGAATGAGGATTGCCGAAGAGATTCGACGTCATATCCGCGGCGAATTTGTCCACGAGAGACTTCGCATACAACGTAGTCCCGGCATGGTCAAGATAGATTTCATCTATAAACTTGTTAATCAACTAGATTGGACTTAAGAGTTGGTTAAGAGGAGGAATGAAAAAGGTCAGCTTGCCTCGCAACATGGGGAACTCATTTTGTCGAAGCCCCTCGATGCAGCCATTATATGCCGTACTACCATCGTCCGTCATATCGGTGGTGTAATAAAGAAGAATGCAGACATCGAAGCCGTCCTACCCACCAATTACATGCACGTACACCTTATACACCTTTAGGTATCTATAGCGGCACCTAGGAGAGAAGGTAGGGAAGAATGCTAAATATAATCGGGTACGATTCATAGTTCATCATGGTTCGACTCAAGAGTGGGATCCCAACTTTGGCGATGTGGCAATGGCCCGACTAGTGTTGTAGATACCTAACACCGACGGTGAAAGATGATTGGGAGTACCTCGGATGCTAACATTCGGAGTGCGGGCATGAACGGATATGGACATCCATAATTGATAAGCCATCGGCAGCTGGCGGAGTTCGCCTTATTCCAGTAGCTTGAGTGGTCCAAGCTTCACTAGCGCTAGAGTGGGGTTATTAGTGGGGTTATTATTGGGGTTGATAAAACTGGAAGAGTGGGGAGAATTGGCGCGTCATGTTCGCGCTGTGCCAAGCCATTAGCCAGGGGTTGAAAGCTAGGACCTTTTGAGGAAACAGGGGAAGTACGGCCTGCGCGTTAAAATCACTTTACGCGACTTTCTCGCGTTCTGCAGACCCGCGTCGTCTCCCTTGCCAATTTCATCTTAGAGCTAGTTTTCTTCTTTCCGTCTCTCCTGCAAACCAAGTTCTCCACATAGGCAACTTCATCCTTTGCACTTCGCACTTTACATTTCGTGCTTCAGGTGCATTGAGCAAAACAGGTATCTACCACAATCAAAATGGCGCGATCAGCTCTCGGAAAGAGGACTAGGAGTACAAAAGAAATTGGTAAGAACAATATCATTCGACTAATCCCCAATTGAAGCAACTGACACCGAGCCTAGAAATTGTGGATGCACCTACAAAACGAACACGACGCCAGACACGCACTTCCTCACCCAATGACGAGAATGTAGACCCCGAAGAAATTACTACCGACGAGAATCTCGACAGTAAAATTGGCGTCTTGAAGGTTACAGACAAGTCACCTTCCAAACGTATCCGTAATGTAGAGGAGAATGGAGAGGGTAAGAACATTTCACATAATGTTGTAATTAACAAAGGGGCTTTATCTGATTGAGCTCGCAGGTGAATGCGCACCACTTACGCCGCGTACACCCAGCACGCCTCGTTTCCGAGATGCCCTTTCTAAAGTCCCCGTTACTCCCCGTCATCGGGTTACGCCGACCGGAAGAATCTCGAAACGCCTTTTCCCACAAACACCACTCACGCCCGCCGCCCTTCAGACTGTATACCATCACGCACGCCAACTTTTCTCGCGAAGCGCCGATCCCGGTCAATTGATTGGACGTGACGATGAACGTTCACAGCTAAAAGAATTCCTACAACGATGCTCGAAACCCAACCCCAGTGGATGCATATATGTCAGTGGACCACCAGGAACAGGGAAAAGTGCTATGATAAACGAGGTCACGCAAGAGCTGGTTGAAACAAAAACCGTGAAGAAGGCCTACATCAATTGCATGAGCATAAAATCATCCAAGGATCTTTATGGAACTCTCATAGACCAAATTTGCGATGAGACGGATATCATCGAAGGCGACGCCGCTACCACGGTTGAGAAGCTCTTCATACCGCGAAAGAAAACAGCCAATGTCTATTTGGTTGTTCTAGATGAAATCGATCATATTCTCACATTGGACTTGGAAAGTTTGTACCGACTATTCGAATGGTCCATGCAAAAGTCGTCACGTCTTGTGTTGATCGGCATTGCGAATGCGCTGGACCTAACAGATCGATTTCTTCCACGCTTGAAATCTCGAAACCTGAAGCCCGAACTCCTCCCATTTCTGCCATATTCGGCAGCACAGATCAAGTCGATAATCACTACTCGTCTCAAGAGTCTTGTGCCTGAGGGTAGTCCGCTACCATTTATTCACCCAGCCGCCATTGAACTCTGCTCCCGCAAAGTGTCAAGTCAGACAGGCGACCTGCGAAAAGCCTTTGAGATCTGTCGAAGAGCTCTTGACCTTGTGGAAGCTGAGACAAAGCAGAAACACGAGGCAGAGATTAAAGAAAAGATCCTTCTCGCTACACCATCGAAGAAACCTCTCGGAGAGAACACGAATCTCTCCTCGTCGCCTAAACGATCGTCGGAGAAAGGTCCATCAGCAATGCTAGCAGAATCATTGAGAGGCTTGACAATAGAAACAGCACCTCGCGTAAGCATAGCACATCTAAACAAGGTTACGGCAGCCGCATTCAGCAATGGAACAAACCAGCGATTGAAGACCTTGAACTTGCAACAGAAGGCGGCATTATGCTCACTCATGGCGCTAGAAAAGCGAAATAGGGCATCCCGAACGTCGTCAGTCCCAACTACGCCGTCTAAGTCACAAAGCATCGCACCAAGCATCAAGCGATTATACGAGACATATAGTATACTATGTACCCGAGAATCTCTCCTGCATCCGTTGTCTAGCTCAGAATTCCGAGAGGTCGTCGGCAGTCTCGAGACATTATCTTTGGTCTCCGCCGTGGATGGGAAGACAGGTTCCCTTGCCATGCTACATACACCAAGCAAAAGGGGAAAGAAGGGTGGATTTGGGTCCGGCATCGGATTAGCGGACGAAAAGAAGGTTGCAAGCTGCGTTGGGGAGAAGGAATTGGAACAAGCCGTGGAGGGACTCGGCGTTGATATCCTAAAGAGCATTCTCAGCGGCGAGGCATTAGATTAGATTTTTAAAGGGGTACGATCTTGCATAAACACGGCGTTGCATTACGGGCATTCACGAGAGCGTTATATCGCATACCCGGGGATCATCCTCAGATGAGGATACGTTAGATAGTAATGTATAAATATTAAGGATTTCGCTATATCGGTTGCCTTCGTATAATTATTCCTGAGCTTCATTCCCCATTTCCCAAGTACTTGCTATCGAGCCCCTTTTACCATCTGTCCCTTTTTATTTTCCCCCGCTTTATCCAATCGTTACATGCTAACCCAGTTTCTTCCCTGGCTATTGTTACCATCTAGGATTAAAATATCGAGCTAGTAACTGCGTAATACGGCTATACCTCTCCTAAGAGGTATACGGAATTGTACTAAGAGCTCTACGAACTAACATAAAAAAGGGCATGCTGTCTCATCAATCGTAAAGTAGGCAAGAGTCGTAGTTATTTTTTGGGTCCTATCATCGGTCAAGGCCCTCTTAAGTTATGGGAGAGTACCCCACAATCTTCTCCGTACTCTTGCCTCCAACCTGCACGATAGATATCATTTGCTCTCAAGTAAATCGAGGTGGGATAGGAAAACGACATGCAGGAGGGGGAAGATCAGCCTACTTGGTTTAGGTACTACCTTGTAAGTGCCTTACACGTGCTCCATTCCATGCATCTTTCATTATGATACATGTTTTGCTTTGACCCTAATAAGTACCTAAAATACCTAAACCGATCCAGTAATAATCAAGTCTTCATGGTGAGCGCCATACCACCGTCGACAGGGAAAGCAACTCCTGTTATGTAACCTGACCTCGGACTACACAAGAAAAGTGCAGCATCGGCAATGTCATAAACCGTGCAAAGTCGTTTAATCGGTACAGTAGACAAGAGCGTTTCGACAGTCATTTCCTCGGATGACCCTAATGTCTGCCGTAGCATAGGCGTATCAGTCCAATTAGGACAGATACAGTTCACCCGGATATTATGAGCACCGCTTTCCATAGCTGTAAAAACGGGTTAGATAACAGAGCAAAAAGAGGGGGTAATTCTGTCGTGACACTAACCAGCCGTCTTAGCAATTGCCAGCACAGCATGCTTCGACGCAGTATACGGCACAAAGTGAGGTATTGTGAATATGGAAGCTGATGAGCCTAAGACGACAATCGAACCACGAGTTGCGCCTCGCTCTGGACGAGCAGAGTCGACTGTCACTAGTTCTTGCGACTTCATGGCCGCTGAGATTTGACTTGTTACAAGAAAGGTCCCGTGGACATGGACAGCGAGGGATCTCTTCATCTCGTCGAAGCTAGCTTCGTCAACTGGTAGATATGACCGCAATCCGATCTTAAAGGTCAGCATCAGACGCGTATTCCTGGTATTTACCAATGATTGGTATTTGGGAAAGATATCCCGATGTTCAAACTTACTCCCGCGCTGTGTATACAGTAGTCAATACGTCCAAATGACTCAATCATCTTAGCAACGGCTTGTTTAACCGATTCTTCGCTCGTAACGTCAAGGTATATTGCTTCAACACGGAAACCAGGATTGGTAGCAACAGCAATAGCTTCTGCAACGGTTTCTTCGGCAGCCTTAAGGTTAATGTCTGCCACAAGGAGGCCCACAGCCCCTTCTTTTGCCAAAGCTAGACAGGAGGCCTTCCCGATTCCGCTTCCTAAAGGTTGTAAGCCATTGATGATTAGGTATAGACTATGATGTTATACTCGCCTCCTCCAGTAACAAATGCATTGCCGGTAATGTCCATGTTGCTATAGACTTCAAACCGTGTAGGCTATGGTTCAAGAGACGGCAGCGAATTGAATATGAGAACAGAGACAATGTTATCTGGCTTTTAGATAATTTTTTTTAAATATAGGAATGTCATACCATAGCAGCTGTTATATAGACGTTTATACGTCACCTATGAAATCTCGGCGTTGGAGAACGGATAACCATTGCTGGTTCATCTGCAGCCGGACCTCGCGGGGTGCCACCTAGGTAGCCAATCATTATGACGAATGAATCCTCGGATGGCTGTAGTTTATCGTATCGGGTTTGGAGGATAAAGATCATACCTGCCCACTCCTCTATACCTCGGGATCTGCGTAGGCAAGTTATCGATTTGCGTACGTAACACTGAATTTCTGAATTGCATAATGCGATTAAGTACCGAGATAGTTACCGACTACTGAGTAAAGCTAGGCTATAAGTAAACCAAATATATTCTAGATGGCAACAAGGAATTGGAGCAGGGGCTAGACTCAAGTATTCAATAAGAGACTTCATTCCGTACCTAAGACATAGGCTGTTCGAAGTCTAGACTTCCATACAGAATACTGACTATAACATTCTACCTCGAGAGACAGGGTAAACAGGAACTTGTCTTCGTATTGTTCCCCGCGCCGGCGCGCCCTCGGTCAACGCGATAGCTTGGGTTCAGAAATTGGAGACCAATTAAACCGTTTCGCATCGTCGACAAATTTACGTCTTTCGTGGCCGATGCTACGCGAAGCACGTGGGTAGCCATTATAATACACCTGAGAGTCACACACATGATGATTGAATGCATCTATGTACGATCACGATCCCGATGCGGGGTCCCCACCATTCGATAGAATAGGGTGGTAAGTTAATGACGTAAGCACCGGTGTAGAAAACTACCTAAGGTAGGTCTTTTAAGACCGGCGGAATCCATACCGAATTTCACCTCTAAATAATAGTTGTGTTGAAGTCAAATGGTTCAAAAGGTTTTCTCTTAGGAAAACCGCAAGTGCAGGAAGATTTGAGGCTATGTTTCTATTTCGTGTTCGAAGTAGAAGGGGCTACAAAGCTGATAAGACCACGAAAACATTATAAAGCTGCTTTTGGTTAGTAGGTTTAGATGTTATAGTAAAAATTCTTTTTGAAACATTTACATGTTAATTAACTACATCTATTAAGAAACATTGGTAGATAGCAAGTATGTAGGGTCAACAGACTTTTGTTCTGGTTAGGTAGTTACGTGTTATGTAGGTACCTATAATGTCCATGAAGCCTCTGGTACCTAACTATACTGCTGGCCCTAGATGCGACGGATGGATTTTTCCCTCCTAGTTTCTCGTTTTTGATCGGTCAACTAAGATCTCGTATTGATGAAGAGAAAACACATACACTGTGTAGTAGGTAGAATTTACATAATCAGTGCGCAGCATTAAGCGACCCAAGAAGCAGAAGAGCAATCAGGGCCGACTGAAGAACTGACCTGGCACGTGCTATCTATTAGGGGCGTATTCACAAGCAAGGAATTGGAAGATTTCTCCGGTTCACATATATTTTAAACAATATGTTGATACGAGCTAATATATGTTATGGTTACGATTTAAAGGCTTTGGATGCATTAAAAAAATACTGATAATCTAAGGAGTAGAACTATAAGTCTTGGTTCGGACCTAAAGATCATGTGACTTCCCCACACGAACAAGCATTCCCCTAGCTGCCCCTAGTAGTGCACAGACTATTTTCGGCCAGGTGCCGATGAGCTAAACCCTACATGGACAAAAGCTTGTCTGACCTCTTTGGTTCGGTTTGACTGTGCTTTTCGAAGCTACATGTACATGTACTATGTATGTAAAACCGTGACATAAAAGCTAAAAGCCATGCAAAGCTAAATCCCCAAAAGCATGCGATTGTCTGCATAGGTACCTATGTACTCTTAAACATAGAAACTTCAATCGTGGAATTGGGACTTGAAGTACATATGGCTTAACTTCTGATCATGTTTTGAACATTAGAGTGGAGTACTATTAATGCCTGAACTTATTTGACTTGTTTACGGTGACGCGTGAAAACGGATACGATGGCTGTTTAAAGGAGGTTTATTGTTTGGGACATATTTGGCTGAACCATACCTAATTGAAAAACTCCAAACTCCGATCAACTGCCGTGGGAATAAGGATAACCTTGCCGACCGAGCAGGCCAAAGACCGCAAAACGCTGCGCCTCCGGATCCTTACGTGGCGTGGCAGCTTAGCTTCTACCCTCCATATGTACAACCGAAGCACCTGCAAGTCTCATGAGCTGGATGGTGTGTATTGTGAGACCTTTGTACAAATGCCCTTCACAATCCCGATAGGTGGCTAACGGAGGGGGAAATGGACTCACCTTGACGCTACTAAGTTTGTGACCCCTCGGTTAACTAGCTCGCGCATCGCGCATCGCAATGCGTTATGAACTGTGACATATTACTATTGCCGTCATTGTCTACATAGTAAGATATTAATGAGAGAAATATCTCATAGCCCGACTCTTGACGCTCATCCTATGTTAGGTACCCAATTCTAAACCAACTTGGGTTTTTATTAGAAAAATAAGGGTCCATTCCGGATACGGCGCATATATGTGGGAAACACTACGCGCTAGGCCAAACGGTCCCAACGTTAGATGTTGAGTTTGAATCCATTTGAATCCATATGGACTTTGATAAGTGGCTGATTACGAAGATGGTGGCTTATACCCATACACTAGTTCTGCTTATAAAACCTATAATTAACCATTTCAATATTCTCGACCTATTAAAACAAATAACTATCTGCAACCATCCGTTAGCTTGCGATAAAAGAAACTCTTGCCGATGCGCTACACCAGTGTAATTGAATTTCGAGGTCTTACAAGCTTACATGTCTATCAATTCCGCTTAAGCACCTGTTTACTTAGTTGGAAGCTTTTTTTTTTTTTTTTTTCTGGCGAAACGGGATTTCTTCCGGGGTCGGGCTTTACTTTACATATGGATGTACATATCCAGAGAAAAAAAAAACTTAAAACCTCAAGCCAATTTTAGTGCAGTCTAGAGCGAGCCATCCAGCCATCCAGCAGCAAAAGCAAGCAACCGTCCATTATTAGACCCGGGGTAAGCAAGCTTCCAACTTACGTCTTACGTAGGTACTTAATGCTTGTGCAACATACCTACCTACAAAACTCTATAATACGCTATAACACCCCTCCGACGCTACCTAGACCTACATTACCTCTTAGTACCTACCCTACCAGCCTACCTACAGCATAGGTACCTAACCTAGTGCCTACGTAACCTAATAATAATAATAAAAGCTGGAGGTCCCGTCATCTCTTGGCAGCCGTTCCCAAACCCAAGTCCCTTTTCTTACCAAGCCTCTCCCACAGCTTGGCACATGCAACACCCAAGATCTTGGTGAACTTTCTCCCGAAAGCCAATCCCATCTAAGCGCATCTCGAACTTTTTTTTCACTTTTCGCGTGTCCATTCGGCGTTCTAGCCATAGGGCTCCTCTAGGGGTCCTCGACATCACTGCCGTCGCCTTGGCCGTGTCCCCCTGTCCGAGTCCTCGACCGTGACTACTACGACCTCCTGATCGTGCAACGCGCGAAATCTGATTCCGTCTGCTACCCGAGCGACTTTCGTTTCTTACCTCGGCCTCGGAACGAACTATCGGGTAGTTGACGACGGTATCCGTGTGGTGTCATGCAAGACACGCACGGCGTTGTCAATTGAGTTTAGTTGAATAGATGGGTTCCGACGCCAGCAAAGGTCAGAACTTGCCGGTCGAAGACCCGCCATCTAGGCCCTCCTTGTTCTCCCGTCTGACATCGCCTCTTCGTTCCCGGACACGTAATCTCGCCGATTTCCATATTCGCCTACAAGAGCCTCATCGCCAGTACTCTGCCGGCGATCACGTCAAGGGCCACGTTGTCCTTTCTGTCGTCAAGCCTATTCGCATAACACATTTGACTGTCGCCCTGCACGGATATGTACGCGTTTACAAACATGCTGGCGCTGGCGCGCAGCTTAGTCCCGTCAATCCCGCTGTAATTTCCCACGAAAGGAGCCGAAGTGTTAGATATTGTGGGAATGGGCTGGCCTCCCTCTTTCAGGATGAGCAGGTTTTATGTGGTGAGGGGAGGCTCAAGCCTACAAGATTTGAATTTGAATTCGACCTCATATTTCCTGCCAAGGGGCTTCCAAGTAGTATTGACGTACGACCTGCTTTGCCTTGATGCTTTTGCTGCTAGCCAATAATGCTAATACACTCTGCCATAGTTCGAGAGAGGAACGATATCCTATATGGTCACGGCCACGTTAACACGGCCGACTTCAATAGCTGCAACTTCCAGTTGCGAGACGAAGGTAGCCCTCATAGAAAAGGTGGATATAGGTGTACTCGCCCCTCCACGAGAGCGGAGGGTATGTATGCAGACTTTACGGAGACGACCGAAAAAGAAAAAGAGGCCAGTACCGACAGTCGCATCAACTGCAAATCGCGGCTCAGTATCTACAGAAGGGCAGGAACCCGCGTCGGATTTCGACTCTACGAGGGCAAACGAAAATTCCAACAGGAGTTCCGTTAGTTTGGGAGAAGTGACAATGTCAATCGGGTCGCCCGGAAGCCATTTACCACGAAGCCCATTACGGAGCGACTTAATCCCGCATGATCTACAAAGTGAGATTAGTGGCGATAGTGCTGTTAGCAACAACAGCGGCTCTAATAGTGCCAGGGGTGGCAATGCCAGTGCCGATTCTGTGGCTGCAAGTAGGTTGTCGGGGAGTGACGAAAGAGAGATAACCGCGACCGTTGAATTATTGAAAGGAGGCTGTCTACCCGGAGATATATTACCTGTTAAGATCAAGATTGAGCATAACCGCCGTATGAAGAGTATGCATGGCATTATCGTCACGTTGTATCGCCAAGGTCGCGTAGACTATTCACCGCCGCTCTCCTTATTCACGGCGGAGCTTTCTAAAGAAGATGCCAAGCGACTAAAGCACGAAGATTATTATCCGAGATCAAGGACTGGACTTGGGGGGCTATCGTTGTCCTCTGCTGGTTCTTGTAGCGTTTTTCGAAAAGACCTATCTCAAGCTGTCGCACCACTTATAATCGATCCTGTCACGCTCACAGCAAATATCACGACATCTATTAGAATACCAGAAGATGTATTCCCGAGCATTAAAAACGTTCCTGGGGGCTTAATTAGTTTTAGATATCACGTTGAGGTAGTTCTCGATCTGGGCGGGAAACTCGCGGGCCAGTCCACTGGAAGCTCGCAGCAAGCAAATAGGATTGGGTCTTTAGGGGTTCCGGGTGGCAATCCTGCCTCAACGGTCGGGTCGTATGATCTGAAGCGGCTTGCCAACTGGAATGGCACGATAGTCGACACCGATCACTTAAGACGTGAAAAGGGCGTTATATCCGTGTCCTTCGAGGTTGTGGTAGGGACTATGGACTCCACCCGCTCGCGAGGCAAATCTGTGGTGCGCCCGTCGCTCACAATTCGACCGCCTCCTTCGGAAGACATCCACGGAGAGAATGATGAGCAGAACTATACCTGGCAAAATGAATATGACAATAGAAATAACTATAACGGAGACTTCGCGTCCAGGCAACTCGAACCGTCGCCCCAAAATTATTTTCCGCCAGGGGCGTCCCCTCAAACATCCTATTATGACTTTCAAGGCCGGGAATCGCATGTTCCAGTCTACGTCCCACCACCAGATGTACCCAGGCAAAGAGAGCTGTCAGAAAAAGAGCGCATTCGTCAAGCAGAGCAGAGGCTGTTACCTAGCCAACCACCACTGCAACTTGGAGAATCAGAAGCTGGCCCATCGCAGGCACCTGCGCCAATCGACGAGTCCACTCATCCGACTAATGGTAACCATAATTCAGGTAGCCACACTTCACTACCGGAGCCGGAGGGGCGTGTCGGAGAACCATCAGCGCCTATACTGGCAGATCTAACACCGACAGGTCCTCCATCTTCATCTAATGTGGATGACAAACAGGAGCTTGAGCGTCGGCGTCTTCTCCTAGAAGCTAGCGCTCCTCCAGAGGTTCCAGAAGACTACGAGGACGAGGGCGAGGGGCCATCTGCACCAACACTCGGTCCATCAGGGAGTGTGGAACCCACAGCTCCAGTTATTCGTGATGACCACGACTATGGAAGTTTAGATGCTTATCATGACATCGCCGGACCTTCAAGGCGAACCGCGGGATCAGAACAATTGCCGAGATATGAGCGATGATATAATTACTCGTAATAAAAGATAAGTCGATTACCCAGAAATAGATTACTGTGTGTGAATATCCTTGTCTGTGATGAAAGGGTTGGAATGGAGGAGTTCTATACGATCAACTACGGAAGAGAAAATACCCGGTCAGCTCTTCAGATTTAAAATTTGTATGATAAAGGAAATTTGACACTTGGCATGATGAACGCCTTATATCAAAGCAGTTCGGTATACCTACTGCTTTAGTCATTTTACATTGCTTAGCAAGGGTGTCACGGGTGTTTGGGTTATAGGTCTGCATATATGGGTTGTGGCAGGCTAAAAGCAACTGATGAAATGAGAACGTCTATATTATCATTATAGTTCGAATTGGTCTCTGAATATTTCATGGTAAAGATGGTTTGAAATATACGATCCGAGACCGCTCGACTAAGAAGGATTTATGAAGCAATCCCCAAAACACGACGCTAAGTTGAGTGAGTTAATACGAAAAGCACGGCAATCTCGAAGCCAGTCATCAATCGAATTCCAGACATAAGCTTGAAGACATAGTTGAATCGAAGACGGCCTTTCCGGGCGCATCTTGCACAACCCCCACCCACATGAACGAATCGAGCACGGTGCACATAGCAGGCCACGAGTTTATGCCGCATAGCTCGAGATTGACACGCAGCCAGTACTTCAACCAGGCCTCATCATCGACGCCAAACACAGAAATGGCGCCAACAGTTAGCAGCCAGAGAAGTAGTCGTGGAGCGGGGAGGTTATTTGTGCCACTATAGTCGTTATCCGGAGCGGGGAGCTCTAGGTTCACAAGATTATCTTGATACGTGGTTGGAAAATGCGTATACGGCAGCCGCACGCTGGCCCACTGCAGGAACACGTTGGAGCAAAATGCTAGCAGGCCTAAGCGCATGACCTCGGAGGGAGAGCCTCGCGCAAAACGCATGTGTAGTAGCCGGTACATGACCGAGGCCATGGTATCGAGGAGATTCCTTTTGGGCAGCTTTCGACCGGCGGCGGCGGCGTGGTTGACAAGAGTGCAAAACTGCTTCATCGTGCGCCACGCGGTGGCCAGCTCTGTGTCGAGGGTAGCGAGAAGCGGCTCGTCTTCGGGATCGGCGGTGATACTGTATGACGTGAAGTCCGGGTATGGCCAATATGGCTCCCGTGCCAGATCGGAGAAGAATACGAGTTTGGTGCCGTTATGTAAGGCCATTCCCATGTCGCACCTATATGCACTGTTAAAAGGGGTAAGTAGAGAGATATAATGTGAATCTTACCTTAGCAGTTCAATGACAAGCTTCTCGTTTTTCAACCCCTCTAGCCCCCCGTTTAAGTCGACTATCTTGCGAAGCCCTAACATATGGTGTCTGGCCGTTTCGTGCTCGCCCATGATGTGGGCGTGGAAAGCGAGACACAGCACTACCGCAGCCGTAGTAAATGATGATTTGACTGCTACATCATGCTCTGGAAGATCTAACCTTTCGCGTAGGAGTCGCAGTGTCTTGAGCATGTGTGGATACGCCGAGGTAGGCCTCTTGTTTGGCGTACGGCCTGACATCAGGTCAAAGTAGGCTTGTGTTGAGAAAGCCAGGGCGTGGAGATATGCGGCGTCGACACTGAGGGCCTCCATCCACCCTGACTTTTCCCTCACGTCGAAAGAGATGCATGATTCTAAGGGGAATAGTAGTTTCTTCGCAATACTGGAGACTAAATAGAGACATATAATAATATGGTTTAAGTATAAATAGGACTAGGTAAAGGGCGTTTTGGAGCCATGAGGTATACTTACACTCTAAGATAACGGCGACGCTGGAGTCCTCTATCGTGTCGGCGAACCGGATGAAAGATAGATCGCCACCGACCCTTCTAGGGACGACAACGGGGGTTAATGCGATTGGTGCGTTATCATCATATCCCTCCTCCCCACCTGGTCTTGATCTAGAATTATGCAACGCTTCCGGGATGTTTGATTCTGTCGTTTTGTTGTATTTCGGACGGAAAGTCTTTCCGCGGTTCTTACCCATCATAACATGGCTCCGGATGAACTTCCGAATTTCGGGATCAGGCTTTTTGGTGTCTGTAGATACTATGAAGGGTATACTCCCTATCCAGTTAAGTAGACGTGTGAGATTTGATCCTCGGATAGGTATAGATGGTTATGTGTTCCTTACCTGAACTCTTAGGGGCTGGCGCCATATCGCCGGTCAAGTACTGATGAGAGCTCTACACGGAGATAGACAGTCAAGAATAGTAGACTCTAAGATTAACCCCGTTCGTATAAAGATAGCCAATAGGTACAGTTGGTGTTAGTTGTTTCCAACACAAATCATGAGGGGCAGGCAGGCTGCTACTCGCTTCCGTATGCCATAATCGGGATTAGTTCTCTGTAGGGATTCTATTCTAGCTTTTAGATTGTATGCCTAGATGGGTATACCGTCGGAGTGAAATAGACAAGATTGATATCCTAGATGGGAAAACAGTCGGCGTATGAGAACGTTGGCATAGATGGATATTTAAAGCGTGCCCAACTAAATGAGTTTACAGTCTAGGGTTTCTGAGATTCGTCATGTATACACGGGCGAGCGATGGTCGTATACCGGTGCTTATGATGTTAACGTTAACCCTCATCTGGTTAAGCGCCTTCGAGATTGTTTGCCGATTTGGGTATAGACTCGATGTGCCGTCGTGGCGGATGCTGGATTCGTAATAGAAGCAGGATCCTATTGGATGAATGTAATGCAAAGATGCGGATCCTCATCCCTACATCTTATAGCGTTGCCGGGAAGCTTGTCTCTGAAAAGTCTCCGTCTTAGATGCCAACTCATTATCGTCAAGATAGAGCTTCACTAAGCTCATTACCTGGATGGAAGAGAACCGAACGTAGTCAGAACAATGGCGTTCTATATAATATATAAGATGTCAACCTTTCCATAATATTTCTATTCATTCAGACTTGCTAATAAATCAGAATTCTACAATTACCAGCCAAGGTATGAGATTACATAGTACAGTTATATCAGCATCGATCCAAAATCACGACTCAGATTATAATTCTGAAAACGCAATGGCTACTTCAAAAGACCTACCACCATTAGACGTCGGATTCGGCAGTGTCTTCATGAAGAATCAGTTTCGGACCAAGCCCCAACATCCGCCGAACACAACCGATCTTACAGGGAAAGTCGCCCTCATTACTGGAGCTAACACCGGCCTGGGATATGAAGCTTCTAAGCAAATGCTTGCTCTTCGTCTATCTCATCTAATCATCGCTGTCCGAAGTCAAGCAAAGGGGGACGCAGCCGCCTCCAAACTTCGAAAATTGCACCCAAAAGCAAAAATCGAGGTCATGATCGTGGATATGAGCAAGTACAGTTCCATACAGGAGTTCGCTGAGCGCGTCGACAATACGCTGTCTCGACTGGATATTGCCATTCTCAACGCAGGTGTATTTAAGTTAAAATATACCACGGAACCTAGCACCGGCCACGAGCAAATTCTCCAGGTGAACTACCTGTCGACGATATTCCTTGCCATCCTGCTGCTCCCTATCCTCAAAAGGAAGTCTCTACCCGGAACCCCCGGCCGGCTTACAATTGTCAATGCGGCCTTGGCGCTCACAGCACCTCTACCAAAAGCCGACGGCCACAAATCCATCATAGCCGCTCTAGATGACCCAAAGTTCTTCGCCCCGAATACCGACAAGAACTACAATTTGTCCAAAGTCTTAGGCCAGGTGTTTACCTATAAGCTGAGCGAGTACGTATCTGCGGACGATGTAATTGTCAACTTAGTTTGTCCGGGTTTCGTCAAGGGCACCGAGCTTAGCCGGGACGTTACTATTATCCTAAAGCACGCGATGGCCCTATTTTCTGCCATAGCAGCGCGGACAGTCAAGGACGGTGCCTCGACATACTTGGATGCGGCTTTGGTCAAAGGGAAGGAGTCTCACTGTTCGTTCCTCATGAGCTGGAAGGTTTCACCGTAAGTGTTGATGATTATAAGCCCCTTTCTTATTTACTTAGGCACTAACTTAGTAATACTCTAGATTCAACTCCTTTCTGTATACCCCCGAAGGAAAGGATGTCGCAGACCAATTGTTTGATGAGACGATGAAAGAGTTAGAGTTCGCTAATGTTAGGGGCATTCTAGAATCAATGGGGGGTGCAACAGCATAGTGTTAAACGCTTGATTCTAGGGGTGAAGAGAAGGACAAGGCAGTTTGGATTTCTCATAAAGACTTATCATGTGTAAGATGTGGATCTTATTCACAGTTGTAATAATACTATATCTACCTACCAGTGTACTTTTTACCTACTAACTACCTAGCCTTAAGCGTTTACATGGTATGGAACTACTATGGCTTCTCTATAATCTCGACCTATATGTGTACCCAGCCTAGAGGTAGTGCTGAGATAGCTCTAAGATATATTCTTATATATTATAGTTCTACATAGGGAACAGTTACATTGATATCAAAACATTTCTCCCCTTATTCTCGAAAGCAAACATCCAACACAACAGTTGGCATATCCACGTGCGTTTCCGGTTTTTTTTATCACAGAGACTTAATAATAAGGCCGCAATCGCTAACTAACTGCATGAAGCCACATATAGTAATATCCATTGGATTGAAAAGTATTTAGGTAGGCAGCTACCGTAAGTTACCAGTGGGAGAATTCACCTTCAGCCATGGAAGCCACATCTAGTAAATAATCTTGCAGCCCAATCCTTTTATTTTCGAAATGGACCGGCCCACATCGATTCGGATTTGTGAACGCGGAAAATGGTATATCATCGGGATATACTTGATGGGCTATTTGCTGGCCCAGCAACTTGAGATAGTCAACACGACATCTTAGACAGTAGTCAGGAACAGAACCTCCTTCAGGAATAGTTAACGGGAGCTGTCCGTCACGGGTGAAGCGCGGGTCGTAGGGTCGTATTCTTATTTCGTGGCCACACTGCGGGTAGACGAGAAGAAAGCGGCACAAAGGGCAGTCTGGGCAGACGTTATCGTTATAACGAGTTCGAACCCAATCATCAATACCCCTGAAGCCGAAAAAGTGACCACAAGGCAAGACTGCCATAGGTTCCGATCGAGACGTGTCCTGGAGATCTCTCGAGCGAGGCGTTTTTGACGTTACATCTAATACGGTCTGAGATATGTGACAGGTTAAATATAGCTCAACGCGTCGCCCTGCGGAATCTAATCCATACTCGACGTAGTGGGCGATGTCACCAAATACAGATACATCGTCGTTAGTTATGACACGAACTTTGTCGAGCGCCTTCCGATATGCAGCGTAACTTATAGGTTTGGGCGGGTATGCTCGTACAATCCCTGGAGGTGGAGTATTGCGAACGCTGCTATAAATGTCTTCTGTTACCCCCGGAGGAAGATGGGCATTGCATGACTCAGGATCTATAGTTTCTCCTTCCTCCAGCGTATTATGAATATCGTAGAAGCCTCTCGGCGTACAAGCTTCACCTCTAGGCATTATTGCGAGAGTAAGTTTGATGACGTAGACACGTAAACCCAAGTTTTAGGCCAGGTCAAGATTGCTTGACGAATAAAACAGGCCACGGAAGTTGAGATATAGCTAGAGGAAGACTTAAAGAAGTGAAAAAGGGGATTCTTGATATGAGACAAGGCCTTTTTGAACTATCTTGAACAATTGCTTATAATACCTCATAAAGGAAACAAAACTCGCATCCGATTACAATAGGCTTGTTAAGAAAACAAAAAGGGTGATCCTTTAGAGGTTTCATATGCTATAAAGCCTTTATTTGTCTACTACCCAGTCCAACGAGTTAGGTCATATAATGGTATCTTCTATGAAAGAATCTTCAAGGAGAGCTTTGGTTACTCGGGGAATATATACACGCTGCGCACTGCTTTACGGACTAATGGCTTTCTTGATCAAAGCCTTTCTCGGAAAATAGAAAAGCGAAAAAGCAAATTTGAAGATACTTTTTGGGGCTTTAGTTTAAATATCCATGTTTTAAGGGAAGCACAATGATCATAAACATGAAAGATGTCGTTATTGTTTTTTGTATGGCAGAATTAATAGCTTAACCGTAGCATCTCTGAGAACTTCCAATGGTGCCTCGTACGACGGGGGCTTTTGCTTCCTCGCGCATCGTATCTCGTTCAGTATCACAATGTAAATACCGAGCGTAAGATTTTCTTCGGTATATTCTTAAGCTTCATGGAGCTAATATTTCCTTATTATTGGCTGATACGAGGCCCACACATATGCATGTTGACCATCAACCTTGAAAATATTGGCTATGCAATGGCTGTGCTCAGTAGGTGCCCAACATAAGCCTTGCCAGGCTTCCAGCTCCAAGATATATAGACTCTCCATAACTTGAACATATTTAATTCTTAATTTTAATATTTTTCATGAATATAGATGAAAATTACCGGGCATGTTACTTCCATCGCTTTCATCATGTCATTTGGATTCTCAGTCGGCGACATCCTGGCAGGCGCGGAACTGGCATATAAGCTTTGTAAATCTCTATCGGACACTAAGGGGGCTTCGAGTGATTATCAAGAGCTCATTGCACATCTTAATATAGTTCATAAGGTTCTAATCGAAGTCGACAAACTTCAAGGGGCAAATCAGTTTGCACAGGCAACTATTAATGCCATCCTTTTCACGGTTAATTCCACAAATGAGGCGATCGAGACATTTCTTACTCAATATGAGACTTATGAAGAGAGTCTACGGCAGGGCGGTTCGGGTAACATTTTTAAAGATGTCTATAAGAAGGGGAAATGGGCTACTCAGATGCCTGATAAGGTGACACCCACTCTAATATATGGAATATTGGCTTAGTACTTATCTAGGTATGGATTAGGTTCGAGATCTGAAGGGAACACTGTCCACTCTACTAGCAGCTATTAATTGCCTCGTATCTATGGCCTGTTACTATAAGTATATTTACCGTCCCATCGTCATTAGGAGCTTTCTAATAGAAATGACAGTGCTGGTTATGATGCTACTCGTATGGCAATGTTAGATCCAGATTGGCGCCCCCATGGTACAAACTGGGGGAAAGACATTGAACTTACGGCTAGAATATGTGTTGACTCTTACAACCCAACCAAGTGTCCCGGCTTTGATGAACAGGATGCTCCAGAATCCTTTTTCCGGCCTGGTCAGATTTTTTCAGCCCAGATCACCTCTTCTTTGCAGGAAAGGAATGATCGGGGGAGATACGAAAGCTTCAACCCTAGAAAACCTCCCAGACCGGAAAATATGGAGGATGCAGTCAAGAAACTTGCCCAAATTCGAAATCTCCCCTTAGAGAGAATGGTTCAATACTGTGACGATATACCGCACGATTCTAGTCAAGTTATCTGTTTGCTTTGTAGAATCAAACTTCGGGCGCAAGATGCCCGGCAAGATGCCACACCATGTCCTAAAGACTATTGGGCTGGCAACCATTTTCGCATCATTCATTGGGAATATTATTTCTCAATGCGACCATTGGATGCTTCTAAATATTTAATGTCGGACCTGAAAGGATTGATACTCCCTGAGAATCGTACGAGGCCTATTCTAGGATCAACCTTCTCGAAAGAGACATGGATAGATTTGACCCATATATCAGATGTCACACCAATCGAGACAGAATTCGCGGTCACCAATAAGATTAATTGTACATCCGTAAGTTGGCACTATCTGACAGGCCCAGTCCTTATTCGGCGGTTTGTAGTTGTCCGTCAAGGAGTGGGCAAATGTCTCTGTCTTGGAATCCACACGTAAGTGAACGAAACTCCCTGCTAAGATTGGTTCTCAGTTTGCGCGATGACTCTTAGCTGAAACTCCTGTAACACATAGATACTCTCGTAGGGGTTGTGGAGATCAGTCAGATCAAGAGCTGTTTGGAATTCTTCATTCGAGTGAAGAGTCACCTCCCCATATGACCAACGAAACAGGGATGATACTTGCCCCCATACGGATGAAATCTGATCACCCATCGAAAGCACTTCCACGAACTGCAAGGATACACTATGGTCGTGTGTATGAGATCCCTCATAATCTACCAGTGGAGTCAATTGGGTTAGTCCATGATGCTTCTATGGAAGTACTACATGACCAATTCGAGGCAAACATGCCTACGAGAAGATATAAGAGAGGCGGTACAACGCACAACCAGATTCCTCACCATCTACCATCAGAGTTTATTGAGCCAATTCAAAGTATCTCTACAGACATACTTTGTGACCAATTGGAAGAAAACATTTCTACAAGAAGAGATGAGAGAGACAGTACAACTCACAACCAAATTCCTCAATCACAAATAGAGGCAGCAAACTTGGATACGGCTAAGGCAATCCGCGAGGACATTGCTACTGTACTAGGCTCTAAGATGTCTCCAGCTGATTACCTGTCGCCTCGTAGAAAGTAAATCTTGTTCTAAAGGACTTTAACTCTTCACTTTACATGTAAATTTAATAAATTATGTTAGCCAATTTCAATCAATGTATTTACGGCCCCCCGAAATAAAAAGTCCACCTGAAATTTCTTTATATACAATATAAATAGGTATCCTGTATCTTAGAAACCCCACGATTTCGGTACATACACTATAGCTTTTGTAGGATTTCAACCGAGATAGCGTTAAGTAGCTTCTCAACATATGGGAGATCACGGGCACCCAGAGCAAGTCACCTGTGAGCCCGCTCCATTGAAATTGCAGCTTCCACCAACACAGTTCAACACACATACGGAACAGTCCGGATAGTAGTCCGCTATAGCACATCCATAACCGCTTTTCGCTGGGAGACAATTGCTACATGGTGTTATTTGTCAGTCATACAACTAGGTGGAAACCATATTTATTCTTACTCTGCGAAGGATGCCCGGACGAATGTAGCAGTAATGAGAAGATAGAGTCTCATGATATAAGTCTGACTTTGCAGCTGTTGCTCGTGTTTAAGAACTAAGGTGGTTTAATAGACTGATGGTGGGAATATTAAAAAAAAAAAAGGAAAGCTTATAGGGTATCTGACTTGCCTAGGAGGCAGATCACGGAATACCAAAAGACGGAGTATTTATAACCCTGAAATTTATATAGTTTACTAAATAATGGTACAGTAATTCACACGTGTGATGTTCAACGTGGCTCTTTTGTTCTCGGACGGCGCTGAACGATCAAATACCACCTGCCATACTAGTATTCGGTAACCCAAATACTGCCATTTAACTTTACCAACAATGCGGCTTGAAGGATCGGTTTTAATCATACCTACCTGCATTTGATTATGTTTATGACGATCGTCTTGTAGACTGTCTACCTGCTTCTACTGAAGCAAGAGTACTTTGGGTCTTGGAAATTATAATTCGCGTAGAAAAACTGACACAGAAACAATATTATTATATTCATTTCGGGGACTAGTGCACGCTATTTATGTACAATCTCGTGTGTTGCTAGTCGCATTCGTCTTAGAAAATGGCCAAGGCATTTGGCGGAGATCCAACAAGCCCAGGAATATTCAAGGGTGCCGATGTAAGAAGGAAGCTATATCGTCCCGAAGCCTTGCAGTGCTCAGAAAGCGCCTTGAGATCCCAGAGTTCGCCGATTGACATACCGAACATCGAGAGCAACCAAGGATGGAGAACTGAAAGCAATGTGAGCGAAGTTCCTGTTATGATCAAGAATGATACACGTATATGAAGCTTTAATAATATTGCAGATTTGTGTAAACTTACATAGGTCCATTGGGCTACCCACCGTCCCATCCTCTTTCAGGGGCATCAGAGCCTCAAAGCCCCAGGAATCACCCGCCACAGCAGCGAAGTGCTTATTCCACAGCCATTTGGCAGTTTCGAGGACACCATGTAGGCCGGCAATTGTCCCGTTTTGTAATTTTGCAAAGTCTTCAGGACGCGGTGCCTGTAGTATCTCAGTGAGCCCCGTACGGACTATGAGAACATCGCCTTGCCGGAACTCGATGCCTTGATCCTTAGCTACAGCCTCGATCTCTTCAACCGTGATACGATGGCCGTCAACGGGGTTGAAGACCGCTTGCTGCCCAGTTTTCCCCTCTGCCCTGGCACGCTTTTCCGCCCACTCCTTAAAGTCGATGAGAACACCCCTCGTCACCAGTCCACCCGCCGCATGCCAGTGGTCTAATGTAGGTGTGGTGTTTGCAGAGGTATGTGACGCGGCAAGTGCCTCCTTATTAACAGCAATGCCGTTATAAGCCAGCCCGGATGGCTGATGATGCCAATGGATGAGACTATCCCACTGACTACTCAGTTGCGTGTTGAAATGGATCTCGTCATCCCAACCTATCCCTCCAGATAATCCCGCTTCCTGTAAAGTCATTTGCTTATGTACGGGGGCCATTCTCCCCGGCACCGGGAAAGTCATAGCATTGAGAGGCCAACTACGTGGCTTCGTATAAGCTGAATCCATAATCCATAGCTTACCTAAATATGGCGACGTAGTAAATATTAACTTACTTTAAGGAGATGGATATGCCATCTCGCGCCTCTCTGAAAGCGGCCTTTGTAACAGACGGCGTCACGAGGTTTAAAGTGCCCAAAAGGTCTTTCTTGCCGTCCTTGTCAAAGGTGCCCCAGGCGCATCCTTGGGGCATATCTGGGACTTTAGGGAGGTCATCGAAATCCGGCACGTTTATAGCATCCATCTTTTCGAACAGTGCGTATAATTCTTAATAATCGAACGACTTTATGTGGCATGGAGTTACAATGGCTATGTGCTACGATGTCATAAATGTATTTTGGGCAGTTGATGGTACGATATATATCAACGTGCGCAACAATTGCCATTATATTAGTGTTGCTGTCGCTTAGTGTGGGCTCCCCCCTCATGTGCGTGGCCGAGTAGGATTTGAGATATATCCCAGCTAGTCTTATATGATATTACTAGGATCTTTCTTACCGCAGCTTTTTTTTAGACCATCCATGAATTTGCGGAGTATTCAGATTTCGTCTATGGGGTCCTAAGATATGTATAGCCTGGCCTTGCTAACTCCAACGTGTAATACGAATACGAATTCTCTATCCTACGCGAATACGCTAACGTCCATGTATTATTCGGGGTTATGATTCAGCATCTCGTGAGGGGTAGTCAAGAAAGGTGGCCAGAACATCTCACCAAGAGTGTGCAAACATCCATCAAAGCTATCCCTTGGCCCACCCTTTGTTCTTAACTCCTATAAGTTAAATCCAATAGGTTGAAGATTGATCATTCATACGTACATAGGCTATTGCGTTTATTACTGTTAGTGTGTATAGGCTACAGATGGTCTGTTTCCCTTGCATGGGCTGATATAGCTTAGGTATTGTACAATAAGTTAGTTGATCGGCTAATTAGGGTATGTCGTTCATTGAGCTCAACTTCCCTAGTTGAACTAAAAATAGAAGGGCTGGGATAAAAATATATATAAAATACCTTACGTCGGCGAGCTGGTCGTTCTATTGCATTCGGATTCACCTATTTCATACAAAAAGGTCTTCTCTGACGAGACGACGAGCTCCTCTCAACAGAAAATAAGGCACACTGGTATAATTATTACTTAGGGCGTTCTTTATAATGGAGGAATTTGCTCGCATTCAGGAGAAGTACAGCGCGGAAGCCCAAAAGCGTATCCGACCTGAAGGCGCTGCCCAGTTTCAGACACTGGCACAGAGCGACTCCGATCAGTTGCGTCACCTCGCTGACGATTTCTGGGCTGACCATGCTGCCTTAGACGCGCTACCGTCGCCCCTTAAGCCTGGATACTCTCCTAAGTTTCTCATAGCAGGTGCAGGAATAGGCGGCATCGGGGCAGCAGTCCGACTTATCGAGGCTGGCTTCTCAGCGGATCAGATTCGTATTATAGAGACGGCTGGCGGTATCGGTGGAACGTGGTATTGGAATAGGTATCCGGGTCTACATTGCGACGTCGAATCTTACGTTTACCTGCCACTGTTGGAGGAGACAGGATTCGTACCCTCTCAGAAATACTCCTCTGGAGTTGAGATCAGGAATTATCTACAGCAGGTTGTGAAGAAGTGGAATCTCGAGGATAAGATTTTGTTCAGGTCTAAACTCGACAAGATTGAATGGGATGACAATGCTCGCTTATGGAATTGCGACATCACTACTGGAAGGGGACTAAGGGGTGACGAAAAGACGACTTTTCAGGCAAAGGCAGAATTTGTTTGGGTAACTGCTGGGTTACTCAGTAAGCCCCAAGTACCAAAACTCTCCGGCGTCGGGATCGAGGGGTTTAAGGGGGATGTTTTCCACACAGCGCGGTGGAACTACGACGTCACCGGCGGTACACAGGACGAAGTGTTCCCAGACTTGTCAAAGTTGAAAGATAAAAGGGTGGGTGTTGTTGGAACCGGTGCGACAGCGATTCAAGTAGTGCCATGTCTGGCCGAATATGCAAAGGAGTTATATGTGTTCCAGCGTACCCCCGCCGCGGTTTACGGTCGTGGCCAGAAACCGACCGACCCGGAAGAATGGAAGAAGATCGCTGGCCAGCCCGGTTGGCACGAGGCTCGCCGGCAGAATTTGGCAGAAAATATATCCAACTGTGCTCCGCCTGGTACCCCGGACTTGGTCGACGACGAGTGGTCTCGACAGGTTGCTTACGCGGGCCTAATCGGTGATCCTGAATTTGCGTTTGTGTCTCCAGAGAAGATACCTGAGGTTATCGGTCAATTTCTAGCTCGAGATGCGCCAAATGCAGCGCGGCTACGAGCACGGATCGCCGAGATCGTTAAGGATAAAGAGACAGCCGAGAAGCTTACGCCGTGGTATCCAGTTTGGTGCAAGCGGCCGACTTTCAGCGACACGTACTTGCAATCCTTCAACAAGCCTAATGTTCACCTGGTCGACACGGACGGCAAGGGGGTCGACAGCGTAACGCCGGAGGGCCTTGTCGCTAACGGCGAAGAGATCCCCCTCGATGTCATCGTGTTCAGCACGGGGTATCGCGGACCAGGTGCAGACGGAGCAGACCCATCGATTCACGCCGGCCTCGAGGTGCGTGGCCGTGGTGGAAAGACCGTTGCGGAGTCTTGGGCAGACAAAGGCATGGCCACGCTTCACGGCTACGCGAACCACGGTTTCCCAAATCTATTCTGGCTTTCCCCCCTGCAGTCCGGCGCCAGCGTTAACCACTCACACGTGCTCGATGTGCAGTGTAAGCTGGTCTCATACGTCGCGGCCGCGGCTCACCAGAAAGCAGGCGGTCTGGACAAGGGTGGGGTCACGGTGGAGGTCGAAGAGGCCGCGCAGGAGGCCTGGAGCATGAAGATCATGCAGGGGGCGGCTCGGTTCGCGACCGTGACGGTCTGCACACCGAGCTATATCAACAACGAAGGGAAGGCAGTCGATCCGACGGCTAGCCTCGAGGAGCAGATGAAGCGGGCACGAGCGTCGCCTTATAGCGCGGGTCTTGTTGAGTATATTCGGGAGTTGCAAGAATGGCGCGATGAAGGCAACTTGAGGGGTATTGAAGTCATCGCCTCGTGAACACAATACGATTTGGAAGATGGTAAAGTAGAAGTATTTTACTACAACGTATAACTATTGCTTGTTTCGGGGTACGAATCAGCACAGCGCTACCTAGTGTATACTTGTTAGCTGTATCAATAAGGAAACCCATGTCAGGAGCCTCTGTTGTAGGTGAGCGAGCCCGATAGAGGAAATAGACAAGGCCTGTAAAAATGATCTTCACTCTCATATCTCTAGGTACCTAAGGTATATAAACACATCGGAAGGCTTTCTTTAAAGCTAAGAGACTCGTTAATCATTAACTACCTACCTAGGTAGTGTCATAACATAAGAGCATAGGTGATTGTCTTTTTCATTAGTTCAATGTATCCCCTGACACCACCCTTAGGTGTTTTTACACCCAACTAAGACCAGCTCTAAGTTTCGATACAATCTACTAATCTTCATACGCCTCCTCGTACTCCTCTTGGTACTCCTCCCGAGCCTCTTCGAGCTCTTCGAAATCGCTACTGCTGGCGTCGGAGTCTTGCGCCTTCGCGAGAGCTTCCTCGTAATCTTCACGGGCGGAACGTACAGATTCTCGGTCGCTAGCATCCACATACTCACCCTCTGCGTTGTACATTGGTTCATAGACCGGCTCGTAAACAGGGGCGGGAGGTGGAGCTGCGTAGACCGGAGCCGGAGCTATAGCCGGAGCGGCTTGATGACGTTCATCATCTGAGTCATCTGTACGGATGTTAGCATGATAATTCACATAAGGAGCCAATATGCGACTGAAGGGCGCTACGGTCAAAGGGGCTTACCGAGGGCGTTGGCTATTAATGCGCCGCCGATAGCACCTACAGCTAGACCACCGGCAGCACCCATCAAGAGGCCACTATTGTCCTTTTTCTTCTTCTTCTTCTCTTCGCTTCCTTGCCTATTGTAATCTTCTTCCGGGCGATTCCCATAGCTTTGACCTCCGTGGCCATATCCATATCCGCCCTGTTCACCGTAGCCTCCATGAGAGCTATAACCGCGCGAATCTTGGGGATAACCCGGTGCGTCGTGGGATGAATAATTAGTTTCACCGTGAGATCCCGATCCTCTGTCACCTTCGGTTTGGCCGCCTCCAGCATGGTAACCTGGGGCTTCCCATTGCGAACGGCCGGTTGCCTGCTCGTAGTAATACCAACGTTGATACTGCTGGTCAAATTGCGGTGTCCAGCCGGCCGGGATTGGCGGCTTATCCGATGGTGGCGAATAAGTAGGGCCGGCACCCGGAGCAGGCGGCGGGGGGCTGCTATAATTACCAGGCGGAGGAGTATTATAGTTGCTTCCGTACTGAGGCGGGTAGCCACTAGCACCACCGGATTGAGGGTTCGGCGGGTTCGGCGGATATGGCTCTCGGCCGTGGCTGGTGCCGTATTGCTGAGAAGGAGGAGGGTAATTTTGATGGCCTAAGATGGCGGTTAGTATTATCGAATTTGAATCTACCTAGGTTGAATACTTATAAACGAGAGTATAGAGGCTAGTGAAGAATGAGAGATGAATAGAAGCCAACTTACTTGGATATGCTTCCCGCTCCCGCGGCTTTTCGGAACCGCCCAGGTTTAGCTCGTCAAGCTTACTGGTTAACTTATTAAAAAAAGACATCGTGTTAATATTTTTTCTCCTTTGCTGATGGGTTTATCTTGTTCCTTGCTAGGAAGATGGGGGTAGATATATTCTACCTTTGGGTTGATGATGTGCGAGACAACCGGGAACAACTGTGTGTTAGTCAACCAATCGCCTTCTTGCCGTGAGATATGTCTAGGTAGGTAGATATATCTGGAACTGATCAGACGGCTAGGCAGTCTAATAATCTGCAAGCTTATGGCGCATTTCAGAGGTTTGTAATGGAAATGACTGGGTCTTAATCCTTGTTTGGTTGAAACTTGTAGCACACTTTAATACACAGACGAAGATTTAATGATGTACATACCTACCTACCTATATTGTGCGCTCAGGTAGTAAAGTCATATAAGTGATTTAGGGGCTGCGATCCCCTGTTGCGGTTGCTCCCGGTTTATGAGTACCTAGGAGGCCTAACAATTAGTGCCTTAGGTACCTAAGGTACCTATATTTTAGTGTTGAAAATGGTTAGCCGCATAGACGCCGCGACGGGCGGCCTCCTTTTTGCCCCTCAATAGCCCCTCCTTCCACCCCGCCAAGACTATAGTCTTCCCTTCCGTGTTACCACACCACCATCAGCGTGCACCATCACTGCCGTGTTACCCGTCAGCCCTATGTAAATCCCTTATCGAGTTATCGAGATCCTTAAATCCTTCTCCTATTTTATCATTTCTCAGCCCCAAATCTCACATCCCACATCTTCAGGACCCACACAGAATCATAGGATAGATACCGACTTCCAACGTTGTCTGCTTGTTCTACATCCCGATATTTCTTGACCATAGGTTCTTCCTCAAACAAGTAGTAAACCACACCACCCATCAACCAATCCTAATCTCTCATTTTTTAATCACCTTGTAAAATGTCTGGTTGGGGTCACGACCAAAATTACGGCGGAGGATACGGCGGAGGATACGGCGGAGGAGGAGGGGGAGGATATAACCAACCTCCTCATCAAGGATATAATCAGCCTCATCAGGGGTATAATCAACCACCTCAGGGGTATAATCAACCTCCTCAAGGACCTCCTCAAGGATACAACCAGCCTCCTCAAGGGTATAATCAGTATGGTCCGCCTTCTGGTCCTCCGGGTCATAATCAATATGGGGCTCCTCCCGGTCCGCCTCCCCAGCAACATGGCTACAACCAATATGCCCCTCCGTCTGGACCTCCGCCTACTCAGCAGCACGGGTATCAACAGCATTCCTCGTATAACCAAGGATCCAACCGCTACCCGCCGCCTTCCTATCCCCCACCGCACGGGTTAGATCCGTATGGGTATCCCGCTCATTCCGGTGGCCCTCCCGTTCAAGGTTACGGAGGCCAGCACCGAGCCGGCCCTCCTCCGCCAAGTGCTCCACAGCAATTCGGTCATGGTGCACCTAATGGTTATACTTTCCAGTATTCCAATTGTACCGGTAAACGTAAGGCACTATTGATCGGCATCAACTATTTTGGCCAGAAGGGTGAACTACGTGGTTGCATCAACGATACCAAGAACGTCTCCCAGTTTCTTATACAGCGCTACAACTATAAGAGAGAGGATATGATAATCTTGACTGACGACCAACAAGACCCTATCATGGTGCCGACCAAGACAAACATACTTCGAGCTATGGAATGGCTTGTTTCCGGTGCTCGTCCTAACGATGCATTGTTCTTACATTATTCAGGTCATGGCGGACAGACAAAAGACCAAGGTAAGATAGTCTTAAAGCAACCCCAAACATGAATAAATTGTTCATTTTAAATCGCAGATGGCGACGAGGAAGACGGCTATGACGAGGTTATTTACCCTGTCGACTACGAAACCGCCGGCCACATTGTCGATGATCAACTTCATCATGTAGTCGTCAAGCCTCTTCAAGCAGGTGTGAGGCTAACGTCAATCTTTGACTCATGTCACTCCGGTTCGGTTTTAGATTTACCATACATCTACTCAACCAAGGGTGTTCTAAAGGAGCCGAATCTCGCAGCCGAAGCTGGGCAAGGGCTGCTTAAGGCATTCTCCTCCTACGCCCAGGGCGATGCAGCAGGAGCTGCCAGCGCCATCTTTGGTTTTGCCAAAACTGCGTTCAGGGGAGATGACGGGTATAAAAAGACAATCGAAACCAAGGTAAGGAATACCCAAAGACTATAATCTTCTGAGTAAAGTCGTGAAACAAGTACTAACTATTAGGTTTATAGACCTCGCCCGCAGACGTCATCATGTGGTCCGGCAGCAAGGATGATCAGACATCGTAAGTCACAGTATAGTCGAAATTCAACAATTGCGTGGGTAATTAACAGTAACGTAGTGCGGACGCTACCATTGCATCTCAGGCAACTGGGGCGATGTCTTATGCTTTTATCACAGCTCTTACGCAGGACCCTAAACAAAGTTACGTGGAACTACTCAACAGCATTCGTGACGTGCTAGAAACCAAGTATTCCCAAAAGCCACAGTTGTCTTGCAGCCACCCTCTCGGTGAGTTCCTCGAACCCCATGAATCAAATTACGTACTGACTTTTACAGATACAAGTATCCTATTCGTTATGTGAGCTGCTGGAAATAGGATATGTGTTGGACGAGTTCGGCTTGACGTTGAGCATGCAAGCGGAAATTTAGCAGCAGGCTGTCCGAAAATGAAACTAAAATGCATAGCAAAGTGTGATTTATAAAATTTACCTGCTTAAGTCACATCCTGAAGTTAGAGGGTTTATCTCGAATCACTTTGATACAGCCGTTGTCTGAAGTTGTGGTGAGAAAAAGCTTAGGAAGTATCATCAAAAAGCCATTTTTTTTAGCACAAGCTCAAAACTTATGGGGACTTAATCGCAAGGTCTTTACTTAGAGGTAAGTAGTAGGTAGAGGTCATCCTCGATATGAAAGTTCTTGCTCCATATTCCTCTACTGTTATATTGCACATACCTCTTTAAACTTCTCAATCAATAGATATTTCTATCGTGACTAATAGGGCTTAATCACATGTATATAGCTACCACGAAGAAAGCCGACAGTCCGCAATCTAATAGTAGAAAAACGTGATAGGTTTCGCGGGTTTTAAAAACAATTGATACGAGCACGGATGCAACCTCTACTAAGACACCACTAAGAGTCCTAGAGGATCTCTTGCATAATCGTGATGAGCTCATCCAAGCCACAAAGAGTGGTATGTTTAGGTACCTAAAGCTACCAGATCTTACCAATGTTGACCTAGATCAAGGTTATTATATTCTTAATAACTCTTTCTCTTAGTAATTCTAGCATTATATCTACCGTCCTTAAGACTACTGACCTCGGACATTTCGAGCACCAAGAACACCGAAAATGCCGACCACACCGACGGGAGCTATAGTAAAGTTTCCTCTCCGAAAAGTAGTAGCTTTTCTTAATTAAAGGTCATCTTCGCGGTACCGAAGGAGGGCATACCAAAATTTAGACGGCTATTCCTACTCACAATAACACATTCTGATTCATACCATAGCGGGGTAGGGGGGGTACGTAGAACTGTCTTATATTTAAGAACTGTTCCTTATAATTCATTCAAATTATAACAGCTACCCCGTTCTTTATTATAAGAATAATTCTCAAAAGGAAAACGGTTTTTTAATAAAGAACGTTTCTTAAAAGATAGGTTCGAAAAGTGCTAAAAAAGTTAAAAAATTAAAAAAGTTAAAAAACGTAATCTTTAAACTTAAAGTTTTTACATTAATTTCATAGCAAGGTTTAAAATTTTAACGGTTAAATTAATAAAATAAAGTGGTTAATTTTATTAAATTATTTTGAAAATTTAATTATTTTTAAACTTTATAACCTTTACTTTAATAATATTATTTTATTAAAAAAAAACTTAAAAAAAATTAATAAAAACGATTCTTAAAAAAGAAACGGTTTTTTAAAGGGAACAATTTTATACGTATCGAACAGCGATAGTAAATTTTTAAAAACCAAACCTTACTATTCTTAGATTTCAGTTAATAAAAAGTTGGGCATTAAAAGAACGTTCTTTAATAAGGAACCGTTTTCCATAAAGAACCTGTCAGATTATCCACTTGACCAAAAGGTAACTTGTAATATCATAAAATGTCATTACTTATTATATGCGACAGAACCGTTTTCTAAAACCCCCCATTTCTGCTATGGTATCTATTCATGTCTAGACCTACATAGTACAGGCTAATATGAGGGCACCCCTGCGGTGCGCCACAATAGCCCGAGTTTTCGAAGGTAATATGGTGCTGCCGGGGAATGGCGCGTAACGCGCCATTCCCCGGCAGCGGCACCTAGAAACCTCGAATATCGACCTTTACAAAAATAAAAATAAAAAATAAAAAAAAGAAAGGAGGGAAAACGTATAGGATTCGAACCTAAGCTTCTATAAAGATAGGTATGTATTTTGAGAAAAAGATGAAAGTGGGGACATGGAAAAGCACGTGGATAATTCCACTTATTTCGGGGATGCACCGAATCAAAATGCTTAAAAAACGCCGCACGGACGAACTTCCTCTTTCGAAAAAAGGTCCCCAAGACAATATCCCTCGTAAACTCGGGCAAATGAAGATCAAAGGCAAGGATTATGTACCTATGCGACCCATGGCTTGACCCCATAGGAGCAGGCAGCTACGTAGAGGTGTTACTTAGACGTAAGTTGCTCGAATATATAATCCTTTGAAAATATTATTTCTCTATGCTCTCTTCTTGGTCTTTCGGTGCGCATATATATTCTGTGCATAATCGGAATCACAGTGTCTTGTGTTATAAGTTTAGTTACAGACCTACCATGGCCGACGGAAATATCGAGACTAGCTTCCAAGCATCTATTGATGCTGGCAAGATTCACGGTGCTATCATATGCGCTACCGATGCCGAAGGCAACTTCACCTTCAAAAAGACAATAGGAGAGCGTACATTGCTATCTGGCGAGAAGCGACCTCACAAGCTTGACGATGTGCTATTCCTTGCTTCAGCCACTAAGCTGATCACCACCATCGCTGCTTTACAGTGTGTAGAGGATGGGCTTCTATCACTTGCTGGCGACCTTTCATCCATTGCGCCCGACCTTGCCACAAAACAGGTCCTCACCGGATTCTCCGAAGATGGCGAGACGCCTCTGCTTGAGCCACAAATCCGCCCTATTACACTTGAGATGTTACTAACTCACAGCTCTGGTCTCGCCTACCATTTCCTCAATCCCCTCATAGCTCGCTGGCGCGAGAAGTCCCGCGCGGAAACCAAAGCTTCCGATGAAAGCGGCAAGAAGACGGTCGAAGAGTTATTCGATTATCCGTTAAGCTTTCAACCTGGTTCTGGCTGGCTCTACGGATCGGGGCTCGACTGGACTGGCCGTATTGTGGAGCGTGTGACTGGCAAGACGCTGCTCGAACGTATGCAGGAGCGCATTTTTAGCCCACTCGGGATTTCAGACGCCCAGTTCTACCCGGTGACTCGAGAGGACCTACGCGCGCGCCTTGTCGATTTAAACCCCGATGACCCAGAGGCTCTTGGTCGCGCCGTGCTAGGCGGTGGCGGCGACATGAGCAAGAATTCCAAGGGCGACTTTGGAGGCCACGGTTTATTCATGACAGGTCCAGATTATGTCAAAGTACTACATTCCCTACTAGCCAATGACGGAAAGATCCTCAAACCGGAAACGGTTAACGACATGTTCGAACACCATCTAAGTCCGGAAGCCACCGAGAGCCATCGAGCCGCGCTGGTCAGCCCTATGGGCGTCTTTTTCCGTGTCGGCACTACAGTTGACGCGTTATCTGGACACGGGTTGGGCGGCCTGCTCACATTGCAAGACGTCGATGGCTGGTATGGCGATCATACTCTCACCTGGGGAGGCGGTATGACCTTTGTCTGGTTCATTGATCGTAAGAACAACCTGTGCGGTATAGGCGCTATTCAGGCCACGGTCGCCTTAGACGCTGATGCTATGGAATCGCTGAAGCAAACCTTCCGCCATGACATCTATCGCAAACGCGCCGCTTGGAAGAAGGAGCAAGCATTTTGATGTAAAAGTTTCACCCTTTCGTTCGATCGGTGCGTACTAGGTTAGGTACTCTATAAAATCCGCTTCAAGTATGTAGCGTATTGTCCAACATTCCTCACTCGATTTGACGGTGTACATCATCATGGCTCGCAGACGTAAGCCTTGAATATGACCATGTCTAAAGAGACTGATATAAAACTCACGATGTCTACATATCTACAGTGGCACGCCAATTATCTGTTTAGTATTGAAAGTTTTTCCAGTAAAAAAGGGGTAGGTATGCCTTTACTCTTCAGCTTACGTAGAAATTGAAGCAGTTAGTGACGAATAAATATAAAGATACTATACATATGCCTATCTCATGATACGATAGAGAGTTCAACCACATCGCGCAGGATAATATAAACCAGAAGTGGATCGAAGAGCCTAGGAATTGAATCTTTGATATATATTGGACTATCGAAACTGTATAAGGAATATATAAGTTATTCGCGTCAAGACATTAGGATTGAGACTATAGAGTTTCACTAAGGTTATGATGTTTCGGCTTCGGCCTCGATGTATTTGAGACTGAAAGCCAGCCTGTTTATACATGATCTAAGCCATATCAACATTCATCCTAAACACCTATATTTACTTGGTCAGTTGACATGATCAGGTATAACACAGTAGAAACTTACCCAAAGCAGTTGCAATAGCTTCCCCCACTCCCTTCGCTGAGCTAGGATTCTGGCCGGTGATCAACTTCCCAGAAACACACACTGTCGGAGCCCATAACTCAGACGCCTTCTGGAAGTTAGCACCTCCCTCCTTTATTTTATCTTCCAGCATAAATGGCATATTCTTGGACATATCCGTAGCATTTTCCTCTGCATTGGTGAAGGCGCTAACATCTTTGCCCTTTAGGATATTCTCTCCGTTGGGGAGTATGACATTTACGAATGCAGCGGGGCCGTGACAAACCGCGGCTGTGACCTTACCCTTAGCCCAGAACTCGTTCACGAGGGCGATCGAGTCCTTGTCCGTTGCGAGGTCAAACATAGGGCCGTGTCCACCTGGGTAGAAGATGGCGTCGAACTCATCAGCACGGCCTAGGAAGTCTGAGATCTTAGCGGTGTTCTCCCAGAGAGACTTTTTGTTGTTGAAGAAATCGGTTGAAGACGAGTCGTCTTGGATCCATGGTTGTAATGAGTTTGGGTCTAGGGGTGCGACGCCGCCTTTTGGCGAGACGACTACGATCTCACACTTTTTCGACAGGATTTCGTATGGATGGGCAAACTCAGGCTAGTATCCAAAACGTTAACTTGTGTTTAGTACTATGAGACGAGCGTTGCTTGGTTAGCCGTATACCCAAAGCAAGGTAACATACCAAGTACCATCCAGTCTTCTGAACCGGATTTCCAGCGGAATCTAGGATCTCCCCATAGGAGGTTAAGACAACAAGGACTTTCGGTGCCATGATAGGTGGGATGATATGGGATTGAGTATTAAATTGATAGAGCTGGAAAATAAAGTATCTTGCGATTTACGTCTGAGAACTCTGACAGTCAAGATTTGATAGAAATATTTAGGGCTCTTATAGACACAGTTATTTAATCATAAATCTGGATATGATTAATCATGATATCAACACAAGTGCAGCTATTTAACTCTGCCACGGAAAGTCGTACGCCGCTTAACCCTTTTATAGCTCTATAGCGTATGAATTCGGCTGCCTTGACGTCAGAGGGCTCTAGTGTTTAGATATCAAGCCCGAGAAGATATTACATATGCCTATCCTAGGTAGGTTAGATAAAAACGGGCAACATAGGTACCTATTTAACCACCAATTAGGCCACTAATGTTACATTTTAGTCAATTTTAGATATTTACAGATCCCCCAACGTCTTCACATGTATTTTGTGAAGCTATCTCTGAACGCTTCGTCTGATACACCTTGATCTAAGAGTATCGTTTAAATTCTCGGGGAGTATGCTATAAACGGCTACGTCCTATCCCATTGCATCATACCAGATAGATTGAGGATAATGATATGGCGAGGGTATGTTAGAGCGCCCTAATGCTTGCACTAACTGTTGTTAGTCTCATATAAAATGAAGTAACGTCTCAAATGTAGAGGTTGCGTTAGTCTGCTATAAGAATAACATGCCATATTACATAATATACTATTACATTAGGTACCTACATGTATTGACTTGATGTTGTAAATTTATAAAGAGAGTACCTCATAAAATACAGATCCAGCATGAAGCCCCTTTATTTTCTTTTCATAAACTTATAAATATATATCTTTGTACCAAGCCCACGTGTATAAGTCTTCCTCAATTTTATTGTTGCGTATTCGTAGATTCGCCCTCGAGCACCTCACCTGATTCCTACCTATACATGCATGTACACACGTATCTGCGTACCTACCTCCATACCTAGGTAGGTACATATCTAAGTGCACGTTGGTAAATGGCGATTGGGCTTTAGCGGAGTCTTGGGTAGCTTTGGGCGCCAATGGGCACGACCTAACAACCTATAGTCCACTAAAATAGCCCCTCGTCACCCCTCGTCACCCCTCACATCTCCTCGCTAACTTTATAATCAGCCAAAGAAATCGTTAGATGAGATATAATGTACCCCAGTACCTGAGATGTCCAAGATGTTACCCCTCCTCCCCCTCCTCCCCCTCCTCCCCCTCCATCTCTTCCCGATTTGTGTTTCCTCAAACTCTCCGCTATCACCCGGCTGGTCTTCAATGCGTTGTCATCATCAATATCAACATCAACATCAACATCAAACACCATCTCTTTTTATCCTTACATTATCTCCCTTCACCCCTGACAACTATTTCATCAACGTCTTCTTCGTCAGTCTAGCATCGCTCATTCTTGACGCTACTAACTCTTGAACGAAGCTCACATCATCGTAAGCTATTGTATTACGACGCCACCTGCCATTCAATACATATTATTGATCCATCTTTCTGCCTCGACTCATCTTTCTTATCCCCCTTGCTCTTCTACGGTATCAGATCTCTTTCAGGGGCTTAGTTTCATTGACACTGACCGCTTGTCCACCGCTCATCGAGTATCAAAGCAAAGGTTCTAAACCGAAACAAAAAGGACTTTGTTGCCCATCCTCGAAGTGATTGTTTTGAACCTTATCATTGCCCAAGAATTTCTACCGCCACTCAGTATTTAGCATAGTCAATATAAGATAGAATTCTCGCAGTTCTTACTTTACTACAAACGCTTCTCTACTTACCTCCATACTCTATTTCTTGACCAACACTCTCATCTCTTCGGATACGGCTATTTTACTTGCACTTTACGACAAGCAACAACTTCGGTACATCAACTTTAACCACTTTAAAGGCGCGGTGAATACCTACCCTTAGTCTTTAAGTTAACTACTAAACATATCTAACCCTATACTTATAGAAGATGACTTACTCGCAACCAAACATGCAGACCGGCGATGACCTGGCTGCGCTATTCTCTCGTAACCTAACATTACAACCTCAACCTCCCCAAGAAACACCGAGAGCGCAAGAGCCAGAAATAACATATTCCATCTCCCAACACTACCACCATTCTGGTCATATCGCCCACCAAGACGACTCACAAGCGGAACTCCAAAGGCGATCATCAGAGCCGCCACAAACACAGCAGTTTTCTGTAGAGGCCATTCTAAACTCATTTGGTATCGATGATACTGCGCTCTCTGCGGCGCAAATGCAGCTCTTCAAGATAGCTGAGGACAATCAAAAATTGCGTTTGATCGAGCTATGGCGAATCTGCCCCCCTACTAGTTCCCATGAGAACCCAGCCGTTGCTTGGACTAGCACAACAGTGGAACAAGAACAGCTCCTCGCTCAACTGCGCTACGAGAGAAGAATGGCCGAAGAGCAGCAGAAGAATACCATGATGTCTATGGATGGTACACCCCTAACGCCAGTTCAGACCGGAGACGGACGATGGGTCGCCACAAGCGACGTGGAACCCTACATGATGTCTGGCTACGAAGCTTTAGCTCGACGCGAATACGAAGAGTCCGCAAGGCAACAATATGAGGAGGCCATGGAAAGGCCTAAAGACGTTTACAGCCATTTTGGTACCGCTATTGGTGGTCCCAACTACCGTCCAGCGACGGACCCCGTCTACGATAATGACTGGATGAGAAAGCAGCAATCCATGGAGAACCAATACGGAGTTTTTCAACAGATGGATGACATGCACCTATAGTGCCACTTTGAATGTATATATCCTTCGTTAGGTTAGCTCAGAACAGATCAGCATAGTTTACTTTGATTAGGTAGATACTACGCAGGGAGACCAGCAGATATCGTACGTGGGAGGCAAAGGGGACATTATGGACTCACAGAGAATTGCACACGGGCGAGGGTATCCAGATTGGACTGCACATATTTCAATTCATGTCAAGGGACGGAGTTGAGGATATCTCCCCTTTCATAGCCTTTATATCTCTCTTTCCTGTCCTCTTATTTGCATAGTGTATGGCTAACCATTCTTGACTTCCAGAGTCACTCGGAAAGTTCAACTTACTACTCAAGGTATGTGTGTATCCCGCCCCAAAACTATAGCACACATGTATATCTATACGTCCTCTTTCTTCTTGCCCTGGTAGATTCCCTTTCTCTCTCTGTCATTGTGCTTTTGGGACACTCAAATTCGATAAGAGTAATGACCCGCTAGCCCCTATTTCTTTTGCTTAGCTTTTTCGGTCGATTACTGTTTCATACTATCCGATAAATATATAGGTAATTCAAATAGAAATGAAACTACTTTTAACCCTATTATTATATTGTTCCAGATTGATATGTAGATGTCGTGTCGAATCATGATCTCAACCACATTGTAAAAATGATCTAAATGCCGAATAAGCGCCAGCTTAACCTAATGTTTACCAAGCTGTTCAAAATACGATTTGTTAGGTCTAAATGAGCAACTCCTATCATAGAAACTTTGGTCTTGATAAGTGTTAAGATGCTTTTAAGACCTAGGAGTGTGTAACGGCTCTCGTCTCCTATCACCGGACTGAAAAATCTTGAGCACGTATTTTCTAAATGGGATAGATTCACTTTTATGATCCGCTACACGGGTTGTTACATACACCACGGTGTTGGGAGGACACGTTTATATATACGCCAACCCCGTCATACGCGCAAAAGCATCCAAGACTCCTCAGCCCCTTCCGCCGATCCGCCCCTACTTCCCAAGTCCCGTTTCTAGCGTTTCTTGTTCCTCTTCTTGGCCTTGTTGCTCTGCTGCGCTTGGCTGCCCGTGACCTTTGGCTTATTGGGTAGGTCCTCGACGCTAGTCCCTAGGAGCTCGAAGTCTTCGGCGGAATCCGTGGAGGGTGTTCGCTGCGGCTGGTCGGATGAGGAGTCGTCTGCGAGATCATCCGCGCCTTGCCTCTCGTCATCCTCGTCAACTTGATCGTCTGGCTCGTCGGTGGATTTTCGGGAGCCGAAGACTCGGCCTAGAGTGGCTGAGTAGGCCCAGAGAGGAAGCTTGACGAGTGCGGTATCCTTGACTGTAGGCTGGGGAAATTCGTTGAGCTGTTATATATATGGGTTAGCTAGCGGGCCCACGAGAAGGATGGATGGATTGATTAGACTTACGTCAAGAAGGAATTCCTCTACATTGCCGTCTGCGTCCTCTTGCTCGAGGTACACGTCGCCAAGAGAGTCGACCACTAGGACTTTACCATTCTCAGCCACGACACGTTTCTTAGGGCCCGTTGGGCCGGTTCCTTGAGTTTGCGGTATTGGTGTTGCGCTTCCACTCGCCTGCTGCCCGGGTCGTCCCCTACCGCGTGGCTGGCGTCTCCCTCCCTTGGACGATTCTTTGCGCTGGTCCCGCTCCTGTAGCCGTCGCTGCTTGCGGTTCATTGCCATAGGGGGTTGTTGGTCATCGCCTGCCGGTGGTGCTTGAGGAGGCGGAGTAGCAGTGGTGGGTGTGTCGACACCTGGGATTTCAAGGTTGTCACCCCAAGCGGCCTGCCTCGCGAAGTTGATATACCGCTCGACGAATTCGCGTTGCCGTTTCCAGCTCATATACAGGGCTATGTAGTGGAAGCCACCGCCACCCACGAGCAGGCATCCGAATAGCACGGTACCCAGCCCCGGTCGGTAACGGCTGTAGTAATATTCAGTGCCCTTCCATACGGGGAATCCGTTCGACATGAAGTGATCATAACGGGCACGACCAGATCCTCGGAGAATGTTGGTAATGATGGACAGACGGGCTTGACGGTCGCCGGCGGCTTTCACAGCGGCGTTAATTTCGGACTGTGTAGGCTGTTTCGTGACATGGACGCCGGGGTTCTTCCCTTTGCCCTTTGACTTGGCCTGCTTAGCACGTTCGGCCGATAGCTGCTGCTTGACTTTATCTGGATGAAGCTCACGAGACTTCTTGCGGTAGGCCTTGTTGATCTCGTCTTGGGTAGCGCGCGGTGAGACACCAAGGAAGTCGTAGAAGGTGACATTGGCGCCCTCGTACTGGGAGATCTCGTCGCGCAAGCGGAAGATCTCGCGATCCTCCTTCGTCCACGCTGCAGTCAACGGGGTAAGGAGGGCCAAGAGACCTACGGAAAGGATAGAGAACCTCATCGTCGCATATAAATTCCGACCGGAGAGTAGCTCCGGGGAGGGCTGAGAGAGGGCAATGGGTGAAGTTGAGAGTGAATTATTTTTACCAATTAAATAGTAGTTAGATGCCGGATGGTTACGGCTTGCCGCAGTGTGTGGTTTGGCGCATCAATTACGTCGTTCGTGATACGCGAACTGAAGTTTGCTAAGTTTTGGTAAATGTTATTTGGTGGAAATTTTTATTTTTTTTATTATTATTCTTTTTTTTTTGGACCCATGTCAATTGCAAGGTGTCGACAATGTGGTGGGGCCTAAAGGGAATTCTAATCGTTTAATCGTAGCATTATGTAATATCGCTTTTGCCTACCTACCTAACCTAGGTACCTAACGGATGAATACCTACCTCCTGACCTTAGGTAATTATCCGCCACATCTCAAATGTCCGTATGTACTAACAGATACGTACCTCGAAGCCCGTATTCTCTCCTTTCAACGAAAGGAACAGAACTTCATGCCACCATGATATTGATATTTCGTTTCTCCATAACGACATACTACATGAATGAAGAATGGTATTGACTTAGCTTTCATATAAGTGCCTAAATAGGTATTCATGCTAAACGATTGGTGATCCCTACACGATACTAATATGTCAAATCGCAACCCCTTTATCAAGCGACAGCAAGCTCCGACTTCTTTATACACTAAACTACCCATTCTTCTACTATTAAAGTAAACTGGGCGGCGAGTATTCGATAGAGGTAGGGAACACGTAAATAGATTTCTTGCTAGCCCTCGCTAATCTAAGAGTGAGGTCGCCATATCTCCATGTATTATCAATCTCTCTCCATCGTCTCAGCGTTGCTTTCTTAAGATTTGGGGATATCTCCAATCGGCAAGCTGCCATCATGAATGATATGTTTCTATTTCGAGCTATTGAAGACGGCGTCGGTAAACTATCTCGAGGTCAAAGGGACCATCGGCACGGTATTATAACCAGGACGACACTAAATGATCTAGAAGGGCCGCCGACGACCTGAAATGAAGTACCGAAGTGCGGGGAGAACTAATCTGGAAGCGCTTGATCAATAACAGGGAAGATGCGAAGATCGTGTCTTTTTCCGCCGCGGTAGTGCTTCAACTCCACACGTGGTATATAGCTATTATTAAAAAGTTGGGGTAGCTTTCAGACCCTGGATAGTAAGTGTACCGGGTTATTAAAATGCAAGGTGGCAGCATAGCTTTTCTCTAACTTACTCCCCCTTCTCCATTTGGGGTGCTATAGATCTAGGTTACATATATCTCTTGTCTCTTGCTTAGAGTCAGTAGAATCATGACGACCGTCGCCAAGATAGCAGAGACGTCCCTCTGGGCGAATCGAAAATGTCTAGCCATTTGTGCTATCGTGGCCATAGCAAATATGCAGTACGGGTTGGACTCGGCAGCAATTGGATCTCTACAGGCGATGCCAGGCTTCTTAGAAGTATTTGGATATAAGGATCCGAGCCAACCAGCTGGATATGCAATTGAGGCAAGTCACCCAGGTAGAATCTCGTAGTTTTCATCATAATAACTAATATATAATACAGGGAACCTTCCAAAGGCTCATTGGGTCACTCTTAACATTAGGTGCTTTTGTATCCTCACTTGTCGCTGGAGCGTTCGCCCATTTCTTTGGTCGAAAGGATGCGCTGTGGCTTGCGTGCATCTTGAATGCGATCGCATGCATTATCCAGATCTCAACCACAGATAAAGTAGCAGTTTATATCGGCCGACTTGTTCTTGGACTAGCTAATGGGTTTCTGGTCACTTTCTCAAATATTTACGGTATGTCAAAGTGTGTCATCAAGGAAGGCGTTGAATTTCTTTCATATATCGATTCGCCCCCTTTTTCTTGAGATGACTAACATAGGTATTTATAGTATGTATTAATACTTTCAACATTCCACATCGGCTCTAGGTTCTATACACCGCATTATATTATTTTGAATATCTTTATATTCGCTTTTGTGTAGTATATTGACATTCAACAGACCGCTGAAGCAGCCCCGGCTCACCTTCGGGCTGTCATGGTGGCTCTCTTCTCAGAATGGGTCAACATTGGGAGCATAATAGGAGCAGCTGTAACGAACGCTACGAAGAGCCGTTTGGATAAAGCATCTTACCAAATACCACTCGGAACTCTCTTCGTCGTACCGACGTTCTTAGCTTTAGGCCTCTTCTTCGTGCCCGAATCCCCTCGATATCTATTGTACAAAGGAAATATGGAGGCGGCGAGAGAGTCATTGAAGACACTAAGAGGGGATTCGCTAACTCCCGAAGCGTTTGAACTCGAATGGCTTGAGATAGTTAAAGGCATTGAAGAGGAAAAGCAAGCTGCTAGAACAATTGGGCCACTAGACATGTTCAAAGGTAGGCATTCATATTACTTCCACCAGTACCTATGTAAGAGACGCTGATTGATGAAACTACAGGAACCGAACTAAGACGCACACTTCTCTGCTACGGCATCATTGCTACACAGACAGGAGCCGGTTCATGGTTTATCATCAGCTACTCAACTTATTTTATGATTGTTGCCGGGTTATCAGTGGACGATGCCTTCAAGTTTTCAGTCATGAATACCTGTTTGGGTTTCATTGGTGTTAACTTCGGCATGTACTTGATGCGCCACGTCATGGGTAGACGAACTATTTTGATGACAGGCGCTGTAGCCCAGGGGCTTGCAATGTTGGGAATGGCGGTCTCCGCGACTGTTGCTTATGGAACATTTTCCGCTCGAAACTGCGTCATTGCATTCACGGCACTGTATCAACTCTCCTATAATGCATTTGTTGGAGACGCAACATACCCTACGGCCACAGAGGTGGTGAGCACTAGGTTAAGATCTTGGTCAGTTGGATCAGCTATCAGTTTGGGTTACTTCCTAGCATGGCTCACGGGATTTTGTTCGCCATATTTCATCAACCCAGAGGACCTTAACTGGGTAAGTAGTTTTCACAAATGTGATCCCTACCCTACCGCCGTATATATACGGGTTACGTGACTAACGTAAATCATTAGGGGGCTAAATATGCTTACATATGGGCTGGTTCAAATCTATGTTGCTTGGTGTTCTTTTACATTTGCGTCCCGGAGACGAAAGGGAGAACATTGGAAGAAATTGACGAACTATTTGCTAACCGGGTATCTGTTCGAAATTTCAAGGCTTTTAAGACTACTATCGTAGCCGAAGCTTTGAGGGAATTGGAAATTCGTGTTCCGGGATCAGAAAAGAAGTTGGCCATTGCAGAGCATGTTGACGAGCCTTAGGTACGATATAATATAGTATGTTATATACTGCGAAAAGCACGTCTTATACAAGTATGTTAATAAAATATTTATACAGAAGCCTACCTCATATTTATGTGCATTAATTTGAACCGTGATTCTGCCTGACTAAGTGACTACGGATACCTTGGGTACTTTATACCGTTAATAAACGTAGTAAGTCAAACCACCCTTACTGGGGCCACCCTAGTGGGGGCCACCCATTTCCCATATAAAATCAACGATTTCGCATATCTTTATTTAATTCAATAAAATAGATAAAATTATACGGTCTTTGATTTTGAGTACGGTATTGGATTCTCACCAGGTATAAAATTTTGAAAAAATTGCAGGATTAATATTTATGGTAAAATAAATACAAAATTATACATTAACAATTACATATATAAATTTATATATAAAATTGTTAAGAGATATTATTATTTATAATTTTATTAATTAATATAATATAAATATAAAATTTATATTGAACTGGTGTGGTGCCACATCGCTAAGAGCAAGGGTATTATTATGTAATCTTAAGTCACAAGCCATATAAAGGTTTAATATTCGTCGTATTCTTTTAATCAAATAGCCACAATCATTATCATTCAATTATACATTCAATATAGACACATTTGTTATTTTCTTATATTTATAACTTATAGCCTTATCTTACGTATTTATCTTATATATCCTATTCAATTAGTAAATCTTTATAATTCTTTTAAAATATAGTGCTATTATCAGCTATTTAAAGCCTTTTACAAAGATCTAAACGTTGAAGTGATATGCCATACTTTACAGGAGATACTAACTCTTGTTCAATATAATTAAATAAGAAACGTTTTAATATAATTTTTAAATTTAAAGTTAATTATATAATTTATTTATATAAAAAGTTATAAACGTTTATAAAGTTTTATAATAATTTAATAAAATTCCTATATAAAATTAAAATTTTTTAATTTTTAAAAATAATATTAAAAATATATTTTATTATTTTACTATTAAAATATTAGATTTTAAATATAATAAAATATATATAAACTATTATAATAATCGAAAGGTAAAACATTAAAGATTATATATTTTTATCTATTTTTTTGAATTAATTATAGATATGCGAAGTTATTAATTTTATATAGGAAATGGGTGGCCCCCATTAGGGTGGCCCTAGTAAGGGTGGTTTGACTTATAACAGCGTGTTAACTAACCGGATCTATATGCGATCTCGGAAGACAAAGATGGCCCTATTCCGGCATTAATACCCGATATTTGTTGCCCTCATGTTCGGAAGAGAAAAGTATCTCAAGGACCGTATAACTATACGGTAAACCTTTCCCCTCTTTTGCGGGTTCCCTCCCCGACTTTTCCCGAAAAAAAACACCTCTGATACGCATGTGCACCAATACTAATCTTATTATGAACATCTCTAAGAATGATATCGCCTTGTTCTCTATGTGGACAAGTTTGTGTTACAATCGAGGTCTTAGTAAATCCATATTAGGCGAAGGATCTGAAGCCAACCTGATTTCCACTATAGCATTACTTGGCGAACGTATTAGATTAGGTACCTTAGGTACCTAGTGAATAATCCTCAAAGAGATCTTTTATAGGAATGAGTTTAATTGTTAGCTAGCGGGACATATTGCAAGGCGGCTCAGTTCAACCGATACTATGTAAAATATTTATCAGTCAGTGTTAGCTACGCCGCCGTTGAAAACTGAGAACATTTTAGGAGAGGTAATATAGTAAGATGGGGGTCGGGCGGGTAGACATAACATGCCTCCTATTGATCAACTGTGTACCTAGGTAGGTACCTTACCTGGGTACACCTACATGAATCCAAGTCAGCCTTCAATACTGTCTAATTGCTCCGCGCTGACAAATAAGTGTCTTTCATTATGATGTCTCTTAACTGCTGAATAATTAGGCGAAGTAGGTAGGTAGCTTACACATGACGGATGTTTTAATATTCGGTCAGCGAAACGAAGGCCCTATAAAGACATCAACCTCGGTACTACTCCAAATTATTGTTAGTATTGGAATCAAGTGAATAAGCAGAATCATTGATAATATACCAATAATATAGCAACAATGGCAAAGGTTCCTGACCTCGACATACCCGCTTCGACGTCCACTGTCAATGTATCCATCTTGAATACTAGTGGTACAATCCGCGGTCTCAGCCCTTCCTTCTTCTTCGGGCCCAAAATCGAAGGCCATGAATATCTCGCGGGGCCTTGTTTTGCCTTCTTGATTCAGCATCCCGTTTCAAAACGGACTCTTGTGTTCGACCTCGGTATTAGAAAGGACATGGAAAATCTGCCACCGACAACACGAGCAAATTTCGAGTCCCTGGGTGTTACCGTAACAGTACCGAAGCACGTCCGTGAAATACTTGATGAGCAAGGAGTCGATACTAAAAGTATCGAAGCTGTAATTTGGTCCCATTCGCATTTCGACCACACGGGAAACCCGTCCACGTTTGATCCAAGCACTACGCTGATCGTCGGTCCCGGAACTAAGAAGGCTGTCCTCCCAGGATACCCAGCTGACCCGAACTCCCCATACCTCCTCGAGTCCGACATTGCGGGCCGCGAGGTGAAAGAGCTCGACTTTTCCAACTCTAATATAAAGATTGGGAAATTCTCAGCTATCGACTATTTTGGTGATGGTTCATTCTACTTCCTTGATACTCCAGGACATTGCATCGGTCACATTTGTGGCTTCGCACGCGTGACTAGCAACCCGGACAGTTTCATCCTAATGGGTGGAGACGGAGTGCACCACGACGGCGAGCTGCGACCTAGTCACTGGCACCCCTTGCCGGATTCCATCTCGCCGCACCCGTTCAGTCCCGTGAGTGCAGCGCCTTGTCCCGGCGAACTATTCCATAAAGTTCTTCGTGAAGGTAAAGATGAGCCGTTCTACCTCCCAGCAGAGGGTCCATATCACGAAGATACGTCACTAGCGAAAGAGACGATCAAGGGTTTACAAGAGTTCGATGCGCACGAGGACATCTTTTTCGTCCCGGCTCATGACCAGTTCTTGATTGGCGTGATAGACTTCTTCCCGAAGCCTGCTAATAATTTCTTGGAAAAGGACTGGGTAAAGAAATCTCGATGGTTATTCCTGGCGGACTTCGCTAAAGCCGTGGGGCATGAGGGTAAGATAGAGAGTACTGGAGATTATACTCCGCTTCCCAAGAATAGATAAGGAGGATTCGTCAATATCTCATGGGAGATTATTCGAGTGTTCTAAGGTATCGATATAATAGCAGTAGCTTTATTGACAGAACTACCCGCTTGTACAGACTTTGCAGACATGGGGAGATACGCTACCCCTTTATAAAGTATTCACGCAGCCACACCAAATACGTGATTAATAATGCGGAAATTTATATACATAGATACGTAAGATTATTGTGGTTACATATGCTGTTGCACAACGGAAGGCTTGTAAAGATGAGTTGAAAGTCTTTCGTATAAAATATTTCGTTTAAATGCCAAGTGTACCCAGGCGAGAAAATATTCATACTTTATCTGCACATTTTGATCTTGAATAATAATAATTATAATATAAATCGACCTACAAGTTAACCACTCTTTATAGAATATGAGATACGTGAGAGGTGTCAATGTTTGAAAGGTACATAGCACCTCCCAAATCATATCGAAATAGAATGCTCGGGGGGCAGACATGTCAAAGACGTAGCTTTTCGGTATACTAGATAGGGACTAGACCAGAGTTGGGGAGGGTATAAATAATGCGGGCTAGTCATGGAATCGGTATTTCAATTGGTCTTGTCGTAATTTTCATAAAGTCTGAGCGATGGTAGGGATGTTGTGTGATACACCGTTCATGATTTTGGCGTAGGGTATCATCATCGGGAGGCTCAATCCGATGCTGACGATAAAGTACCTGGGCATGGTTGGTAGTTTGACTGGGTTGATAGCCTATCCAGCCGGTCGTGTTCACTTTGCAGGATATTTATGCTCATACGTGATATGACTTAGTACTTCATGCACATAATAGGTAATCCGTAGCCGGGTATCGGATGCCTATGGAGCCTACACGTTGCGTACTAGGCGAGCATATAAGTGTCCTGAGAACTTCTAACGTGAGTGGTGCCTGAAGTAGGATTTAAGATGTCATCTTTTTCCCCCTTGAATTATGGACTCTCCATTATTTCTTCTATGATTATAGGTCACAGCCCTTTGATATGGAATAACATAGACGATAACATGATGGTATACGGTATACTCATATCTTTTAATACTATACATTCATAGCGTGGAAGTGAATGCTAATGTGATTATTGATAAATCCCACCGAGTCTGTTCATATCACCAAGCTCATGAGACATCGTCTGCTGCATATCAGGCCAGAAGGCCCTATACTGACCCAAGCTTGATGTAGGCTGCTCGGATTGCCTGGATAATTCTTCCGTCGCTGTATCTAGCCCTAAGTTAAATAGGGACTCCGTCGCTATGTTGCCTGTCATCGTATTGACTATATAAGAAAAATCCGCGCCTATTCCAGGGGCCCATTGGCCTTCGAAGCTCGCGAATCCTTTCTGTACATTTGGATCTATATGGACGGGATTTCGCGGCTCGTGCTTACCCTGAGCAATGATACTCATTATCGCCGATTTAATGCGCTCGAACACGTCTCGGTATTTTCTGGCGGATGGGTAACGTTCTGTGATGATATACAGAAGAATCTGACAATCGGTCAATGAGCCCTCGATACTTACAAAGTCCGAAGGAGCCAACCATGCGCAATAGATCAAGGTCAAGCCTGTATCGTGTCAGTATGCTTGCTTGCTTATGATCGATGGGTGAATTATGCCTACCTGCTAAGAAGACGGATTGTATCGACAAAGCCGAGAAGCCTATTGGAAAGGCGTGATGCAACCGTCGATAATCCGTGATGATCCCTATGCAAGCATCGGCGCAGGTCTTCAAGTAGAGTATATCCACTGGGTTTTTAGCTAGCTGGGGATATAATAAAAACCGAACGCAACGGTAATAATGAAGCGTATATAACTCAGCTCCTTCATATGCGTCCTCTTGCTGGTGCACGTAGTGCCTCGTGTCGAAAGGTATGGCAGATTTCCATGCATTTAGCCTATCGAGGAACGCATTTATAGTATCATCGGAGACGTCGCCTGGGCGATCAACTCTATAAATATCATGTTGGATTTCCGACTCGATTTGTTTGAGTCTTGTCCGATGGATGAAAGATGTTAGCGTGTAAGGGGGATTGGCAGGAATATTGCTAACACGCGTCGCAGCTTGACGGATAATCTCATCGTTAATGGTGTCCTCGTTAATGTCAAGGGGTAATTCCGCATCGATATCGCGGTCGGATATACTAGGTGGTCGTCCAACAGCGATAGAAATATCCCGGTCAAGAAAATATGCCGTCCAAAATCGGCGCTTATCCATTTCACCCTCGACGCTGGGCTGTTGCCTTCGTTGTCGTCGATGCAATCCTAGTTCTATACACAATCTAATAGCAGCTCCCACATATGTCCAGGCTCCCGGATCTCGAGGGGCTCTTGTGCAATATAACGCCATGAGTAATAAGTAATTAATAGTCCGAGAGTCGCGAAGACGAAGCATGGGTTCCAACTCTTCAAAGGCGAGGTCAAAATGGCGATCACTGAAAAAATGGCCCACTTCACCAGCTGACTCTAGCCATCTCCCACTAACCGCATATACAAGATGTAGAATAGCTTGCTCATATTCATCTGTGAGGTTATCCCTATTATTATGGAGCTCCACCACCTGAGTTGAATGTAGCATTGGGTATCTTGTAGCTATATGGCGGAAGTAACCATGAATAAGTCTCGTTGCAACCTGAGGACTTAGAAAAGGAACGCCAATGACATCGCCCACAGTTGGGTAAATGGATTTTGGTGCTGGATCATCTTCGATTTGGACTATTGATCCTTCATGAGAAGCCGAGATCGAAGATTTCTGGCTATGTACGAACGAACTGAGCACCCGCCCTATGGTGATATTTGAGGATGCCCCAATATAGTGACCAGATGCAGAAAGCGATAGGTCCCTGACAGCGAGTAAGATATCATTGGTATCGTCCTCATCATCTCGTGGGACTTGTTCAAGCACTGATGCCGGCGCCTTGTTATGTTGATTAACTGGTGTCACTGTGGCATTTTGAGATGACGATGTTGAGAGCCCCAAGCGTCCAAGATGACCCTTTTCGACATCAAGGTGGCTAATCGAGGTGAGATATGCTTCAAGATGAGCGACACGATTCTCAAGGGCCCTGATATAAATCTTCTTCTCGCCCGCTGCCGGAACAAGTGGGACAATGTACACTAATGAATTAGATTACGGGCGAGCGTATATGTAAGGCAGCAACATACCGCATTTTAATGATAATCGGGCACAAGAGGCACACGCTGGCCGCTGACCATCACACTATGATGAGAAAGTGTTAGGTGAGGCTTATTCATAGAATGGGACGAAATAATACTGCGAGTTAGTGTGGCTTATTCTTACCTTTTGCTTCCTAGTTTTACACCTTTAGAACGAGGTAATCAGCGATCGGTGGTATGTTAGAGGTGTTCCTGATGTAACTCACCTTTGGCAAGCTAGGGCAACACGCTCACGCTTGGTAGGTTTACGCTGCGCCGCCGGCTTTTCCGGAGCCGGAGCGGTTAGCGATATCCCTTGGCCAGTGCCGTTTGTGTCCGGAGAAGACCCACTGAGGTCGATCTGAGACATTTGCTACCGCTGGCGAAGAAAAAAGTAATATCGAATCAGATATACAAGGATTTCGGCAAAGCTTTCCTAAGAGCAACCAGTCGTGACAATGTCGGAAACAAGCGGGCTGTATGGATGCGAAGTAGAAGCCCAGTGACAGACATGTACGTCTGGTCAGGGATATACAGCCACAATAAAACCGACCTAATAGAATTCCGGGTTTAACTCGATCTGTATGCGAGTTTTAATATTCCCATCAGGCCTCGGACGGGTTCTGCCTACGAGGAACGTAAGCATGAAATAATTTGGGACCGTGGCCACCACAACACCTACACACGACCTCCTGGAAATATGATTTCTCGTCCTTTCCGATAGCTCCGAATTCCCCTTAGAGCTATAAGTGACAGTCAGCAAAGAGCAGGTGGCTAAGGCATATAACTCTTGCCAGGAAGGTTACTGTAGAACTACTCACTATAGACACGGATTGCTGAATCCGACAGGGATAAACGCGAATGAGTGACTATTACGGTCTGAATGTCTGGATTCGAATAGAATAATCCCTTTACAATGAATCTGACCTTGCTGAGCGAAGAAATTCAGGTATTCCAGTAATTGTTAATCGATGACAGGAGAATGGTCGTCCGTAATTTCGGAGACTTGTCGTATCACCCCCTTCATGATATGTCTATGATTATAGGACTTATTTGTTGTCACCGGAAGCGGCACCATCAATCTATTAAACAAACTGCTAGAACAACTGTATTGATGTGGCATCGGTTTTTATATGAGAGGATGAGAGCAGGGTTAAATGAGTGTTCGTGACTAGAGGATCGGGAACTATTGAGTTCTAAGTGGGTAAATAGGTAGAGATCAGTGCTCCATGATGATGAGCCGTGCGCAAATACTGGACCCCGGACCCGGTAGGTAGCTCAACTGACTGAAGAATTAAGCTGCTTTCAATGTAGTTATGCTAATCCAAAACCAAAATCTTGGCAGCCTTACTTTACTCTATATGAGGTATTGTACGTTTGCTGATGCAATTTACCTGAACTCCTTGTAAAGCCATTAACTACCTAGGTACCTCAGGAAAAGTAGTAATATTACCGAGGTACGAATGATGGCTTGTAGTATGACCTTAGGATTCTTAAGCTATAAACATCAACCATTAATGATCAAATACTTACAAGTGATACTATTCTATTTCCCTGCTTAGCACTGATCCAAGATTCGATTAGTTAAGAGGTATAGAAAAGCGCATGTTAGACAAATGCTAAGCCCTGAGTTTTGCTCATCTTGTTCAAATCCCAGCTACGTCGTAGGTTTCCCGCAAGTAACTTGCATGATATAGCACATATCGGATGTTTATTATATGTGCGACATGACCATGATGGATGGATACATGGCATTAGTCTTTACGTATGTATGCACAGGTCATTCGTAATGGCGAGTCAAGCATCCGCCTAAGGCTTAGGCTATGTACTGACCCATCATTGTCCTTTGCAAGGAGATAGGAAGATGAAATGTACACTGTCTTATGCTAGGATCTGTAGCCATGTACGCCTATTCTTATTGCATTCCTCTACTTCTCGCTTCTCGCTTCTCGCAGCTTTTTACTGGCTCTTCGACATTCTAGGATATCTCGTCATCAGTTGCTGATTATATTTACATTAGGTACCTAACCTACCTACCCAGACGTTTCCATAATTACCCCTGTACGGCTTTACAGGGCTCTATTTATCGGAACTTGACTCCCGTTAGTGGGCCAGCGGGTGGCCCAAAAATGCTGCGAGGCGCATTTTGGCGCAATACTCCCCGTTAGGTTCGTCTGTAGATCACGGGTGTACCCCAAAGCTGCTGTGTAATTCGGATGTGATGAATGTTATCTGCTGCAACTTCGTTATGCTTTTTCTTCCCTTTAAAGCATGAAGCTAGAGAAAGGACGGGTCTACTCGTCTTTTTGTGTAAAACCTGGTTCCTCAAGTTGGGAAAGATGGTCTATTGTCGAAGCCGAGCTCGCCCCGAGTCTGGAAGCGTTCTACTATGAAATACCATCTCCTTGAGAAGACCACGACACCCTGTAATCCGAAAAATGAAAAATGAAAAAATCGCCATACTATAATCTCATTCACAAGAGAACGTAGCGAGCTAACTAAATCCACCTATTCACTGGTACGGATTGGGATACAGAGTCATCGACGACTTTCTAACTCCTCATCATCTGACGATTGCGATTTCCAGTCTGCTCTAAGAAAATTATATTTTCTATCATTTTTACCTCAACGTCCCCACCAGACCGAATTCTAGGATACGAAGAGATAGGGTGACAGATTCGATGATGGAATTACTAAACTCGACTTGTCCTACTATTGCTATCCTTGGTGCAGGTATAGGTGGTTTAGCCCTTGCTATTAGCCCTTGCTATTGGTCTAATACAGCGCGACATTCCAGTTACCATTTACGAAGCCGCAGACCGATTCTCAACGGTAGGCGCTGGCATCGGCTTGGGGCCGAACTCCTTGAATGCTATGGATGTGATTGATTCGAGGTTCCGAGAGAGATATGAAAAGGTAAAGACGCGAAACGAGAAACCGGAGTTCGAGCATAGCGTCTTTGATGCGTTGTACGCCGAGGAAGGCTTTGGCGAAAAACGGGACTGGGCACGAGATCTCGTCGGCGCCCCTTACTTCACTCGAAGTAGTGCCCACCGCTGAGACTTGTTAGATATCATGGAAAGCTTCATCCCTGGAGGGATCGTAAAGTTCGGGAAGCGAGCCTACTCAGTTGAGCAAGTAGACAGTAAAGTCTGGATAAGATTTCAGGATGGCACAGAAGACGTAGTCGACGCAGTTGTTAGTTGCGATGGAGTGAAAGAGATCACTCGCCGAACCGTTCTAGGTGGCATTGCACTCGAAGAAGTCCAACTGACATTATCCGGTACCTATGTATCTCTAGAGGCATCATACCAATACAAGACGCAAAAAAGAAAATTGGGAAATCACGCCGGCGATGCGAAGTATTTCATGGCTAAGAGGAAATCTGTGGCCGTCTGCCCTATTTCACAGGGCAGAGAAGCGAACTTTGTATTCATCGTTTTGAAGCCTTGCCTTTGGACTATTGGGGATAACGCCGTACCTTGTACGAAGGAAGAGATGCTGGAAGATCTAGAGGGGTTCGACCATAGGCTACTAAAACTCCTAGATTATGCTAGACCTCTGAGGTGGCCAACGTGGCATCATCCTCAGACATCCACATTCTACCAAGGACGAATATGCTTATTAGGTGATGTCGCACATGCTTGCAGTCCTCACCAGGCTGCTGGAGCTGGTCGGGGATTAGAGGATGCTGCCGTACTCTCTCATCTTCTTACTCTGGTTAAGACACCCGGTGAGATTGAGGCCGCGTTTCAGATATATGAGGCGATCAGAAGGCCAAGGACGCAGAAAGTCCTTCAAACGAGTACCGAAGCCGGACAGATTTACACATGGCAGGCTCCAATGATCGAAGATGATATGCATAAGATTGTTGAAAACGCGAACCAGAGGTTGCATTGGATTTGGCAGTATGATCTCGAAGCAGATATCAAAAAGGCCGAAGATGACTTCCACAGGTTCGCAGAGGAGTGGCCAGGCATATTACAGAATGATGGCCCAGCTAAGAGCGGGTCAATTGTAAAAGGTGCGGGTTTAGGTGCTTCCAACACCATTCAGTGTACGTTAGTAGGTAGATACCTAATTATCGTCCCAGATATAGATTTATCACATATCAACCCACACTGGGTACAGATCATACCGTGCCGCATCTATATATGCTCCCGTGTGCGTGGCGGCACAGCGAGCAAGTGGCACGTCAGATACCTAACCCAGCAATAAACCACCATATTCTTAGTTCGGGGAATGCCGGCGTCCACCTGTTTTAATATAGGTAGGTAGTCAGGTATTTACAAAGTAAGTTATAACTATAGAGAGATATTTATGATCTGCTCAAATAGTGTGCATAGTGTAGTATTCTTATATTAACTATGATGACTTTGATGGACTCAGTCGGCCGGTAGGGCCGACAAAGTCGAACCCCGACCCATTGGTTTGGATAGCTGGCTTGGATAGCTGGCTCGGATGTAAAAGCGCGGCACAGGTCGCTCAACTAACTTCACGCCTTTGACTAAAAGCTATCCTGCAATTTTAATATGCCAACTTCTTAGCTGAGAATGGTAAGTGTAAGCCGAGCGTGGGTAGATCATTGACTACACTAAGGCGCGCTGGCCACTGACTGCTGACTTGCTGTTCACCGAGCAAATATATATATATAGCAGTGATTGTAAGAGGTTATGAGTATATTATCTAGTTAAAGGAAATGCGGCTCGGTTTACTTATAAGCACTTTCGAGTTTATGAGCGCGAGATATGTCTACCTAGGTAGTCTTTATATTAGGTATAATATCCACCAACTCATTATGGTTCTTACGTGAAATCTTTAGACTACCTATCGTGGCTCATGTATGATTCCTGACTAGATGAGTATCAATTCTCAGCTGGAGAATCTTGGCCCTTTCGAAAAGGAACTCGGTACCTGTAATAACCAGGGTTACAGCGCACTACAGGGATGCTTTTGATGGTTTAGGTACGCTACCGGGCTGGCCCGTTCCACGTTCAGGGCTGCTAGGGTATGATGATCCTCTAATGTACCTGGTAAGTCCTACGAAACAACTTCATTAGAACAACTAATAACTAATTGAAACATTTTCATCGGACCTGAACGCGTAAGAGATGAAGGAACACCTTGCATCCATTATAGGGTCGGCCAGTATTTAATCATCACTTACCGTATAGCCTCGTCGGTTAGAAGTGCTGTATTAGGCACGTATTGCATGCCAAGCATGCACGTAAGTTACATTTCGCATCGAGGCTGATCTCTGTCTTTACTCAGGTATACGTGGAATGGAAATATGGCTACCTTGTTACCCGCCTCTATTATTCTCCATCAATGGCCCATTCCAGTACCTTAATCTTCCTATCAAATTATAAGTCTACTAGGACATTGTTCTACCCGGCCTCATCCTTCGGATCATGGCTCCGTCATTAGATCATGAGGATGGCCGTAACTTCCGCGTCTGTCCCGCGGGAGGAGGACCAGAAGCTCGAGGAAAAGAGAGACAGTTCGACAGACAGGGAGGCCGGTATCCCCACCACGGAATAAGTACGCAAACTAGACCGTGCAGTTCGGTGGAAGCGCGACGTATTAATCATACCAATCATGGGGATCCTATATATGCTGCTATTCTTAGATCGAACGAATATGGCAAACGTACGAAGTCTGGGTATTGGATAGCCGAACCGGTTGGAAATGGCCCTGGATATGCCATCTGATGGATACAATACGGCACTGTGGATATTCTATATTCCTTTCGTACTGGCCGAGGTCTCGGCGAACTTGATTCTAAATCTGAACACGATACGCCCTGGTATTGGTGGACAGGTGTTCCTCTTAGGTCAGCTATCACTCGATTTATGCTTATGGTTCGGCTTCTCGTTACCTTTGACGTTAACAGACCTGTAGGCGTCCTCGGCGTGTGTCAGGGTCTAGCTAGAAGCTATGATGGTCTGCTCACAGTCCGTTTCCTGCTGGGTGTCTTTGAGTCCTCTCTTCCGGCTAGTGCGACTTATATGATCTCGATGTACTACACAAGACCCGAGGTAGCTGTTCGCTTTGCCTGGTTTTTCAATTCCCTCAGGATGCGCAATCTTGGTTTCTATCAACTCAGAAGCGCAATCATCTCGTACATCTTTCTTGAGGCATCTCGCGGCGCTGAAGCTAAGGGCTCAGCTGCGGATAGTGTTCCTATCTGTAAGGTCCTCGTTGATTGGAGAATCTGCATTCTAACACTATGTTTTTTCTGCGCCAACGTAAAGGCATCCTCGATAGCTTCTTTCTCGCCGACAATCTTCATCGAGCTCGGCTGGACGGCAACTACCGTACAACTTATGATGATGCCTGTATGGGTAACTGGTAGCGTCTCTACTTTTGCTATTACTTGGCTTGCTTCGCGTCTCGATATGCGCATGTCCTTCCTTCTTATTTGTATATGCTTACAGGCTATCGGATGGAGTATCATGGTAGCTTATGTTCCAGAAGCTGGGGTACGATATCTCGCGCTTTTCTTTATGGCAGCGGGAACTTTCCCACAGATGTCTATCTTAATGGGATGGCTCAGTGCCAACTTGCGCGGCCGCAAGTATCTTGCCGTCGGTATGGCCTGGATGTCCGGGTTTGCCAACTGTGCCAATTTCATTAGCTCGAATGTCTTTATCACTACCGAGCGTCCGCGGTATCCTACCGGTTTTTCCATAGGTCTCGCCTTCACGATATTGGGGTTCATACTAACTTGTGCCGCGTTTGTATTATTGATACTTAGCAATAAGAGGCGGGATAAAACTCGCGAACAAATGACGGATGACCAGTGCCAGAACGACGACAAGCTACATTTCCAGTATCTGTATTGAATATATACGAAGGAGATTCCTTGGCTACCGAGCTAGGTCAAACTAATCCAAATAACTAATATCAGAGTAGTCTACCAAGGTAGGTTAAGATATATATAGGTACCTAAGGTAAGTAATGGACGCTTGTTTCCCCACGCACCCATATTCGTAGATGTTTAGGTCAACCCGTGTCTACGATATGCTATATATTAATATGTGAAGATCTCAATAATCATGCCTGAGCACTAAGCACGAGGCATCCCTCAAAATATCTCTGCAGGTCATCAAAGTCCTCAAGATCACCGACCCAGCCGACATATTGGTCAGGCCTTGCCACCACAACGCACCCTCGCTCCTTGTCTACCCCGTAGTTGATATAAGCATCCCCAACGCCCTCGTGGTAGCTTGCGTCGTCCACAAACACTTTATCGTAGTCCCACCCAGTATGCGTATTGAAAGGATGAAGAATCTCAGGGAAATCTCTGATCAAGTCTGTTTCAGTCCTCTTGGCAGAGTGTATTGTCAAAACCTCGATTACCGTGTCCAGTGGTGGGCTAGCAGGGTTGAAAGTACGAAAAAAGCTATTTGGCGCATCGAGAGCCTCACAGAATTGTTCTACGCGGTTCTTCTGTGAGGGGTTCAAAATATTTCCTGCAAAAAGGACCACGCGGAATCGACCATCGGACTTGAGCTTCTGTTGAAAGTGCCAAGGTCGCGCATCGGACTGGTTAACTACCTTGAAGCTATTGAAGCGCATCCCAACAGGGAGGCCGGTAGCCAGAGCCTGTTTCTTCGCGAATGTCTCGACTGATATGCTTGTGGAGGTCGAATTGCTTAGCTCACTCTGTTCTGATTCATGTACGGCCTTCGCGACAAGGTTACTGGGTCCATAATTGACAATCAGGCCGGATGCGAATAGGTTGCCTTTTAGAAAGGCTTCTTTGAACTCCTCCATACTTACACCTTCGGCATCCATGACACCCTTAGCTGGTCTCCCGGAGAATAACCTACTAAAGCGATGATCAAAGTTAATGAGATCACGAGCTATGGCGCGCCGCTCAGTTTGGTAGGTGCTCAAAATACTCGGCTTTGCGATACCTTTCGCGACAAGGGCTACTTTCCAGCCAAGATTATAAGTGTCGTGCATAGAAACATTCATACCCTGGCCAGCTTTCGGGGAATGTGTGTGTACAGCATCTCCGGCAAGAAAGACGCGCTCATGAGCGTCAAATTGTGTGCCAACTCTTTGTCCAATCTACAAAGCATTAATACGTGTATCCAGCGCGATACTAAGTCGTACGTAGAAGGGTGGTAACTATACCTGATACGCAGTCCACCAATCGCAGTATTCGTAGTCGATTTTATACGGACTAAGAATCTTTCTGGCGGCATTCAAAATGAGATCGGGAGTGATCTTAGACCTGTCTGCGCGGCCGGAAGCGTCCGGAGTTACCTCCTTCAACTGGATATAAAGTCGGACTAATTTATTTTCGCGAGGGATTACCATCAAGCTACCATTCTCAGCCGAATGAATAGCACATCGCATTCGGATATCAGCTAAGTCAAGCGTGTTAAGGCGCGTAGCTTAGGTCTAGTAGGGGATAGAATTTTCGTTGAGCACTTACGAAAATCAGTAATGGGTATAATGTCAAGGACACCCCAGATAAAATCCGTTGCCTCGCCCTGTAACTCGAAGCCCAAGGTACGGCGAGTCCAGCTGCGTGCACCATCACATCCGATGACATACTTCGCATGGACTACTTCGCCTGTTCCCGCTCGTGACTTGCTCTTCTGAATCAAATCGTCCTCGTCGTCCTTGTGCGTTAAATTACTCCGGAAGAGACCGTCTGAGATCTTGCTTGCGCTGATCTGCTGTTTAGGCGTGGCCTCTTCGTCGGTGAGGTGACGTAACTTTACAGTAACTGGGTAGGAAGACTGGTCCTTGACTTTCAGCTCATCAATCTCAAGAGACTCGGGAATAACCCCGCGCTCTACTTTGATGGTGTCCTTGGAGTACTTTTTGATATTGTCTAGGAAAAAGCGTTCGACGCGTCCCTGATGTAGGGTAATTTGCTGGAATCGAGAAAGGCCTACAATCGTATCTGGAATGCGATCTGAACGGCGTATCACGCCCTCAGGGCCAGGATTCTAGCTATAGTTTTAGACATCACCGCGCACCGAGGAGAGCTAATCGCACTTACCCACATACATATCTATCCCACGTAAGGTTAGCAGAGAATCCAATCATTGTTCTGGGAATGTTACCTCAATCATATGGTGCGCTTCATTCCATGCTCGATCTGCGAAGCCGAGACTGTCGAATATCTCAAGACTACGACATTGAAGCCCATCTGCTTGTCCGCAGAAGATCTTAGTGCCCCTTTTATCAATGATACGAGTTGACACACCGCAGTGTGCCATCCAGCAAGCAGCCATCAACCTAAGTTATCACGAGCGTAAGTATGAGACGAAAAGAAATTACTCGATGAAAGCTTCGCGTAACTCACCCTGCTGGTCCGGCGCCGATAATAAGCCTAGCAAGCAAGTTAACATAGGCACTCTAAAAGCAGATATACATATTGACGTACACGTCGACATTTGACTCGGGCAAATGTTCACTGTCAGCCATCTTTACCAAGTCGTTTGTATTAATACTTCAAGCTGTGATGTTGCTAGGAGGGCGGCCAGAAACTGCGATAATTAGAAAAATTAAAGCGCAATTTATGCCGCGTAGATTTTAAAAGGGAAATGGGATTGCGATAAAGGATTTCAGAAAAAATCCGTGGCGATCTTCAGCCATGATTCACAAAACATTACTCTAAGAAAATGAGAGTAGGCAGGTATTCTCATGGGGTCGATTTATGACAGGTCGCTAAGAACCAGACATACATAGCCGCTCCTCACGCTACGTGATCTTAGCCCGCATCCGGGCCCAAAACCCGGCAATGGAAGGCGATCAGTCTACCTTAGGAAGGTTAGCTATGTAATACAGCACCCCCCCATGGTTTAATGTAACCCGCGCATTGAAGCCGTATCATTGGTAGTCACTAATGCCATGACAGACATTATCTCAGGTAACCTCGGGCCAATTCGTGAAAGCGAGCGGAGCCCACTTGCGTCACGTAAGACATCATGTCACACAGCCGATACGTGGTACTGATTGGGATGTTGAAGGCAGTCATATTAATGAGAATTGCTGACGAATTGATTGATCATCTATGTTGAGATCGTGAAATCGTGAAATCGTGAAATCGTGAAATCGTGAAATCGTGAGAACCAGCGACACTAACAATTACGAGAAAATAGAGTGTTCAAGTCACCTAATAGGGTTGACTACCTACCTACCTACCTTGAGAGATACATACAACCTAATCAGACAGTCATTTAGCAAGCCGTTAACCTAGGTTAGTCAATTATCTCTTGAAAATAAAAATAAAGTGAATCTCAACTTGGTTTCGATTATATACGTTGTGCTAGTTCGTCCTTCCATTTTTTTCAATCCTTGTTGGATTTGCTTTAGCTTGTTCGTTTCCGCCCAATATTGTATACGATACAATAATGTTCGGAATCCTTTAAATTCTTCGAGTTTCATCAAGGCAAAACCGGTGAGGAACTTCACTTTGTAATACGGCTGTTGCGTAGCCTGGCTTATATCCCTCCACATGACGGAAATGTGTGCAAGGTATGGCGTTGTGCTAATAAGAAAAACCATATCTCGGTTTCCAAGTATCGGCCAAGTAGTATCTAAGGATATCCGGCCACTAATAATCTCTTGATTCTCGGCTTTGATTATGGATTCCCTGTGCCCTTTTATTTCTAGGACCATATACGGAAAACAAAGGTTACTATTATTAGGCCAGAAACATTGGCAGGCATATGTATCCGATGCTCTTTCGTCTAGATCAGACATCTCGGGTATGCGCGAAGATTTATACTCGAAAAGTATATCCGGCACCGGGATCATCAATGGCCTTTTCCATTTCCTTAGGGAGCAAGTTTCGGGAAGAAATGGAACTCTAATGTTATACTTAAGCAGACTCGTGGATAGAGAGGCCTCGGGGTCTTCTGTATCTGCGGAAACGGCATGTTTTAATGTCTCTAATTGTTCAAGTTCTATACGATTTTGGATTTCTCTATCGTCATTAAAAGCCGTAAGACCCGGAGGGTTATTGGTATCCTGTGAAGCTTTCGTCTTTCTAACTTCAACCCAGTTTTCACGCATGAGGTCGAAAGCCTTAATAAGTTCATCGACATACTCAGCCTCGTATGTTCCCTCAGTAGCAACATTCGAATATCTCCTATGTATCCCGTGTATATTGTTGGGAATGTCATCTATTGGGCAAGCATGTATCTCGTTCAGCTGCCTCTGAACCCACTCTGGAACCTTAGTGTAGCTTTCTTGTATCTCGATCGAATTAAGACCGAGAGTATGGGACCGAAATCTTTCATTCATTAAATCATATCCCTTGCGTTTACCGGTTGTAGTCTGAGTACCGTCCATTGTGATGGAGTCTGAGGTCGCGTATGTCGGATAAGACTTTACTAGAGTTGGTGGTCTCGGGTCGTCAATATCAAGCCAGGCGGCTATCTTGGGATCTTTTCGGGAAATGAATTCCTTGACAGTAGGTGGTCGAATGTCGATGTTCTCGACCGGGGATACTTGTAGTGAAGATGTGTTAGGAATTATTTGGGGCGGTTCTCCCGACCTTGTCCTGGTAACTCCTATAGGGGGGGACTTTGACGCGAAATGTGATTCGTGGTTTTTTATACGAAGTAAACTGGCATCAAGTGAATTACTACGTGACCGCTTTTTAGATTTGAAGTGATCTTCAGGTCGTGTGCAGCTATCATACAATGGGCGCCTGATACCGGGAAACCGCGTATCATGATATTTATAAGGAAATGTTTCCCCTGGCTCTGAATTGGATGGGGGAGGATGGATAAGCGGTAGTTGCTCTTCTCGTACGGTTTGGGGGCTCATGATGGCGCTTAATTCCGAAGCTAAACAGGTGATAGAATAAATATCTCACACAGATTTTGAGGATAAATATGACTGCTCGTAATAAACTGTTTTTTTAACCACTTGGTATTGTATACTATAAATAGGTGACTTGTAAAATGATGTTAAGACGGCTGGTAGGTTTAGTGTTAATGCATTTGACTGGAGAGAGTTGACGAATATGTTCAATTAATGACAGATAAAAAAAAGGAAGTTTATATAAGTTCGGGACAAAGAAAAGGGCCAAAATTAAAGAATTGATTTAAGATAAAAAGATTGAGTGTGTCATTGTCTAGGTTTACCGGGGCTGTAGACATTCTGATCTATCTTATAGATCGTTGAAAATATAATATTTGGTAACTATGATATCACATCAAAGTTGAAGTAATTTATTCAAATGTTCACCGGATTGGTAGGACAGTCTCATATCCTAGTTAGTCCTCAAGGATTGTCTAGAAAGCACCAGTTTATCCTCTCCCCTTATACGGTGACACTTTACAAGCCACTGAATCTTTGCGAAAGTAAACGTAGAGGTAGGCACCTAGCCATGGCGACGCCACCCTAAGATAGACCTGCAAATATAGATGATCGCAACTCCAACCTTGTAAAACTCACATTAGGTTCCCTATTAATACACATGCTCGTCCTACACCGGAAACGCGGTGAATCCATGCCAATACCCGCACTTGGGTCCAATGGAATTCTACCTCTTATATTAATAAGACCCACATATATGAACTTTAGGATAGGGAATACCACACGTTTCCATGATGAAGAGAACGTATATGCCGTTCAGTTCTGCTATTTCTCATTTTCCTTTCCTTGTCGTATTTCTACGGTGGCTGTTTCACGATACTTATTGACATGGGGAAACTTTATGATTGATCGCAACCACTAACAGGGGAAAATTGGCCACTAAACAAGTATCAGAGGCTGGAATCGAGATCATCAAACAGCTTTACTTTCCAGCTGGCAAAGCTCGCCGTTGAAATCAACATTTCTGCTGTTGCCTGCTGCTCTAGATCTTTGTTGAGCTATGAGAAGACATCTACCTCCTCTCAATGCAGTAGTGTCCTTGGAAACTGGAAACAACTCCTAAGTAATAAGTTGCTACCGTTAAGTGAGCGACATCCCCAGGAACTTTGATCGGTTATTCTCGAACTAACGAGTACTCTACCTTAAGATCTCATTAGAACTCCAGTTTTGCATAAAAAAACTTATCATGGCGAGCGAGACTGAACAAGCTTTCATCCGAGAGGTTTGGGGGTTACAAGGAACCGCCTACATTGTTGTCGCCCTTCGCTATTATAGCAGATTTTCGATCTTAGGATGGCGAAGTCTAGCCTGGGATGATGCCATCATGTTTCTGGCTGTTGCAAGTTACTCAGTCATAATTGGAGTTAATCAAGTTTCATTACTAACTGCCATTCTTAGGTAGCCCATACGGCAGAATCGCTCATGGCATATCTTGTTGTGGCTCGCTGGAAAGGCCTGGCCAATAATGCGATGACTGACGCGCAGCGTGCAACCCTTGACCAGCAGTCGAATGAGTGGTATCTACGAGTGAATGGGTCAAAGACTCATGTTGCTGGTCTTATACTCTATACTACGCTTCTCTGGCTATTAAAGGCATGCTGGTTGGTATATTACGCGCGTCTAACGTAAGCCAACAAGGATGACTCGAGAAATATTCCGATACTAACTATTTCTATAGAGAGGGAGTTAACAACATGCATCGGCTAATACGCTGTGGCATCATCATCGTTGGTGTGACTTATATATCTTGCTTACTCGTCGCCTTCTTGAAATGCATTCCTTTCCACCATCAGTGGCAAATTAATCCTTCGCCAGGAAGTGAGTATTAGGGGCGACCTGTATGCAGTTTCAATTGAAGAATGTTAACATGTCATTAGACAACTGCATGCCTGCAATTTCAACTGTCCAAACTATATTTGTCATGATTACGAATACACTCACTGATTTCTATCTGATGGCTATACCGTTACCTGTACGTCTATTATCTTATAATTAAGAATTAAGATTATAACTGAACTAACATGATTCAATATCTAGGTGGTGTGGAAGTCACATCTTCCCTGGAGAAAGAAGCTGATACTTCTAATCATGTTTAGCGGTGGTTTTCTTGAAATGGCATTTGGTATTTTAAGATGTGTTTCTATCTTTACAGTAAGCCCTCGCCCTTTAAACTTGTCTCCTTTATAGATGCGCTTTGAGTTTTGTATTCTACTGGTACTGGATAAACTGAAACTAACCGCTGAAAAACTCGATCAAATAGCTCGGCGATATTGATCCTGCTCAGTCAGGCTACTGGTCTGTCCGTGAATCTTTCGTTTCGGTCGTCCTAACGAACATGCCCATGGTGTACCCGATATTTAGAAGGTTTATCGAAAAGGGTCTTAGTGCGAGTAGATCAAGAGCCACAAGCCAAGGAGACACTAGGGGTTACAAGCTTAGTAGTATGCCGGGTCGCACCGCATCTGCAGTACGAAGGCAGAATCTCTCCTTTTCCGAGCCGAACGACACAGCATGGGACTCTGAAGAGCATATCATCGTAGATAGAGGCCAAGGAGACTCTATAAATCGCGAGGAAGGTTCTTTAAACTTCTCGAGACATCAAACGATTGGGATTACATTCGATGAAAGTGGGACACCTGGGGGATCGGCGAGGGCAACGGATGGAAGCCATCGGATCATGGTTACTAAGGAATATACAGTCACAGAAGGGTCTAGGCGTGGTTCAAGTACTATGAACAGGTAGTAACCTAGGTAGTTTACCTACCTAGGCACACTTTGCTCTTAGAAGAAGTGCCTAGGTTATGCCCCTCCCCTCCGAATGTATGTATTTTAGGGATTTATGAAGGGACTTCCCCACTAAATGCGACAGCCACCCGAAATGTGTTCATTAATAGCGCTAATCACCAGCACGGTTCCGAGACATGCTGACACCATATCCAAGATTTTGGAAAACGGTTGATGTAATTACTACCTATTCAACTTTGGAATAAATTCCGATATAAGTTAAGACTTGATGTACTTGGCTCCGATTCCCTTCTGCACGGCAGAGCGCTGGGCAATGCGGTCAATCCACTGTAATAAATACGGGAATTTCTCAAACTCCTGCTTGGTGAAACCGCTCTTTTCCCACCCTTTGACCCAAGGCCAGGTCTTAATGTCTGCCACGGAATATTTCCCTTTCCCTTTGCCAGCTAGGTATTCCCTTGGCTCACCGGTGTACTTTCCGGAGAGTCTAATCTCAAGCACCCCAAAAACTCTCAGCGTCTCGTTCCTGAAGCGATTGATAGCATCTTCGTCGTGTTAACTCTCTGCTAGTGCTTTCATACTAATTTGAAGACTTACATTCAATCTTCTCAGGAGCAACCCGGGTGAAGTGGGCGACCTGGCCTTGATAAGGGGCTCCGGATCCATGCCAGAAGAAGGTCCACTGCAGCGCTTCATTACTCTCAAGGCCATCTGCGAAGCCGAACTTGTTGTCCTTGTCTGTAGATTGCAATAAATACCACAATTGAGCTGACGTCTCATGGACAGTGAAAGGGGGGCTTTGGTTGTTATCAACCAACACCGGAATGCGCCCGTTAGGATTCAATCGCAGGAACCATTCCTTCTTCTGCTCATTGGTCGAGATATCAATCAGTGTAGTCGTCCACGATGTGCCATATGTCTCGGCAAGTTCCTCTAGGAGGATCTGCACGGCTTGCCCGTTTGGGGTATTCTGCGTGATCAGGTGGAGGCCTTTAGCGTTTTTAACATCTTCAGGGGTTTCGGAAATATAAAGCTTGTCGGCCATGGTCAAAATATCCGAATCGTTAAATGTATATATAGGTATATATAAATCCCTGATGTTGGCGAGTAGTGTATGATTTTAAAGCGTATATTGTCGAGAGGATCGAATATAGACGGGTATCTTGAGAGGTAGTTATATGAGGTAGGTCAGCCTTATGTACCCAAGGTATTAGTGAGGGGGTGATGAGGAATCAACGGCATGACGACAGAGTGCGACCATATTGTGAATTAAACATCGGTAACTATATCCTAATCAAGATTAATTATTAATACATAATTACCTATATATATATATTTAATTTGTCATCAGTCATCAGTCACCACCAATATCTTTAATCCTTATTTCAAAGCTGAGGTGTATAAAGTACCTATATCTCAGGTACTTTCTAAACGTCTGTAGACAGCTGTCAAATCGCTTACAAGTGGTGTAAGTCACGTATATGCACGGACCACTACGTTTAAGTATCAACCTTTCCCCCTATTCTTCGACATGGAAGCAGAGGAGTTGGAAGATGATGGTAGTATTTAACTTTCGTCTATCCCAGCTAATTCCCCTATGTAAGGTATAGATATCGATTTAATGCGTGGGTTTTCAAGTCTTAAGTAGAGTGTCATTCTTCGTGAAAGCTACCTCATTCTCAACACTTAAGTCAACTATTCGGATATTTCGGCACACATCTCCGTTTAATCATTATTATTTGCCTGGGGGTATCATTTTTTAATTAAGCTTGTTAACGTGTGTGTAGTGAGTGAAATATCGGGTTTCTACAATATTTCACATCGAAGTATATACCATGAAATGAAACAAAAAAGAAAAAGCCGGACGCTGTCCGTTTTATCCCATCCTCTTGCTACATTTATCATTAGCAAATGAGCATGTGTCATGTTCCCGTCGTTTCTCCTTATGTTACGAGGATCCGGAGTAAACAATACAGAAAGAAATGCGTGAGGTAAGCCGCTTGACCTAAAGAGGATCCGACGAGCTATCTACTTATTAGGCACGCCTTGGGTGTCCGGGATGATTAGTCAATGATATCTCATCCTCAACTCTGTCGAAGGATCTCCCTCCTACTTTGTCCAGTTCGTGGTTAGACGCAGTCTCCGAGTTCGATATGCTTTCTATCCGAACATCGACTCTTCTATGGATTCCGTTCATATTATTCATACCTTCGAAGTCCTCTTCTGATCCTCGGCCCTCTACGGTTGTTGTGTGGTATGTGTTCATCAGTACGGCATCGTTATGGCTATGGTGGATATTTGATCGTCCAACTTGGCTTCGATTATTTGAGTATGAAAGAGAGGCGTCGTTCTCTTCGTCTCTTATTCCCGCATCTCGAGCGACTCTAGTAATTAAGGTAGCCATAGACATTTCGATATTGAGTTTCACCATATACGCGACAGGATGGAATTGAACGAAGACGATTGAGTTCGGGAGGGACATTAAACAAATGAGCATGACCTTAATTGAATTACAAGTTAGCTTCGTATAGCTTTTAAGAACACGCTTTAGTTGCCACTTACATCCATAAGAACCGAGAGGACCATGAGCTTATCGTTAAATTTGGCCAGAGGAGCGTACTTGACCAAGCCATGCTGTTCAACAAGCCGCTTTCTAACTGTCCGTGAGAAGTAATAATTGAGGGTGGCGTCAACGAGAAGGATAAGACACTTGGAAGTTCTATCCCAGTACTTGTTAATATCAACGTACCTTTAAGTATCATGTTAGTAATTTTTCATGGCAGGAAATTGCAATTTACTCACAGCTGGCTTACGGGAGGGACAAGGTGAGATGGAATAAAAATGCAGAAAACTGCGACGTTGATAGCTGTGATGATGATAGCAGTCCCGTATTTGAGCTTCCATATAGTGTCTTGACGCTCTGCAATAACCGCAATTCGATTTATGATGATTTGCATCAGTAACTGAATTTCGAACACCCAGAAAAACAATATAAAAAATAAAAGTAGTACACTGTGATGATGGCGATTTAGCTAGCTGCAACAACGCATGTTCGGGGAATCGTTAGCAGATACTTACGTCGGGCTGTCTCCGAAATGTCCATCGATCCAAAGGTAACCAACAATAAGAATAGCTAAATTTGCTACGATCTCCCCCCAAAGCATGTAAATCTATCAAGACATCATGTTAGAATGTCGGGAGAACAGAGGTATTAGATGTGTGCGCCTCTAGAGAGACATTGTCCTGAGCAGATATGCTGCATAGTTCGTAAATTTTGAAGTAGTTACTCACATATGTGCTACGGAGGGGATTTCGATTTCGACGTGTTTGTTTTACGGCCTCCCAAACTGTCAATATACCAAAGCCTATCGAGAAGCCGGCAGCCAAGGAGGAAACTTGAATATCCAAATTGCTCGTCATGATTCTCAAGGCCACAGAATTATCTTTTCTTAGCAATAGTAGTAGCGCAGGTCTTTGGACTCTGTAAGTTGATGCACGAACACGTCAACGAAGGTGGCCGGCGGGGATAGTGCTACAGTTTTACTCAGTATTCACGAAGGGAACTGGGGGAAATATCATAGTTACCATGGAAGATATTCAATGTAACTTGACGGGAGGATTGAACTTCACGAGTCCCGGGGCAATAGGCCGGCCAATGTTTAGAATGTTCCGCCACCTTAGGTTAGTAGCTCGCTATTTGACACTTTAGTTTAGGTGGCGGAATGATGCCAGGCATTACTATGATGTGACGGAATCTATTCGAGAGACTATTTTATCCCCAGGAGTTTAGTCGCCGATTGAGAACTTTATTTATTCATGGTTTACACTTAGCGCAACCTGTTAAATGTGGTACGATTAAAATACATAACTACCTCTAGGTAACTATACAAGACTTAAGATATGCCTTAAGTGTAACCCTGGAGCTAGGTACATATAATTGTAGGTACCTCTGTGGACTGCAAGGAACCCCTTATTTCCATTACTCTGTTTCAAGGTGAAATGTGAAAGCAGTTAGCTTAATATCATAAACCTCCTTAAAGATTGATTGGACACGGAAACCTCAGCTACTCCTAGATCATAACTGAGGTCGTAGCCAACGCTATAAGAGTTTAGCGGTCGACTTTAATAAGCGACAAACTCTCATGTGCAGACCTTTAAGCCGCGTCGCTTCGATACATACTGATGGGGATCTCTAGTTCGTAGTCCACTCCACGCAAGCGATCAAAGTGGATTCTTAGCTGCAAGGATCTCAGATGATCGGTATCCATACCTTAGGTACCTACCTAGGTACATAATCAAAATCAGACCACACAAAGATTTTCGAGGATCAAAGAGAAAAATCCAAGGCAATTATATATATATATTAAAACTATACATTACCCATTATTTGGTATATCTTTCTTCATTAGTTGACCATGATGATATATAGCTGGAATAAATAAAGTAGAGCAGAATTTCGTTTTTGAATATATCAACATTTCGAAACTTAAGAATACAACTAAACCCAGCTGATCGCGTGACTTCTTACTGGTAAGTAACACGATGAGTTTCTAAAGACGAATCGAGGCAAAAACTCCGTATGGGAAACACGCTCAGGCTTCGGCTTCCAGAACGCTGCCCGATATTTTATAGAAAAGACATAGTGTGGGGACCTATTTGCCTAAGTGTCTGGCTCCGTAAACTCCTTGTTTCCCTTCACCCGGCTCGGGGCGAATTCGGCGTCCACTCTACCATTAAGACGGCTAAGCGGATACCTCGATGCGGGAACAAATGCTCCTATTTTTTGACATCGGCGGTTGAATAATCTCCTATTGACCATATTGAAGAATGTACAAGGTCTACTATTTAATATTATCAATGTAACATCATGCCTACCTGTTAAAATGATATTGGCATTAATTGCAACGAACCGATTGATATACCTACCATAAACCTTTTAGAGACAAGCGACGAAATACCCGCCCCTAATATAATAAATAGTGGCGAAAAAAATATGGCCGATCAGAGATCCACAACAATATAACACTTAAAAGTCTGAGCTACATCTCTACCCACGAATAGTGCATCTTCAATCCACAGGCTTTCAATACATAGTACATGTCGTATACACTGTATTTATTATGCGTTCGCGACAGTAGTGTCGATTGTAAATATCGATGCTATGTGAGAGATGTTGATTATCAGAAACTTAATGAACTTGATAAGGCATGTAAGTGGTTTATGAAATAAGAATATCTTGAAGTCATCCGACGAAGTGCGAACTTGACACATGTTGCGACTTTGTCACTTACACAAATTCTCTACCACGTAGTTTGGTATGATTCATCTAGCCGGAAAGGTAATATGTGTTATCATAGTATTGGCAATATGTTTGAGAACGGGTTGAAGGTAAGATCTGTAACGATTTAAACTCCTCCAAAGTTGAACATTTGCGCTTTCATTTGCTAGTTGAGTTGAACTTGAGTTATTCGGGTACTTTCAAATATGATTCGTTAACAAATCCAGGATAAATAAGCGGCAAGACTAGTGAACCGAGGGATCTTTTGATCTTAGTTGCTTCACGACAAAGATGGCAAAATCTACCCCTTATATCATGATGCTTGTCACGTATGATAATGTAGGTAACCAGTAGTCTCCTTTTTGTTTACCTAGGTATCGACTAGTACATGTCTCTCAACCGAAGACCTTTAAGACTGAAGAAAACAATCCCCTCTACGAGACATAAAATACGTCTACAGAAAAAAGTATTACATACAAGTAACTACAACCTTTTTTTGTGAATATTTTATCACGTGTTAGGTGCCTGTCATGTATGATGCAAGGATCCAATGAGAATGCAGTAGATTCTCTTCGAAGGAACATGAAAGTGAGTGTAATGAGCTAGAGCCGATCGCTCATATAGACGCTGAGTTGATTATTAAGCAAGATAACTGTACCGACGCTGTTTACACCGTGACATATTTTATTTGACACTTTCTTCAATATCGGTAACCGAACATCATAGGTATTTCCCCTCTTTTGATATTTTAAATTTTAATAGGAATATTCTATACCATGCAATAATAACACAATTGTCAGGGGACAAGTGAAGCTAGTATGAATTAGGTATAGATCTACGTAGAATAGACATATAAGGGGCGCCCTCGAAAGAGCATAGAAGGTCAAGCGTTAATAGATTCATACTACTATACGACTACTATACAGCAGCTTCGCTACTACTTCTAACATTCAGTTTACGTATGGCATCAATCAAGGAGTATCTCTGACAGCAATTTACCAAACTTCAAGTCAATCAAAACTTCAGATGTATCATGCCCTGTAAAGACTGTGTATATTTAACCCTCGCAGACGATGTATTTCGTCCACTATCTTGGATTGAGTAAAATAATAACTTGGAAATAATTTGCAATCTTTTCACCTCAATGACAGTCATGGAGTGACAAACCGAACGAGTTGATTAGAGATGTGATAACCGGAACCGGAAAATGTGTAAACAACGCGATAAACTAAGAACAAAGACATAAGCCTATTGTTAAACACTGACCCTTACATTAACATTTACATAATTTCTCTTCAGACCATTAAGATCAACTTAATTTTCATTCATAAACATGGACTCTTTTGAGCCTCGTCGTCGGCGGCGGGCACGGAGGGTGCCCAGAGATAAATTTGCTGCATTAAAAGCTTTTTTCGACTCGAGTAATATGTTTCACTACGAAGGGCTGCTTGGAAATGGAGGCCAAGGTTCCATTTACAAAATCAAATATGTGGAATTAAATAAACCCAATCCTCTGTCTCGAAGATTAGTGGCTAAAGTAGCGGATCCATCTAGAGGATCAGATGTTGAAGGAGTGGCAAGAGAGAAAATGATTTTAGAGGTACTATATAATAATTGTCAGGAACGTGAAGATACTGACTTTATTTGGTATCGGTAGACGTTACGTTATTGTCAACATATTGTGAGCATGATAGATAGTCCAGATGATCCATTAGCTTCTGCTCAACGTCTCGGCTGGGCATGGATTTTTCTAGAGGAAATGGAAAATGGTACTCTAAATGCCTTTTTGAAAAGGGCTAGAGTGGCGGGGTTTGTGAGTCTACCAAATCGTATGCTTTGGCGAATATTTCTCTGTAGTAAGTTTGTACACCATGCTTATTAGTTACAGTGTCTTTATAAACTATAGAATTAAGCTAATATATACTTGGCAGTGATTCGGGCTTGTATTGATATGGCATGGCCTCCAAGTTCGTCAGATAGTGATGAGAAAACTATTCAATTTCTTGATAAACCAACAGGGTTGGTACAGTACGTGAAAGTTTCTCAGATTTCTATTCATCTCGTTACCTCGGCTTCAAAGTAAACTACAGGTTGATTTCGCTGCCAATACTGCAATGGCTGAGAAGTAGGCTCACCAAGGTTTTTAGCAATGATATACATGGTGGCAACTTCATGTTCGGATCACTCGCGGATGACCCCGAGCACGCTATTTCACCAATATTAAAACTTTTAGATTTTGGCCTTGCCCAAAGAATGTGAGTTCATGCCTGCATGTTAAGAACGAAGTTTAAGTCAATGTTACTTAATGGTACTTACTTACATTCCGCTTTCTTAAGTAATTCGAGTGACTTTGCTTCAGTTGCGACTGGAGAGCAACAGAATATAGAAGATATAGGAATAGTACGTGGTGACTACTTTCAACTTATGCTATCTTACAATAACCCTTTACAGTTTATTTACTAATTTGTGGTTTGGTAGATGATGGCTACCATTCTAACCCTCCAAACCGACTGGAAGTATACAGGAGAAGATGTACAAGTAGATCTAAGCAGGCTTGGTTATTCTTCTGCCGTACTATCGCCGGCCTCTGGTATACTGGGCGGTCCCGAACATGATGAGCCAGATCCGCTTCCATACATTGATCGAGACATGCGTCTTATTATCGCGGCATGTATGGCGAGCAATCCACAAGACCGCCCCATGATGGTTGACCTTGAGCGATGGGTTTATAGCGAGGTTAGTAACACGCAACCCGCATATTATGGTATCAATCGCGGTGGTGCAGAATGGGAGAGCAACGAGACGATCTGTAATATCGTACAGCAATGCATATTTGATGCTCTTGAAGATGTAACTTGAAAGGTTTTATTAGGCTGGATAAGCTTTCTTATCATTTATATTTTTAATATATATAGAGTACTGAATATGCGCATTATCGTATTACTTAGATGGCTTTAAGGGGAAAAGCTAAGAGTTTAATACCCACTCATATACTATATTGCTAACAAATAAAGCCTGCATTAACTATCGAAGATCGTCTCTACATGCCTCCAAGATTTAAAAGTAAAATAATTTAAAAATTCGCGTGTAAATCATCTTATTCGTACTATTTACCTGTGAAGGCTTTCATTCAACCCTTTACCTTGTCAAGATTAGGCACATGGGTCCTCCAACCATCGTACGTAAACCTGAGACCAGAAACGCCGCTCGATGTCAGTGAGATCTTGACGACGCTTTTGGTCGAATATATGATGAACTGCGTATTGGCTTTGGCAGCGGTAACAGCAGAAGCTCCACTTCATGATCGATAGCCCCTCGTAGATCCCTATCGTCTGGACACTCTCGACGCCAAACCAGAACTTTTCAAGAAAGAAAGCGTTCAGAAAATCGCGGTTTACAATTTCCATCGGTCCACTGATCTCTATGACACGGGATCTTTTTGACGGGACTTGTGCGCTGACTTTTATTCGGTGCGGTATCACTCGGGGTCGGTTATAGCCTACTCTGAACTGCCCCGATTCGACAGTATGCATCAGCCTGTTCACTCCTAGATGGTCCCAGAAGACCGCTTTTGCAGCTGAAGTACGATGCTGGTCGTTCGGAGGGTTTATGAACATCGAGTAGATTTTTCCTGTTCCTCTGAGAGAGTGGCAAAGCATTGCAGAATCGCACCCAGCTGGAAGATAAGTTATCCATACAGAACAATTTTGCTCTTCGGTAATTTCTTCTGAGTAATTTTTCCTTGAAGCTCGGGAGCCTTGGTAATTAGTTGACCAGTGAGGGGATTGTGGTAGAGATTGGTCATTGTCAGAAGACGCCATCCTTTTTGACCAAATATTGCTGCATTTGATGGTTGATTAGTAAACTAGGTAGGTATTGATTCCGGAGACTAGACAATATAAACGTGGGATAGATCGGGAGTAAAAGGTAGGGTGGAAAATCCAGACACTCGAGTAGTGTACCTAAGGTATTTATGATGGTATGTATATTTAATAGGGGTTTTAGAAAACGAAATGCTACTTACCAAGGGTTAACTGGGGTGATATTGCTTTCAAAAAGATGATTTGGTTTATATTGCAAGATAGTTGAGATAGAGGGATCAAGAGAAAAAGAATGATGAGATCGTAGAGAAAGGTTTCATTTTATAAGTAGAAAATGAGATCTCTTTGCAACATGTCGCTATTTGTGATATTAGATATCGACCAAGCAATTCTAAGTTAAGGGAGTGAGTAGCAGTATCTTGGAATATTACTATTAATTAAATACCTAAGGTTCCTCTGTATGCGAGCGTCATTTTTAATAGTATAAGTTCCAATAGTTACTTCGTTTTACTATTATTTATACCTACATCCTAAGGTTTAAGACATGAAGGAGAAATTCACATATCTAAGCTCAGGTACTCAATAACTTCGTTAACATAGAATATGTAAGGCTTTCCAAGTAGGCAAACCTGTTGCATTCCGGAACGTCTGTCTACCTAGGTACCTACCCACCCAATATTTATTATCGTTAGTAACATAGAATAATAAGCATAATGTAAATCAGGTACTTATATGCGTCGCCATTTACTGAGAACTATGTCACGAGTCCTAGTCGCTTGACTATTCATGGGCAGGAAGATGATAATAAGCCTTGGCAGGTTGATTATCGCCTGTCACATGCCAATAAGAAATCATCAATTCGATTGTCAAAACCATATGTACACCTTCTAATGTTAGATCAATATGCTAAGATCAATCTATCGTGACTCGTGAGTTACTAGGTTACTTTCTTACACCTGTTCGTATGACGGTGACGGGTAAAAGTGGCCAGTGCACCGATAGTTAAAAGTGTATTTAATTGGAAGTTGACAAGGCCGATTTTACATCTTCCTCTCGGCATCCATGAAACCTCCCCTAGCATCCCCTGGTCTTAGTACCGGTTAAGCCACACATCCCCTGCCACTATCTGAGGGCCTCAAGCAAACAGGTACTTAATCTGTATTTTGCACAGCCCCCATTCGTGTAGCATAATACATATAACAATACATATATTATCAGGCTCTGGATACCTTCAAACTCCTCATCTCCCTTGTCTTCGATATACCGGTTATCATCATGTCTCTCCCTCGTACTCTCCGCGAATACACGACAGAACCAGCTGTTCTTTTTAAGCTTCCTGACGAAACGCTTCTTAGGCTTGTTCGCGATGAATTCGAAGATGAGCTTTGCCGGTTGAAGAGTGCGTACTCTGTCGGCGGTAGAAGGGAAGTCAACCTGTTCTCGAAATCGCCTTCTGCGATCTTGTACGGAGAAGACTACGATGAAGTTAATCGTACACTTGTTGGGGTATTAACCTTGAAATGGATTTACAATGGAGAATACGATATCCTCGTTGCAAATCAAGCTGAAGCTCACAAACTTTCTCGCCAATCATTCGAATGGATTTGTAACTTCTATGCTGGTTCAATTGAGAATCCGAATGAATTATACGCTCTCATTACTTCCATAGTGGTGAATGATATAGGAAAGGATGAACAGCTCGCCTCCGATTACCAAAAGAAAACCGGAGAGAATATCGCCTCTATGAATCACGATATCATCCTCCTCAAGGCGGTTGAAACTGGCGTCGTGGGTTGCTTAGATCGTCTTTCTGCAGAAGACAAGGCTGATATTATCCGCGGCATGGAATTGGGTGCAGAGTTCAACTTTGGACAACTTGCCCAGGCGGAGAACACGCCAGCTTGCCTGATTAGTCTTGAGAAGGTGAAGGGTCACACCCGTAGCTTTCGACTCCGGTTTCAGGAGCAGCTGCTCGATATTGCGGGCGCAGCGGGCCACCTGGATTGGACTTGCGCAAAGAAACTAACCCAATCCAATTTCGATGCTTACCATACTGTATACGACGTTGGAATGGGTATAATCGAGGGCGGTTTAAGTCTACGCGCAGGATACGATATGGTTTTAGCGCGTCGGCTAAACCTACTCCATGAGAAGGGCTTTCGGCTGCTTGATCTCAATGTTGAAGACGATCGTGCTTTCGCTAGGCTCTTATGTATGAGCAGTGTTGCTGACCTGGCGACTGCTGAACTATACAGCCAAGTATGGTCGTCCCTTGAGGGCCAGGTCAGGAAGTCTTTGCGAAAGCATCTCAACATCGACGGCTGTGTATCTCAGCCAGCAGTTCAAGTTACGTATATACCGGCACTTATCACCCAGGCGGTTGATATTAGTGGCCCTTCGACCCCTGAGGATAAGGGACGTGCGTTACGAAGTGCGCTCAACTACCTATGCAGAGTTATGTCTGCTCCTGATAAGCCTGATGGTCCAGTGAGTGTCATCGAACGGAATGTACTATCTATCATAAAAGGGGTCATTCAAAGTCCGCAATTCCGCGAGGACCCTACCATCTTAGAGACTGCCCCTATACCCGAAAGCCTCGCAGCGATGACGGAATTACGGGGACTATAGTGGGGGTGATGTGTTTCTGAATAGGTGCTTTACGAGAAACGGTTGGCTTTACGGCGTTATTCGGCTTGGGGTGATGTAGATATGGAGGGGATGATATCGCTACGAAGTAACGTACTGATTATATTTTATGCCATTACGACTCCCACGAGTTGAATATACGGATTTGATCTAGTGTAACTTCCAATCATGAAATTTAAATTTGAACTGCCGGGGTTTCTGTTGTCGACTACGTATAACAATAGCAAGGTTTATGAAAAAGCACAACGAATTTACAGATACCGCGTTGCATTGGCCAGTTAAGTATAATATAACGACAGTAAAATGGTGGAATAATAACTCCATACACCGAAGTAGATGAGTTAAAACCCCAAGGAGCATAAGGATACGGAAGTACCATCTTTATTTACAGTATATTGCAATTGTTGTATTGGTAGACCTTAAGCATTTGAAAGTTATTAGTAAATTGAATCTACGTTCCAAGCCCAGAATCCCTTATTACAATCAACACAATCCACCTTGGGATATCTATAATACTACATCAGCCTAACAGTTCACTTACTTAGGCGCCTAGTATAGTTAATACTACTTTGTATTCCTTGGGGGCCAAATAACAACAATATACGCTACCTCCTATGTAAGTCGATCCAAGGTAACATATTACACGCGCCGAATATAAATTCGTTATTCGCCTTCTTTACCAATTTTCCACCACAGATGGCGCCATAAATATCGTTAATGGTAGCGGATTGGGAGACGAGAATTGATATCAGGCTTTCGTAAACGCGGGGAAATTGGAGTTGATGTTCAAGAATTGATGTCCAAGAATGGATGTCCAAGTGGTTCAAGACTTTGCAGTCCACGTCGACAATAATAATATACATTAACAAAATGATCAATCAAGTCAGGCTTCGGTAGCAACGCATAACGTGTCATTTTACAATACCAATATGATTACTCACTCACTTTGTACGCACCTCGGTTTGGTTCTTGAACTAAGTCAAACCACCCTTACTGGGGCCACCCTAGTGGGGGCCACCCATTTCCCATATAAAATCAACGATTTCGCATATCTTTATTTAATTCAAGAAAATAGGTAAAATTATACGGTCTTTGATTTTGAGTACGGTATTGGATTCTCATCAGGTATAAAATTTTGAAAAAATTGCAGGATTAATATCTATGGTAAAATAAATACAAAATTATATACTAACAATTACACATATAAATTTATATATAAAACTGTTAAGGGATATTATTACTTATAATTTTACCAATTAATATGGTATAAATATAAAATTTATATAGTTAAATAAAAAACGTTTTAATATAATCTTTAAATTTAAAGCCAGTTATATAACTTATTTATATAAGAAGTTATAAACGTTTATAAAGTTTTATAATAATTTAATAAAATTCCTATATAAAATTAAAATTTTTTAATTTTTAAAAATAATATTAAAAATATATTTTACTATTTTACTATTAAAATATTAGATTTTAAATATAATAAAATATACATAAACTATTATAATAATCGAAAGGTAAAACATCAAAGATTATATATTTTTATCTATTTCTTTGAATTAATTATAGATATGCGAAGTTATTGATTTTATATAGGAAATGGGTGGCCCCCACTAGGGTGGCCCCAGTAAGGGTGGTTTGACTTATGGAACGGTGCAAGCAATACCTAGGTACCTACCTACCTATAAGGAGTACAGAAGCCAGAGTGAACGGTAGGACGGTGCAAATTTAATCTTGTTCGTCAATACGTTTCTTTGGTTTCTTCTTCTTGTTCGAGGCAGATATCCGGCCTATTTGTAAAGTAATCTAGATACGTATCTTGGTGCCTAGCCGAGATACGAAATACATGTTGGTTGTCTTTGCATATGTCTGCATGGCCTCGTGATGCTTCTTATCCAATGATCCTAATATTGGTTATCCTAACCGCCTAACTGGCCCTCGGCCACCTCGTGTTCCGGGCTACACCCTTTTGGCGGTGTTGTCCGTGTGACATTGGTGCAGAAACAACTTCGTAGGCAACCAACATACATACGTGCATACATACCTAGGTATGTGATGAAAGCTGGCAGATTTAATATTTGAAGTGATGGTTTTTAGGAGGTTCTGGCTAGGGTAGGCTTCACACAAGATCTGTGCCAAAACCGTTTCTCATTTACCTCGCCAGCCGGTTTGGCGATCACAGATCTAAACTTAAAGTCACATAATCTGCCTTGATATCATAAATTTGAAATATCGAGCAATCCCTCTCATCATCTCATCTATGATTACTTTATTTTAGTCGCAACTAGATGGTCTACTCAGGGCCAAGACGAGAAACATGTACGTCATAAATACGAACAATAACGGGCAGCTATCACGACCTGCCTTAGGAGAACAAGTACCTTTTGGTAGGCTCTATGATGCCAGAACCGACCAATTTCTCTCTCAGTCCTTACTGAGAGGAGAAGGCCAAC